AAATTTGCCAATAATAAGAAATATGAAATTATTCAAAGATTGGAACAGAGATATAAAGAAATTTATTTGGAATAACAAAAAACCAAGAATCCACTACAATAACTTAATAGAACAAAAGGATAAGGGAGGGTTAGCAGCGCCAGATTTGAAATTATACTATGAATCAAGCGCATTGGTCTGGGCTAGAGATTGGGCAATGCTAAAAAAGAAAAAATTATTGACATTAGAAGGAATAGATCTAAGGGGAGAGTGGCATCTCTACATTTGGTACAAGTGAGGTCCGCAATCTTGAAAGTATGGGAAAAATATAAAAAGAAATTTTATACAAAGACACCATTATGGGTATCACCATTGGAGGCGATTCAAAGGAGATGTATGGGATATAAAGAAATTTTGAAAAATTATCAGGGAGATTTAATATTAAAGGAACAACAGGAATTAATTACCATAGATAAAAAATATCATGGCTACAATACTGGCAAATCAAAGAGAAGTATGAATTAGATAAAGAAATAGGGTTCTCAAAGGGTAAAGATTTTTGGGATAAAATATTAGAAACTGAAAGGAAACTAATAACAAAACTATACAAACAACTCTTAGAATGGCAATCAGAATCTAGAGAAGATAAAAATTACATGAAAAGATGGAATGAAAATCTAAGAAGAAGTATTAGACAAACAGAGTGGAAGGAAATCTGGAGGAAAAGACAAAAATACACATACGCCACCGACCTTAGGGAAAATTGGATCAAAATGTCACTAAGATGGTATCTAACTCCAAAAAAGCTAGGGAAAATATATAATAATACAAGTTCGACCTGTTGGAAATGTAAGAAGAAAGAAGGTTCCTACTTTCATATGTGGTGGACCTGCGAAAAAGCGAAAGACTATTGGAAGAAGATACAAAAATAGAAAAAAATGTGTTAAAAATAAAATTACCAATGAAACCAGAGCTGTTCCTACTGGGAATGTACGATAATATAGAAAAAAATAAAGACAAAATACTACTTTTAGCGTTAACGGCTGCAAGGATGTGCTATGCAAAAAAATGGAGGCAAACAGAAACACCAGAAGATGATTGGAGAATAAAAATGTTGGACATTAGTAACTTAGACAGACTTACTTTTCTACTACTGAAAAACAAGGAAACTGGAAGAAAAGAAACAGACTGGAAAGACGTCATCGAATACTTAAGGGGAAAGAAGAGACAATGATCTAGAGGGAAAAGGAGAAATCAAGGATGAAAACCAAAGAAGAGGGGAAAGAAATTTAGAAAAGAAAAATAAAGAACTCTACTCTTTTTTATTTTTATCTTCTACTTTAAGATAAGATTAAACAAAATGAACAGAAGATTTTCGGAAGACACCAGGAGGTCGAGATACTCCTACTTTTGGGCTTTCTATTTTAACCTCTTTTCGTTTTTTTTTATGCTCTCTTCCCTTCATCCCCCTTTTCCATTTCTTCCCCACCTCTACACTTAACCCAAGTCTTTCCCATTCTTTATACTCCACCTACGCTAAATACCACTCCCTATATTTTTTTCTTTCTTTCTCTCTCCTCTCCCCCCCTTATTTTTACTTTCTTTTTTCTCTTTTTTTACATATAAGCATACTTGTATGAAAAAACTTCAATAAAGATTTTTTTTTTAAAAAAAAAACCCAAAACAATTAGCTTTCTGACGTCGAGCTAAGATGGCTCTGCCTCTCCTTCAGCCACTAGAAGCAACTTCTCACCCCAGTCCAGAATGCCTTTAAACAACAAGAGTCAAACAAACACTTAGCTTTTGAGTGAACACTGAGACATAGAGTGCTATGATGCCTTCTTGCTTCCTCTTGGGCCAACAGAACTAAACCACCTGAGATCTCCTCAGGAGGCCTGTAAACAACAACAGACAACGAAATGCTTAGTTTTCTAGGGTAATCTAAGAGACAAGTCTCACCTTGAGATAAGATGACTTCTTTCTTCCTCTTCAGCCACTGGAACCCAATCTCTGCTCTGCCCCCGAAAGCCTGTAATAAACTGGAGGGAAACAAACAATTACCTTCCTCACGTCGAGCTATGATGGCTCTGCCTCTCCTTCAGCCACTAGAACAAACTTCTCACCCCAGCCCAGAATGCCTTTAAACAACAAGAGTCAAACAAACACTTAGCTTTTGAGTGAACTCTGAGACATAGAGTGCTATGATGCCTTCTTGCTTCCTCTTGGGCCACTGGAACTAAACCACTGGAGCTCTCCTCAGGAGGCTTGTAAACAACAACAGACAACAAAATGCTTAGTTTTCTAGGGCACTCTGAGAGACAAGTCTCACCTTGAGCTTAGATGACTTCTTGCTTCCTCTTCAGCCACTGGAACCCAACCACTGCTCTGCCTGCAGAAAGTCTGTAATAAACTGGAGGAAAACAAACACTTTTCTAGACAAGGCTTACTTTGAGCTAAAATGGCTTCCTGCTTTGTCTTCAGCCTCTGGAGCTCTATACTGCCTAACAGATAATCTGGATTTTATATGGCAGTGTAGATGGGGCCTGATGGCCCTTCCACGCAGCCCTATGTCCCAGAATATCAACGCAGAAAATCCCACATTATCTGAGTGTGAGCTCAAATAATTCAGTTCAAAGTAGATATTGTGGAATTTTCTGCCATGATATTCTGGGATATACGGCTGTGTGGAAGAGCCCTCTGTTAATGCAAGGGGAACTGTTTAGGGTAAAATGCCTAGTATGGAAAATTTTAATCTTTGTTTCTGGATCAGACCCACCACATTATATTATAAAGGAACTTCAACCCCACACTAAACATCAGAACTGTGAAGTCATGAGTAACTTGGCTTTCACTGTCTCTTGCATGTCAATACATATATCAGTTTCTAAGTAGCTTGTTATATCTGGACTGTATTATAAGCTGCCCCCACCCCTAGTTTCTGCCATGTACTGCATTTCTGTGAGAGTGTTTTAATGTGAAGAACGTATAGAAAACCCAAATTATCAAATAAGTATTTCGCAATTTATTTAGATTTTTTCCCTGGAAATAGACTTGATTGGGTAAGAAAGCCATCCTTTCCTTCTTAGTGATATTTCTGCTCAGTTACACTGGAGAGGAGGTGGTGGCAACTCTGTAGAATTAATGCTGTTTGTACAAACTATAACTTCTCATATTCCATAACATTGAGCTATGGCAGGTAAAGAGATGCCAACCTACATCTATATATAAATACTCTGTGCATAATGAGTACCTTAAAAACAAAAGAACCAATGAATGGAATCACACCAAATTTGGCAACAAAACATCTCACAACACAAGGAGTAACCATCACTCAAAAATTATGATTTTGTCATTTGGGAGTTGTAGTTGCTGGGATGTATAGTTCAGCTACAATTAAAGAGCATTCTGAACTCTATCAACAATGGAATTGAACCAAACTTGGCACATAGAACTCCCATGACCAACAGAAAATACTGGAAGGGTTTGGTGGGCATTGACCTTGAGTTTGGGAGTTGTAGTTCACCTACATCCAGAGAGCACTGTGGACTCAACAATGATGGATCTGGACCAAACTTGGCATGAATATTCCATGTGTCCAAATATGAATACAGATGGGGTTTGGGGGAAATAGACCTTGACATTTGGGAGTTGTAGTTACTGGGATTTATAGTTCACCTACAATCAAAGAGCATTCTGAACCGCACCAATGAGAGAATTTTAATTTTATTCATTACATTTGGCCCGGCCATTAGTTTTTAAATGTGTCATGATGTTACTGTCTTAATGTTTTACTGTTATTGCTTTAATGTTTATTGGTTTGTTTTATGAGTTTTATTGTTGTATTTGTTATGCTGCTGTTTTATTGAGGGCCTTGACCTTTGTAAGCCGCACCTACTCCTTCAGGAGATGTTAGCGGGGTACAAATGAAGTAAATAAATAAATAAATAGGACCAAACTTCCCACACAGAACACTCATGACCAACAGAAAATACTTAAGGCCGACCAGTCCAACTCCCTTCACCAAGGCAAGAAAACGTAATCAAAGCCCTCCTGACAAAGAGCCATCCAGCCATAGATATAGATAGATATGATTCACACACACAGAGAGATATAGTATCCTAGATTTGAAAGGGACCCCTAAAGAAGGACAATTATATGTTGCATGTTCTAGAGTAGGCAAACCACATCAACAATGACAAAGAAACAAGAAGAAATACTGTTTACCTACAAGCATAAAAAAATTACATATATTAGAAACCAACACTTACTCATTACTTTATTTTCCAGATCACCAGACAGGGCCACAGCAACACATGGCAGGGGACAGCTAGTTACTTATACGGTGTGGATCCACTTTGGGACCCATTTCATGTTCTCTTTTATCCTTCTCATGTGTTCTCCTGAAACATTTTGGCAATGCACATTCAATACACACAGAGAAGCACTCAAAATCTGATGTAATTGTGTCAATGTGGTATTTTCTAGACCTCTAAAAGAAAGGCAGCACTTTTGTTCTGATGTATCAGTTACGAAGTTCTTCATCATCAGAGACTAAGAAAATGTGCCTGTGAAAAAAGATATAGGCTAGACAGTTCTCATATGCCTTCATAAGCAAACTTATTATATACACTAGCCGTCCCCTTACCATGCATTGCTGTGGCCCAGTCTGTGTTTTGCATGTGTGTATATATTTTTGTATACATGTATATATGTGTGTTTGTACATATATATATATGTGTGTGTGGTTTGGCGAATGCATTGTAATGTATTTTGTTTTGTCTTTTTAAGTCTCTTCCACTGTGTTTTTCAGTGTTTTTATGAGTGATAGTCACTTGTTTATTGTGTTCAAATTTGGTGTCAATTTATCCAGTGGTTTTTTAGTTATGTTAATCCCACAAACGAACATTACATTTTTATTTATATAATTACATGAAAAAGGTATTTTTCTTTAGCATCATATTCAAATATCTAGTCTGTGTCTCTAATTAACTTAAACTTTTCTTTCTATGGCATTTGCTCAGTTTCACACTGCTGGCAGAAAGTCTTTTCCAAATAAAACGGCAACTGGAGAAACTGGATGAGCTTTCGGTTAAACTCACATACGATGGAGATCCCATCGCATTGCAAAAACCTCATTTGCTAGAAAGAGTAAACTTCTTACTATACAGCCTTTTCCAAAGGTATGTAAATTATTTGATTTAGCACTATCTTTTAACATAATTGAAAGGTTATTGAAAATTGTGAATTTTATGGGAATATTTATTTTGTCCCAAAAGGTCTGAAAATCTCATTGGATAATGGAACCCTAACATGCCATGTTGGGATTAAAAAATCCTGCCTATCTTGTAATATATCACAACAGAGAGCCAAGCAGATAGATAGTCAAGAGTCTGTTTGAAAGGGTCAATAACATATAAACTCACCAACATTCAAGAATAGTCCAAGTCAAGATCCCAACATGCAATCATAAGTCCAAATACAAAGTCCATCAACAAAGGCACTAGCTGTAGTTCTTTCCAAGACTTTGCTCTCAGTAAAAGAGCTGCTGCAGCCATCAGCTATTTATGCTGCCCAATAAAGCCCTTACAGTTGAGAGACCCTATTATGAACCAGCCTATTGGACCTTCTCAGCTGGATGGCATCAACCATTAATCAGCTCCTGCTCTTCCCCCTCAAGAGCCTCATCCTGCCTCAACTCAGTTCCCTCCAAGCCTGGAGGGGCCTGCTTCTGCTCAGCATTAGTGAGCTCCAAAATGTCAGGCTACTCAGGTGGCTGTTCTGCAATTGCCCCTGTTGCAGCTGGTAGAAAACCTTCTTCCCCATTATCCTCATCCTCTACCAATGTCCTGACAGACCAGCACATAATGTATCCAAGAGGGTGTTCTCAGGATCTGACAATATGTGAAAGAGTAAGTCCTGGTTTTGGGTCCTGTGCACATAATATTGCAATTCTAGCATTTCTAGAACAACACAAATGACATTGCAAGCCATGAGTACACATCAGCTATTGTGAAAAGGGAGTTTCCCAGGCTGACTAAAACAGATCGGAATATTTAATTTTTGTTTTACACCTACAGTATTAACTAAAATAATTTTCTTCCTTTCATACTAGTTCATTTATAGTTGAGAGACAGCCCTGCATGCCAACTCATCCCCAGAGATCCTTGGTTCTAAAAACCTTAATCCAGTTCTCTGTTAAACTTCGGTGAGTAAACTGTCTCATTTGTCATGTACTTGAATTGTGTGACATCCTAGAATCTCATTTAAACTTTTCATGCTTCAGAAACCAAGTTCTTATGTCTATATAGTTTCAAAATTTCATTAGCTTTTGTGTTGTAAAAGCCATTTGATAGCTGGAGATCAGGACTTGTTTGAAAACAAATCCTGCCAAAAAAATGTTTTGGGAAAAACTGTTTTTTCACAAAACATTTTTTTTTACAAAAAAAAAAAGCTTTGTCCAAAAAAGTCTGTGATAATTTGTAGAAGGTTGACTATTTTCTTGATAAGTTTTTCATTGTGTAGAGACATCTTTTCTCATCTAGAATGGAAAAATACGTTTGCAATCCATGCCTTTGGTGACAGGACTCTCAGTAACATCAAATTAATCAATTGTAGTTGATTGTTGTAGGGGTTTTTTTTTTTTTGGGGCTATATGGCCATGCTTTAGAGGCAATGCCTCTAGAACATGGCCATATAGCCTGAAAAAACCTACAACAACCCATTGATTCCAGCCATGAAAACCTTCAACAATCAATTGTAGTGCTTGTTTTTGGGAGAACTAATTTGCCTTACCAGTTGCATCTTTATCTAGTAGTAATATTTGCTGTGAAGTGTATACAGCAGTTTCCTCTAAAGTTGAATTGTGTATTTTAAATTCTTAGGCTACTTATTAAATTGCCAGAGCTGAACTACCAAATCCGAGTGAAAGCTACTATTGACAAGTAAGTAATGTGAAAAAATGTGTGATCTGTAGTGGAAAAAACTACAGATTCTCAGTGACAAAATATATTCATATCATAGACAGAATAGACAGAAGCAGCAACCTAAATCCAGTTGGTGCTTCTTGTGACAATAGGACCATAGAATCAGTCGAAATTTGTTAAAACAACATTTATGTAAGTGCCATTGAATCAGTGGGTCTGCTCTAGCTAGGATTAATTATTAGATTTTAGGCATCATTCAAGATGATTGTAGGACTTGAATCCCCATCCGGAAGTACAAGGACCTCCAACATGCTCAAGTAAGCTGTCTTCCTTCCCTTTGTTTTTCTTTTAGGCAAAACAGAACCACTTATTTTTACTATTAATTTCTGTATTTCTCAGGGAAATAACTCTACAAGATCTGCATGTCATTGTATACTCGCTCCCATTTTCATCTGCTTAAGGGGTGTATTTATGGAGGGTGGTATACATTAAATAAAATCCTGCCTTAGTTCTCTTTCATGTTCCCTATTAATCCTCTCTGGACCATCCTCCAAAAAATCGGGTGCCCTAACAAATTTGTGAACATCCTGCGGCTCCTCCATGATGACAACAGTCTTGGACAGCAATGGCTCCCAAAGTGGCCCATTTAAGGTGGAATCGGGTGTCAAACAGGGATGTGTTATTGCCCCAACTTTATTCTCCATCTTCATCGCTATGATACTTCACCTTGTTGACGGGAAGCTTCCCACCGGAGTGGAAGTCATCTATCGGACAGATGGCAAGCTGTTTAACCTCAGCAGACTGAAAGCCAAAACCAAGGTTACAACAACATCTGTTATAGAACTCCAGTATGCTGATGACAATGTTGTCTGTGTGCATTCAGAAGATGATCTACAAGCCACTCTAAACACCTTCGCAGAAGCATACACGAAGCTTACACGAAGCTCTGTCACTGAACATCGAGAAAACCAAAGTGCACCAGCCATCCCCTCCCCAATGCCAGAGATACAACTTAATGGTGTAACATTAGAAAATGTTGACCATTTCCGCTACCTTGGCAGCCACTTCTCCACCAAAGTCAACATCGACACCAAAATACAACACCGTCTGAGCTCTGCGAGTGCAGGATTTTCCTGAATGAAGCAGAGAGTGTTTGAGGACCGGGACATCCGTAGGGATACCAAGGTACTTGTCTATAAAGCTATTGTCCTCCCAACCCTACTCTATGCCTGCGAAACGTGGACTGTCTACAGATGTCACATGCAATTCCTGGAACAATTCCATCAGCGCTGCCTCTGGAAAATCCTGCAAATCTCCTGGGAAGACAAGCGGACAAACGTCAGCGTGCTGGAAGAAGCAAAGACCACCAGCATTGAAGCGATGGTCCTCCGCCATCAACTCCGCTGGACCGGCCACGTTGTCTGGATGCCTGACCACCGTCTCCCAAAGCAGTTGCTCTACTCCGAACTCAAGAACGGAAAACGGAATGTTGGTGGGCAGGAAAAGAGATTTAAAGATGGGCTCAAAGCCAACCTTAAAAACTCTAGCATAGATACTGAGAACTGGGAAGCCCTGGCCCTTGAGCGCTCCAGCTGGAGGTCAGCTGTGACCAGCAGTGCTGCAGAATTGAAGGAGGCACGAGTGGAGGGTGAAAGAGAGAAACGTGCCAGGAGGAAGGCGCATCAAGCCAACCCCGACCGGGACCGCCTTCCACCTGGAAACCAATGCCTTCCCTGTGGGAGAAGATGCGGGTCAAGAATAGGGCTCCACAGCCACAAAAATAGTCATCAAGGAAGACCATCTTACTTGTCCAACGAGGGATCGCCTAAGTAAGTAATCCATATTCTGCATCTCACCTCCCAACATCATCCTCAACATGTTAACTGTATGACGTTTCATTGTCTTTTCAGTATGTTGGTGAAGTTCCAGAAACAATTATTTTTCATAGATCTTTATGTTTCTTTTTCTTTTTTCTGGTTTCCCACTAAGTTTTAATGCATACCTTTTGCTCTTAGGTCTGTGGACCCAGGTCTAGTGTTAGGATGCATCTACGCTGTATAATGAATTCAGTTTAACTGCACTTTAACTGCTGTGGCTCAATGTTATGGCATCATGGGAGTTGTACTGCATTACTTCTATTAGATATAGTTTTCAAAGTCTTGTAGTATAAGATATTAGACTCATTTTACAATTGGTATGTGTCAAACTACAGATAGGTCTGTAAAAATCAGGGGAAAGAAACCAACTAGCTTATTAAATGACAGCAAAATGACACAGATGTAGGCTGCTGAATCATCAACACCTCAGCAGTGTTATTTCATGAAAAACTTTCCACTTCCCTGCGTTAGCATTGTTTCCGAACAACAAAACTGCATAATTTGGGTTGTGGTTCTCTTTGAGTTCCTCACTGTGTAAATCTAAAACTCAGAAAATTCATCATTGCCTCTAGAACTGCAACTGAATTGTAGCCTCTTTGAAGTTTGTCACCAAAAGGAGGTCTTCGGATCTTTCACAGGAAACTGATAGTGGATTCCATTAGAGTCATGATGTTTTGTTTTGTTTTATTTATAGCCTGCTTTTCTCCTAGCACAGGATTCAAGGAGGTCCACAAACACTGAAAACAACACACAGTTTAAAAAACACATAATGAAACAATTTTAAAAACACATAATGAAATAGAAACATAACACTGCTCATGTTGAAAGCGCTGCAAATGTCTTCCTAAATAAAAATGCTTTCCAGCAAAAAAGACAGCAGTGATGGTGCCAAATGGACCTTCCATGGAAGGGAGTTCCTGAGCCATGTAGGTCTTTACTTTACTTACTTAGGCAATGCCTCATTTTCCGAGGAGGATTGTCTTCCAGTATTCTTGTGGGTCCGTATGTGACTGGGGAGCCCTATCCTTGCTCTGCATCTTCTTCAACAGTGAGGGCATTGGTTTCCAGGTGGAAGGCGGTCTCGGTCGGGGTTGGCTTGATGCACCTTCCTCTTGGCACGCTTCTCCCTTTTGCCCTCCATTTGTACCTCTTCAAATTCTGCAGCACTGCTGGTCACAGCTGACCTCCAGCTGGAGCGGTCAAGGGCCAGGGCTTCCCAGTTCTCAGTGTCTATGCCAGAGTTTTTAAGGTTGGCTTTGAGCGCATCTTTAAATCTCTTTTCCCGTCCACCAACATTCCGTTTTCCGTTCTTGAGTCGGAATAGAGCAACTGCTTTGGGAGACGGTGGTCGGGCATCCAGACAACGTGGCCGGTCCAGCGGAGTTGATGGCGGAGGACCATTGCTTCAGTGCTGGTGGTCTTTGCTTCTTCCAGCACGCTGATGTTTGTCTGCCTGTCTTCCCAAGAGATTTGCAGGATTTTCCGGAGGCAACGCTGATGGAATCGTTCCAGGAATTGCATGTGACGTCTGTAGACAGTCCACGTCTCACAGGCATATAGCAGGGTTGGGAGGACAATTGCTCTATAAACAAGCACCTTGGTATCCCTATGGATGTCCCGGTCCTCAAACACTCTCTGCTTCATTTGCAAAAATGCTGCACTCGCAGAGTTCAGGCAGTGTTGTATTTCAGTGTCGATGTTGACTTTGGTGGAGAGGTGGCTGCCAAGGTAGCGGAAATGATCAACATTTTCTAATGTTACACCATTAAGCTGTATCTCTGGCATTGGAGAGGAGTTGACTGGTGTCTGCTGGAGCAGCACCTTGGTTTTTTCAATGTTCAATGACAGGCCAAGCTTCTCATATGCTTCTGCGAAGGTGTTTAGAGTGGCTTGTAGATCTTCTTCTGAATGCGCACAGACGACGTTGTCATCAGCATGCTGGAGTTCTATAACAGATGTTGTTGTAACATTGGTTTTGGCTTTCAGTCTGCTGAGGTTGAATAGCTTGCCATCTGTCCGATAGATGATTTCCACTCTGGTGGGAAGCTTCCCATCAACAAGGTGAAGTATCATAGCGATGAAGATGGAAAATAAAGTTGGGACAATAACACATCCCTGTTTGACACCGGATTCCACCTTAAATGGGTCACTTTGGGAGCCATTACTGTCCAAAACTGTTGCCATCATGTCATCATGGAGGAGCTGCAGGATATTCACAAATTTGTTAGGGCATCCGATTTTTTGGAGAATGGTCCAGAGAGCGCTGCTATTCACTGTGTCGAATGCGTTTGCAAGGTCGATTAATGCCATGTACAGAGGTTGATTTTGTTCTCTGCATTTTTCTTGGAGCTGTCATGCAGTGAAGATCATGTCCATGGTTCCTCTGGAAGGGCGGAAGCCGTTCTGGGATTCTGGGAGGGTGTCTTCTGAAAGGGGCAGAAGGCGGTTTGCAAGGGTCTTTAAAGAGTATAAGAATTATAACCACCACTGCGAATTCTGTCCAAAATGGATTGACAGCCAGTGGATCTATTTCAGCTTAAACAATTCCCTAAAAGAACTTTATGAAATTCATGGGGTTGCAATGGGTTGAAAGGCAATTTGATACATACACATAACCAAAACTGTCTTTAGAAATACTTCAAAGATGTAATATGTTATTGAATAAATGACTAGTGATACTGGATTTGGACAAACAAACTGTTGGACAGGGAAAGAACCCAAGGTGATCTATCGTGGCATTGTAAACTCGGAAACGACTATGTCCATCATTAGTTCCTGGAGCCACATCCTTAAAGAGGATCAAAAATGCAGGCTCCTGTTCCACCAGGAGCAAATTTTTGTAATGTGAATAGATCTTGGTGTTTGGTCATTCAAAACTAAGCCAGCTTTGCATTACACAATAAGAATGGCTCACAGCAGTGTATTATTACACCCCATCCCATCCATGGCAAGCTACTGCAAACAAGCTCAGAGGGAACAAGGAAGTTGTGTGGGATGGCAGATAATGCCATCACTCTTGCTAACCAAATATCCTAAGGGTTGGCTTCATTACACCATCAGTTGTGGTTGCATGGACAAAATTATGTCATGCACTTAGGTCTCTGCAGAAAGTTACACATTACAGTTGGTCCTTCCCATTGGTGGATTTAATTTTTGGCAGATATGATTAAGACATTATTTTTGGGAATCTCTAGGTCCTCCAGTGTGATTTTATGATCAATTTCCACTGGGATTTTTATGGAGGAACTTTGAGGTCATCTATATACTGTTTGCATTATTTTAGTCCACAAATCCTACTGTGGTCATCATCATCTGGTTTCCCATGAATTCAATAAAAGGTCTTCTTGAAGCTTGTGTGTATTAGTTTGTTGTAATGCTAAACTTAATTTGTCCATTTTTGCCATTTCAAAATCTTTTTTAATCCACTTTTCTAATGTTGATATCTTTTGTTGTTTCCATAGTTTTGCATATTTGATTCTTGCTGCTGTTGTCATATAGAGGAAAAATACTTCTTGATGTTTTAATATTTGATTGTCCATTAATTTCACTAGGAAAAGTTCTGGTTTTAGAGAAATTCTGTGTTTTTAGGATAATCTCCGTGTCTCTGTGAATATTTATCCAGATTTTAGGCAAGTCTTTAGTAAAAAGTTCTAGTCATTTGTTGACATTTCCAAGACATGTTGGAACTTTTTTTAAATCTTCGAAAGTTTTTCTGGAGTTATGGACCATCTATATATTATTTTGAAAAATCTTTCTTTGATAATATAGCTCTATGTAAATTTTAGTCGCTTTTTCCAAAGTTCTTCCCATTCTTCTAAATGTATTACTCAGCATATATTTTTTACCCATTAGATCATAGGATTATTTACTTGTTCATCAATTGTATAGTCTTTCAGAAGAAATTGACCCAGCTTCCCAATCTGTTTTGTTTTTGGCTGCAGTATTTAGTTCCTTTGGTTCTCCAATTTAAACAAATAACTCTTTTTTAAAAAATGCATGTTTAGCTGAGCGTTTTCTGTGTATGCAGATTTGCATAATAAATGCTCATGTTCTTTTCTCTGTTTCTTTGCCTGTTTTCACCCAGGAATGCTTCTACTATAAGGTAAGAAAATGTAAATGGTTGTACTTGTGATAATGAGTGCACATTATTCCTTATTATTTTCCATGGTGCTTTATTGGAATGTCTCTTCCAGTAATCGCAGATTTGTCCTCTGCGGTACTCATGTCAAAGCAATGAACATGGATGAGTCTGAAAATGGAAGTCTTTCTGTGGAGTTTCGACATCTGGTAAGTGAGCGCTTCATTTGTTGTGACACACAACAACAACAACAACAACAACAACAACAACAACAACAAAGCTTTATTTATATCCCGCCCATCTCCCAATGGGATCTTAGAACAGCTTACAACATGAAAAGGCAAATATTCAATGCCATAATAAATACAATAAATAAACAATACAATTAAATAGTATACAATGATCAATTATAAAAATAATAGTGTATTAAACCAATAAGAACATATTAAATAACATCAATAAGAGCAAAAGAGCAACAATGTGGGAGCCATTTCCACACACAAATCAGAGAAGAGTTGCACTGATAGTGCCATCATTTCTGCATTGTTAGAATCTTTTGCATTTGGCTCAGGACCCTTCTATGCTGCCATATAAATCCAGATTATCAAAGCAGATAATCCACATTATCTCCTTTGAGTTGGATGATATGAGTCTTCACTACCAGACAATCCAGTTCAAAACAGATAATCTGGATTTTGTATGGCACTGTAGAAGGGTCTGAGAGTAGTTCAACGTGATATCTTATGTTGACTAGTGTGTTTTGTTTGTTTAAAAAGCAAACAAAAATAATCAATGAATGTGATACAATGCAGAGAAGAGGGAGCTGATACTGCTTTGATACTGATTTAATTTAAAGTTTGGATTAAAAGGGTAGATCCATTGGTCCAGTGGTAAAGAAAAGTTGCCAGCTGCCATTGAATATAATAAACTATCTACATGAAAAACTGTTTTTGTAATTTTTGTTCTCAATCTTTTAATTTTTTAGCAACCAAAGGAAATGAAAGCAAGTGCTGGAAACAAAGGAAATGAGGTAGGAAGAATGAATTGTCCAAGAAATCCTTGATGTGCCTTTCAGGTAATATCTTATCTCAAAATAAAGTAGAAGGAAGAAGAGGGCTAACAAACCTAGATTTAATCCTAACCAATTGGTCACTGGAATCAAAGCAATTGGTACTTTAGGAGAAAGTGGTCATGAGTCGCCGATAGGCTGAGAAAGGCAGTATACAAATACAGTAAATAAATAAATAATAAATAGTACTAGAATTCGCAGTTGTTGGGCAGGGCAAATAAGGATATGGTCAAATACAGACATTAGATTTCTGGAAAGCTAATTTTAACAAGTTCAGGGAAATACTGAATGGAATAATATGGTTTGACATGCTAAAAGAAAAAGACATCCAACAAGGGTGGGAACACTTGAAAACGGCATTGCAAAAATCACAAACACAAGCAATTCCAAAGATGAAGGAAAATAGGAGACATCTGAAAAAGCCAACGTGGATGCACACCTTCAAAGAAAAAATGAAAAGAAAAAAGTTTGTGTGTATAGGTATATAGAACAGAAAACAGGTCAAGGAAAGGTACAGATGTGTAGCACAGGCTTGCAGGTATAACAGAAGGAAAGCTGAAGATCAAAATTAGCTGTGACCCCATCTACAATGCATTTAATCCAGTTTCTAAATCCATATTAGCTGCTTTGAAGTCAAATATATGGCAGTGTAGACTTATATAATCCAGTTCAAAGCAGACAACCTGAATCCACTGCTATATAATCCAATTCAAAGCAGATATTCTAGATTTTATATGGCAGTGTAGATGGGGCCAAAGTCTACACTGCCATATAATTCAGGTCAAAATAGATAATCTGGATTTTATATGGCAGTGTAGAAGAGACCTTACATTGAGCACGGGTGAAGTCAATGGCTTATGAATCCCTCTCCAACTCTACGATTATGACTCTTTGACTATAACTGCAGGATGCTGACTTGAAAAATGATTTTAAATGACCTTATCAATGTACAGTATTTAAGAGTAAATGTATCAGCTGTCCTATCACACTTTATGATAGATGAAGTGGTGGCAGTCAGATACACAAATGTTTAGATGGTATGCAACAATATAATTTTAAGGTACAGTTATTACTGTATATACTCGAGTATAAGCCTAGTTTTTCAGTCCCCTTTTTTAACCTGAAAAAGCTCCCCTCGGCTTATACTCGAGTCAAAGTGATTTATTATTTTACTCTGTTATTAGTATTATTTTTATTACATTTATTATTTTACTTTATTATCAATATTATTACATTTACATTATTTTAGTCTATTATTATTTTATTACATTTATTCTACTCTATTATTATTATTACATTTATTATTTTACTCTGTTATTATTACATTTATTATTTTACTCTATTATTATTGGAAGGATACATAAGCACATTTACACTGAAAAAGGTTAGAATAATGGTTTAATCAAAGTTGGTCAGGCTTATTTTAAATTACAGCTGTATGTAAACAATGAAAAACATTTAACCTACTGTTTCCTCAATTAGTGTAATTTTATTGGTATCTATTTTTATTTTGAAAGTTACCCGTAGCTGCTGCATTTCCCACCTTCGGCTTATACTCGAGTCAATAAGTTTTCCCAGTTTTTTGTGTCAAAATTAGGTGCCTCAGTTTATATTTGGGTTGGCTTATATTCGAATATATACGGTATATATTTTCTTAAAAGCAAATAACTAAATTTAGTCAAAAGTTTGACATGGGAGTTTGGAATGAGCATCCAGAATGAAAATATTGTCTGTTTACAACACAAGAATATTAGCACTACAGTGTTCCCAAGATTTTGCTTATGTCTTCCCGTCTCTTGCTGGCATTTAACAGAGCATTGAGTTTAGGGCTCCCCCTTCTGGATCAAATTGTGTTTTCTCATGGAAGACAAACATTAAGAAAATTCATATTACGTATATATTTAGTAGGGCTTAAATACCTTATCAGATCCTGCCTGATCTTGGATCCTAAGTAGGGTGGGCTCTGGATAGGACTTTGATGGGAGAACATCAATGAATACCAAGTGTCGTTGGCTGGATTTCTGGAGAAGGAACTGGAAAAATTACTGGTGTGTTCCTTACTTAATAAAACTCTATGAAATTCGTGGGATTCCCATAATATCTAAAAATGTTGCCTTAATTGCTTGGAAAGAGATTTTCAATTTAAGACTTACCCAGGTCATTCAGCCATACAAGATATTGGTGTTGTTTTGTTTTTTTAAACACATTTAACCCTGTTTTCTAAATATAATGAAGAACGTGTGGTCTTTCGATATTACATTTTGAGTTGGTAACCAACCCTCTCATGTTCAGTAACCAGCATGTGTTTCAGTTACTAAAAACTATTTTTCTTCTGGTTAGGGTCCTCAAATGGTTACTGAAGAATTGCATTCCATTACTTTTGAAACGCAGGTCTGCTTGTATGGGCTGACCATAGACTTGGAAGTAAGTGTTATCTTTCTGTCTATCCATCCAGCCATCTAACCATGTGGTAGGAGTGAATGAAAAAAGAACTTACATAGAAACGATCCATATTACTCAGTAGCAAATTCCTCTACTTTAGAAAAATGCTTAAAAATAACTCTACTAAATATGTATATCATTTTTTTAAAAACCACCCTGTGTTAGCTGAAATGAAAATATGAACATTTTTGTTTCCATAAGTCAATAAACATAAATTGAAGCTGAGTAAACATTTTCTGTTCTCTCTTCAACCATCCCACCACTCTTCCATCCAATTCTCTCAACACAAGAAAAGTTAGGCATCTGCAAAACATCTGTTTATTTACTCCTTGCTAGAAGAACTAGATTCCCAGAAATTCCTCAGAACAGCTGTTACTCCCCAATTTAAAATGCTTCCTTTTAGAGCTTTCTCAGTCCTGTTGGTATTTTTTGTTTTTATTATTGTTATTTTGTTGTTTTATTGTGGTTTAAATTTCATTAGCTAGGAACCAATAAATATTTATACTGGTGGCAATCTGTGATCACTTTTTGCTTAATTGTATATACTTCTCTTAGGCTAAAGACAAACTTTGAGTAGACCAAGGGCCCTTCTATACTGCCCTTAACCCTGGGAGGAACTGGGATATTTTTGGTCTGGATGAAGACATGTCTACTCAACTATGTTTTGGGGAGACAGAATGAAGCAAAACCTGGTAGCAGATTTTGAAAATTGGTTGTAAACTGTTAGTTGTGTGCCATAGGGTTCCACTTTGCATCCCCTGATGCCTTCTTACTTACTTACTTAGGTGATCCTTCATTGTCCAAGTATGATTGCCTTTCAGGTGTAGTGTCTTGGTGGTGGATACGAAGGTGACTGTGGAGCCCTATTCTTGATTCACATATTATTCCACATTGAGGACATCAATTTCCAGGTGGAAGGTGGTCCCAGTCAGGGTTGGCTTGGCGCACCTTCCTCTTGGTGCATTTCTCCCTTTCGCTTTCCATTCATGCCTCTTCAAATTCCGCAGCAATGCTGGTCACAGCTGACCCCCAGTCAGAGCGCTCAAAGGTCAGGGCTTTCCAGTTCTCCGTGTCTATGCCACAGTTCTTAAGCCCATTTTTAAATTTCTTTTCCTGTCTCTCAACATTCACTTTTTTGTTCTTGAGTTAGAAGTGTAGTAACTGCTATGGGAGGTGGCGATCGGGCATTCAGACAATGTGGCCAGTCCAGCAGAGTTGATGGCATAGGAGCATAACTTCAGTGCTGGTGATCTTTGCTTATTCCAGCATGCTGACATTTGTTTGCCTGTCTTCCCAAGAGATTTGCAGGATTTTTCAGAGGCAATACTGATGGAATCATTCCAGGAATTGGGTGTAGTATCTATAGACTGTCCACGTTTCACAGGCATATAACAGGGTTGGGAGGACACTAGCTTTATAAACAAGCACCGTGGTCTCCCTAGAGATGTTCCAATCCTCAAACATGCTTCATTCAGAAAAATGCTACACTCACAGAGCTCAGGAGGTGTTGTATTTCAGTGTCAATGTTGACTTTTGTAGAGAGGTGGATGCCAAGGCTTGGCAACCTTGATCTTCAAGTGTAGTAGGGGATAGTCTCTTGGCATTACTTTTGGGAATGGATTCAGCAGTCTGTCCAGTTGAATTTTATACTTACAGTTGGAGACAGTGAATGTTGTTAGTTGCCTTAGGCAGCAAGAGATCTTCATAATCTCCTGTTGAAGGACATTGCCTCATGATAGGTTAGCTAAGGAATCACCTTCTCCTGTATAATCCACCCTGTACACTTGGGTTTTCTTGGGGTTATTTACTCCAGTAGTGGAGGATCAAGCTGACAACTGTTTAGAGATGTTTATATGGAGAAAAAAGTGTGTCTTAGAATCAAAGAATACACGTTTTCATCAACTGCCCCCAAAACATGGAATGACCCACCAGGAGTTTCGACAGCTGGATACACTGTTGCATTTAAAACAACATTAAATATTAGTCTCTTTGGGCAGATTTATTCAATTAGTTATAAGTTACAAGTTTTAAAATTATGACTTATTTTTAGTAATATATACGCTCTTTAAATTGTTATTGACTTTTAAATGATGTCTATGTTTTTAATTGTGTTATATGTCTTTTTTGTTTTTGCTGTATTTTCATATGTTGTTCCCTGCCATAATCCATAGGGGAAGGCAGGTTGTTGTTATTGTTGTTAATCCCCAAATCTGTGCAACATTAATACTGATATCGCTTATCTTTCACCAGACATGTTCTTTACCAGTTGTGATGATTTCTAATGTCAGTCAATTGCCTAATGCTTGGGCTTCTATTATATGGTACAACCTGTCCACAAAGGAATCTCAGGTATGTTTTATGTCGCAATTTTCCCATTAATAATGGTCGGTGTGGAATATAGCAGGACATCTTTCCAGGAATGCTACCTTTTGATCTGAAAATGCAGATATCAGATTTTGGAGATTATCGCACAAGAGTGAGGCACACTTTAGTGGCTTCTGGACTAGTGAAAATGCTCCTTTCGCATGACGTTATCTCAGGCTCCTTCTACGCTGCCATATAATCCATATTATCTGCTTTGAACTGGATTATATGTGTCTACACTGCCAGATAATCCAATTCAAAGCAGACAATCTGGATTTTATATGGCAGTGTAGATGGGATTTCAGTTGCATTGCAAACCGGTTTTTCACATGTCGTTTGGCGGTATCTTTCAAGGAATAGGGGAATCTCATGAATAGCCCCCTGAGGTGCTTTGCTCCAGTGTTGTGAAATGCCAATAGCAGCAATAGTCATGTGTTGCGTTTTCCTACAGCACCAGAACAGTGAATTATAGACTACTTCAAACACGACTATATAAAAATAACAAAAGTCACTAACAAACTTCTGTGTTAATCTTTATTTGACTGCAGAACTTGACCTTCTTCAACAATCCCCCGTCTGTTGGATTGAGTCAGGTCCTGGAGGTTCTGAGTTGGCAGTTTTCTTCATATATTGGCCGTGGACTCAATTCTGACCAACTTGGGATGCTGGCAGAAAAACTGACAGGTAAAAAGCATGAAAATACAAAAAACAAAAACCAACACCCCCCCCCCTTCTCATTTCAACTACAATGCAGAAATATAAAGGCCGCTTCTACACCGCCAAATAATCCAAACTATCAAAGCAGATAATCCACATTATCTACTTTGAAGTGGATTATATGAGTCTACACTGCCATATAATCCAGTTTAAAGCAGATAATCTGGATTGTATATGGCAGTGTAGAACCAGCCCCAGAACCAAAGAAATACAGTAGTATTATTATTTGGTGAATTTACTGTAAAACGGCCATCGCTTCCGACCTTTCAGCCTGTTAGGACATGTAAGAAATCAGTTAGTGAGTGTGTTAACTGAAAAATGCAAAGCGCAAAACTGGTTGGGCCATGCCTGGGGAGCTAGCTGAGCCTGGGAGTTTTGGCAACAGTTTCATTTTTAGGCTGAGCTGTGCAGGTGCTTGGGGAGAGAGAGAGAGACAGTTCTTGCTTCATGAGCTGCTGGAAGGAGATATTCCACATGGACACCAAAAGGACATTGTGTGAGTCACTGCAACTGATCTCATGATTGTAAAGATGTTGTTCTGCATTACAAAGAGTAAACTACTTGTTCTCTATTGATCATCTGCATGGCATATTTTCTTTCTCTGGCAAGACTGATAAAACATAACTATGCGTGATTTTCATTACGCCAACCCAACCTTGTTTTCTTGACTGGCAGCAATATGAAAAACCTGAATTATAGCAATGTGGCAAAATGTGTGTTTTAAAATAATCTGCTCTGGCAGGGTTTGCCTTAAAACCGGTCCATTAATTTTCCCTTAACTTTCTAGGACAGCAAGTCATCTATACTGAACAACACATTTCCTGGTCAAAATTCTGTAAGGTATGTTGTGTTCATGTATTTCAAAATGGTTCCTTCCTCCTTATTTGAGTGTCAGCATGGGTCTAGTTCAGTTGCATAATAGATTGTCTCCATATGATAAGTCTGTTCTCTAAGAAGGTGGAGTCCTTTCATGCAACTTCCACATGTACCTTTGCAAAAGCAATTGTGAGTAAAATGAGTGGGCATAGACTGAAGACCATGGATACCTTTTATCCATGACTCAGACCCCTTCTACGCTGCCATATAAAATCCAGATTATTTGCTTTGAACCGGATTATATGGCAGTGGAGACTCATATAATCCAGTTCAAAGCAGATAATGTGAACTATCTGCTTTGAAGGGCCTCAGTGGTATGGAAGAGAAGGTCATTAGCCTTCTCTTCTAAAGAGTGCTCGTGCCTCACAGAACTACAATTCCCAAGATTCCATAGCATTGAGCTATGGCAGTTAAAGTGGTGCCAAACTGCATTAATTCTACATTGCAGTTGTAACACGCCTATCTTTCTTCACTGGTAATGTTAGGGAAAAGTTTTTTTAAAAAAATGTTTGAAAGAAAGAAAATTGAAAATTTCAAAGCTGTTTTGCAAAAGAATAACTATAGTTCATTATGTTCTTTGAAAATATGATGAAACTACCTGTGGTGGAAAATACATATTCACAAGATGAGCATGTGTGGGGGAAAAAATCTCTATTATGCTCATTACACATTGCATAATTTATAGCAACTTTTGGCTAAGTAGGCAAAATTATCTGATTCCACATTCATCATTTCTCTGCTCTTAAAAGGTCTATGCAGGTTTTCAGCCTGTTAAGACATACACATATTTATTTTTAGTTATCAACATGTTTATCTATATAAATAAAAATGTAATGTTAGTTTGCAGGATTAACATAACTTAAAAACTACTGGATGAATTGACACCAGATTTGGACACAATACACCTATCAGGCCAATGAGTGGCCATCACTTATAAAAACACTGAAAAACACTGCAGAAGAGACTGAAAAAAATGCATTGCAACGCATGCACAAAACCATACACACACACACATACACATATACGCAAATATATATACACACAAAATACATATACACAGACTGGGCCACAGCAACGCATGGCAGGGGACAGCTGGTCTATAGAAATAAAAATGTAATGTTAGTTTGTGGGATTAACATAACTCAAAAACTACTGAACGAATTGACACCAAATTTGGACACAAGACACCTATCAGGCCAATGAGTGACCATCACTCATAAAAACACTGAAAAAACACAGCAGAAGAGACTTAAAAGGACAAAAAACAAAAATTACATTACAACACATAAGCAAAACCACACATACACACAACWCATATACACACACAAAATGCATATGCACAGACTGGGCCACAGCAATGCATGGCAGGAGACGGCTAGTGTATTATATATATATATATATATATATATATATATATATATATATATATATAGTCCCCCTTTGGAATAAGACTAAATCAATAAATAGTTTGCTTCATCCCTTAAAACATTAATTTGATTTATAAACAGGAGCACTTGCCTGGGAAATCATTTACATTTTGGGTATGGCTTGAAGCAATCTTGGAGCTGATTAAAAAGCATATTCTTCCTCTTTGGATTGATGGGTGAGTAGCATTTTGGTATTTATACACTGTTGGCTGTGAAGAATGCTGTCCCGCTTGGAGTCTCAATAATAATAATAATAATAATAATAATAATAATAATAATAATAATACATTGTTATTATTAGGGGACTCATGGCGGCTTACAGCAAAATAAAATGCAGTGGTTAATATTCAACACTGAGGGTAACAAGTAATAAATCAAAAGATATCTTAAATAAACAAGACATAATACCATGCACACTTTTAACATATTAGATTATAGGGGCCAGGCTTAGCACAGCAGGCTAAACCACTGTGCTGCAGAAAAATTCTGGCAATCAAAAGGTCTGCAGTTCGAACCCATGTCGGGTTGAGCATCTGCTATTAGCCCCAGCTCACCTGCTCACCTAGCAGGTCGAAAGCAGGAAGGTGAGTAGATAAATAGGTACCACTTTTAGCAGGGAGGTAATAAAGATGTCAACTTTAGATTTGGTTTGGTTATTTGGGGTGATGATTCAGAAAACTGCATTCTATAAACCACATGTGCTCTGGTTTCTGATACAGATCACATGCCATCCAGTAGCCACCATCTGCTTGCCCACAGAAAGCCATATTTAATAATCCAGAGCTGATGGGTTCTATCCAAGGTGTCGGGGCTGGTCAGCGACAGGGAAAGAGTGGCAGGCAGGGTGAAAGGAGTGGAAATAAAATAAATAAAATAAAGAGGAAGGAGGCTCGCAGACTAGATTTTTGTTTTCATGGCCCACTGGTGGTCCATGGCCCACAAGTTAAGAACTACTGACAACCTGGTTGTCTCTGATTTGTTAAGAACAGAGATTATGCCAATGCACGAAATATAGCAGTTCTTCAGAAGTGTTCTTTTCAGCACGCAAAAATATCTACTCTCCCATAAAATATCTTGTTTCTATATCATCCTCTCAAGAGATAAAAATAAAGTAGATTTCGTTAAAAGTAACATACCTGGTTTACTCACAATCTTCATATTTTCAGCATTTTTCTATCCCAGTCGGGTTAATTGCTGGATGCGGGAAGCATTTAAAGTGATGAAACATAGTAGGAAACACATTTTATTCCTTTCCCCATACCCATTTCCTAATCAAAAATAGTGTGTTCAAAAAACAACACTGGCTGGTCTTAGACCATCAATTCTCTGGGGCAACTGCATAACATTTTCCCAAGTGAAATGCTTGAAAATGTTCAACAGGGATGTGTTTACATAAAGCTGTCATGTTTTCTCCTGTTCATTTACAGATGTATCATGGGCTTTGTGAGCAAAGAGAAGGAGAGAGGTTTGCTCAAGGACAAGATGCCAGGGACATTTTTATTGAGATTCAGTGAAAGCAACCTAGGAGGGATTACATTTACATGGGTATCTCAGTCAGAAAATGGTAAGTGCGTTTGTTTTAAGGGTACCAAACACTTCACAGAAGCAGCAATATGGAACTTCGGTACCAAAATTATAGTGCACATTTATGACCTACCCACCGTTCAATTGTCAGAGACAACCTGCTTTTTCAACTTGCAGTATTCCCATTGTTATTAACCCTTAGTAGTTATTGGAAGTAACCAGTGGAATGAATCAGGTACAATGGTGAAGTTGGTGTGGCCTATATTATTTGATTGTTGTTACTTTGAAAAAACAAATAGATCTTTGGTGGCAACACCCACACCAGCAACAACATTTTATTCTCATTCAGATTGTGGTTTTTATTTTTAATAATCAGAATACATCACAGCAACGAATCTGAAGCGATTTTGTGATTCTGTACTTGCAATTCATACTGTGTTCCTTGCCCATTCTTCCACTTCCTTAAAAAGGTAAAGGTTTCCCCTGACATTAAGTCTAGTTGTGTCCAACTCTGGGAGTGATGCTCATCTCCATTTCTAAGCCGAAGAGCCAGCATTGCCCATAGACACCTCCAAGGCCATGTGGCCGGCATGACTGCGTGGAGCACTGTTACCTTCCTGCAGAAGCGGTACCTATTGATCTACTCACATTTGCATGTATTTGAACTGCTAGGTTGGCAGAAGCTGGGGCTAACAACGGGAACTCATCCCGCTCCTCGAATTCAAACCGCCAACTTTTTGATCAACAACCTAACTTCCTTAGCACTATCTAAATGATGACAATGGGCTTTCTGGAAAAAAAAACAGTATTGGAACAAATCTGAATGCATGCATGAAATATGTGCACATGTCATTCTTTATTGATTTGACTGTATTATTTAGTATTGCCTAGCCGGCTGGCATTCTTAACCCTCCTCTAGTGTAAATATGTTGCCATCAGACTCCCAATGTATGGTACGTATGATAGCAGAGGTTTATTTTCTGCCAGTGCTTAATTGGATTTTGGCTTAAGAATACAAATGTTTCTGTATATACTCGAGTATAAGCCAAGTTTTTCAGCCTCTTATTTAGGCTGAGAAAGTTCCCCTCGGCTTATATTCGAGTCAAGGTTATTTATTATTTTATTCTGTTATTAATATTATTTTTATTTCATGTATTATTTTACTTTCTTTATTATTACATTTACAGTATTTTACCCTATTATTATTATTATTATTATTATTATTATTATTACATTTATTATACTTTATTATTATTGCATTTATTATTTTACTCTTATTACTGTTATTATTGCATTTCCGTTATTTTACTTTATTGTTGTTGTTGTTATTATTATTATTATTATTACATTTATTATTTTATTCTCTTTATTATTGTTGGAAGAATGTGCAAGTATATTTACATTGAAGAAGGTTAAAATAATGATTTAATCAGAGTTGGGCAGTCTTATCTCAAATTACAGTTTTATGTAAATATTCAAAAACATTTCACCCCCTGGTGCCTCAATTAATGTAATGTTATTGGTTTTTATTTTTATTTTGAAATTTACCCATAGCGGCTGCATTTCCCACCCCTGGCTTATACTCGAGCCAATACGTTTTCCCAGTTTTTTTGTGGTAAAATTAGGTGCCTCAGCTTATACTCGAGTATATACGGTATATTAAGTATGAATATAAAATATAATAAGTACCATTGTTCCTGATTTAGATCTCATCTGGACCAGATACTGCACCATAATCTTCTGTGTAGCAAATTATTTAGCAGTTTAATAAAACGATGGCTCTATAGCACATTTTGAATTTGACAGCATTTTGTACATTGAACACTCATTTTAAAAAGGGCCCTGTGGTTTGTTTTCGTTTTCCCCTTAAATTCTGCAAAAAGTTATCTGTCTCCTTACTAACACATATGCTCTCTCTGCAGGGGAAGTGGATTTCCATTCTGTGGAGCCATATAACAAGGGTCGTTTAACGGCATTGCCTTTTGCTGACATTTTACGAGATTACAAAGTTATTACGGAAGATAATGTTCCTGAAAACCCTCTGAAATATCTTTATCCAGATATCCCCAAAGACACAGCCTTCGGAAGGCATTACAGCTCACAAGCAAGCGAAGGTTGGATAATATTGTTGTGAATGTCTTCCCTTATTAAGATTTCTTTCCTACAGTTTTACCTTTGAAAGAAAGAGACACTTAAATTAAAATGGGGGCTGCTTTCCGTATTTTTTAATTACTAAAATCTTGTATGGTCTATTCAAACATCACCACTGCACATTGGTGGTGTTTGGTGGCGTATAAGGGTAGTGAGAGAAAGGTCTTTGCATTTAACAGGAAAACAATGGGGCTAGCCTCATGCACACATGCTCTATACTGGCCCTAGAGGCTATAGTATCATGTTGGAGTCTACACAATCCAGTCAAGCCAAGGTTACATCAGCCTCGCAAGACCCACACATCATCCCTTTCACCATTGCCACTTCCAAGTGGCTGGAGAGCTCTGTATGACCTCCTTGTTGTTGCGAGAACCTTGTGCTGACTTCAGTAGACGTGCCTGTGGTGGCCAGGGGCTTCCACAGAGCTTTGTGGCTGTCCAGGAGTAGCAATGGCAGTTTCCCCTCTGCTCAACTAGACCCAATTCTGCTGTCCACACTGTCCCCAAGCTGTGGGGTTACCACAGAGTTTCAGACAACATCAGGAGCTTCTCCCATTTGTTCCTAACCTAGGGCCAAAACAGATTAACTGGACTTAACCTGAAATACTTACCGGAAGTGAAGAAATGACATCAAGATGGCCAGAATCAAAGTCAGGATGAGACCTTCACCAACCATAGCTGTATGAAGGATCATACAATTTATGATCAACAACATTTGGAGGGCCACAAACTCCTTTGTCCAGATATACAACTTCATTACACATTTAAAAAATAAGCATCCTAGGATGCTTCTGTCCCAGTTCACTCACTGAGCCCCATGCCACCTATCAGACCAGGCCCATAGCCAGGATTTTGATTTGGGGGTGGGGGGCTGAATTTGATTCAGGGGGACTGAGTTTGATTTGGGGGAGCTCAGGATCTACCCTAGCAAACTTTTTGTATCTTTATCCCAATACCCCCATGCATATGGGATATATTGAGCATGGTGATAAAATCATGATATGAATAAACATAACAGTTTAAATAATGTACCAGTAAGGCCTTCTTGCGGAGCACCCTGAGAATTTCAGGGGGGGGGGAGGCTGAAGCCCCTCAAGCCCCCCCCCCCCCCTTCAAGCTATAGGCCTGTATCAGACAACGTAGGCTGACTTCCGTGGCTGAACAGGGGCAGCAGCGTGATAGGACACTGCACCGCCAACAGAGTAGCCTCCCTGTGTTCCATTGGGAACGATGGGTCTACTGCGAGCTTAAGCCGCACGGTGACACTTCCCCACATGTGATGAGAAAGTGTTAAAAGGAGAGAGAAGAAAGAAAAGGAATTGAATGAAAGGGAAAGGAAAGAGAAAAAGTTACAGTCCCATAAGGGTGTCTGTCATAGAAAGAGCTTCATGGCATGTATTGTTGAATTCCAAGACCAATTTGACTCACTTCCTTTAATTAGGAAAAGTTGAACAAATCCATTAGTGAGTGTTTGGAAAGGATGTGAAAATACCTTAAAACTATTAAGTAGACATAGCACATGATGGAAGAAAGGAGTTTAACAAGTTTAGGGTAAAATTGATTGAGTTGCAGTACCGAATAAGGGGAATGTTTAACAATTGTATAATAAGATGGTTTAACTGGGTAGTTTCACCCTGGATAGTTTCACCCTGATTCTCTGATCTTTTCCTGTGTACAACAGCAGTCAGGGCATTGTGGATACATAGCATGGCTGTTTAATGTGCAGCTCTGCTGTGTGTGGAACAAAGGAACACAGGAACGTAGGAGGTTGCTTTCTGTAAAAACTAGCTGCCAATCTAGCCTGGGACTAAACCATCACTGAAGAATGTAGGCAGGAGAAATCATGAAGCAATACGTTGAAGTGCCCTCTTGAATGTACAACATGAAGTGGTATCCCATTTTCTATTGAAACCTACTCAGTGAATGCAGTTTTTATTGCAAGTTTAATATCCATCATATTTAATTTTGTTCAATTTTTAGTGCCAAGACCTACAGAAGGAGGGACTACAGGCTACGTCCCTTCTGTATTTATTCCAGTCTCCAAAATGTGAGTAATACAAAACATATTACTGTTTGGGAAGTCTGATGAATCAGTGCTCTGGGAAACTTTTTGGTTTTGAACGAGGTGAAATTCTTTACTCAGCTGCATTTCAACACCCACTCCTAATATCCAAGGCTCTCTCAAACTCACTAACAAGGTAAATCTACTACAGTTGGCCCTCCACTTTTGCAGGGATTAGGGCAAAAAGACCTCTGCGAAAATGGGAAAACAATGACAATTAACCATTGTTTTTAACTTGAGACCTCCCTTGGAGTCCTCCAGTTCAACTCTGTGGTTATATTCTGACAGATGTTGGCCATAGGAAGACCTAGAAATATCTATAGGAATAGTTAGGCCCTCCAGTGCACTTCTGTGCCCATGTTCTATTAGATAGCCTTCTGGAAAAGCTGATGAGAAACAAGACTTGTGCTTCTTCTATATGGAGAGATTGGAAGTGAGATGTTTGTAAGTCTATTTATTTATTGCGGTTGCTTATACCCCGCCCTTCTCACCCGGGGGGACTCAGGGCGGCTTACACACACAAGGCACAATTCGATGCCTGTATTACAAAAACATAATATCAAAAACATAACATCAGTAACAACAGTAATTATAACACTGATAACAATTAACGTAAACAATCAATATTATCGGCAGGAATAGCCCTAAACCCGTAAAAACAATTAAAACAATAAAAACAATACAAACCTCATTGCTGGTCAGTGTTTAACCGACTCATAGTTAGGTTCTACTTTCCACACATTGTTGGTCCTATCATTCTGGTTCCATGTCTAATTGTCAGGGTGCCCAAAGGCCTGGTCCCAGAGCCACGTCTTTACCTTCCTCCTGAAGGCAAGGAGGGAAGTTGAAGCCCTGATTTCCCCCGGGAGTGAGTTCCACAGGTGGGGGGCCACCACTGAGAAGGCCCTGCTCCTCGTCCCCGCCAGCCTCACTTGTGACAGTGGCGGGGTCGAGAGCAGGGCCTCCCCAGAAGATCTTAAGCTTCGAGATGGGACGTAGAGGGAAATCCGTTCGGACAAATACACTGGGCCGGAACCGTATAGGGTTTTGTAGGTCAAAACCAGCACTTTGAATTGTGCTCGGAATTGGATCGGCAGCCAGTGGAGCTGCGCAACAGGGGGGTGGTATGCTCCCTGTACGACGCTCCGGTGAGTAATCTGGCTGCCGCTCGCTGGACCAGTTGAAGTTTCCGAACAGTCTTCAAGGGCAACCCCACGTAGAGTGCGTTGCAGTAGTCTATCGGGATGTAACAAGAGCGTGGACCACTGTGGCCAGATCAGACTTCCCGAGGTACGGGCGCAACTGGTGCACAAGTTTTAATTGTGCAAAAGCTCTCCCGGCCACCGCTGAGACCTGGGGTTCCAGGCTCAACGATGAGTCCAGGATCACTCCCAAGCTGCGAACCTGCGTCTTCAGGGGGAGTGTAACCCCGTCTAACACAGGCTGTAACCCTATGCCCTGTTCGGCCTTACGACTGACCAGTAGGACCTCTGTCTTGTCTGGATTCAATTTCAATTTGTTAGCTCTCATCCAGTCCGACACAGCAGCTAAACACCGATTCAAGGTCTGGACAGCCTCCTTGGTGACAGGAGGAAAGGAGTGACAGATCTGAACATCATCCGCGTAGAGATAACATTTCAGTCCGAAACTCCGAATGATCTCCCCCAGCGGCTTCATGTAGATGTTAAACAACATTGGGGACAGAATTGAACCCTGAGGGACTCCACATGACAACGGCTGTGGAGCCGAACAGGTGTCACCCAGCAACACCTTCTGGGACCGTCCCTCAAGAAAGGACCGGAGCCACTGCAAAGCAGTACCCCCAAGTCCCATCTCTGTGAGGCGTCCCAGAAGAATACCGTGATCGACGGTATCGAAGGCCGCTGAGAGGTCCAGCAGAACTAACAGGGACACACTCCCCCTGTCTAGCTCCCTGCGCAGATCATCTACCAAGGCGACCAAGGCTGTTTCCGTTCCATGTCCCGGTCTAAAGCCAGACTGTGCCGGATCTAGATAATCAGTGTCTACCAGAAATCCCTGGAGTTGTGTTGCCACCACACATTCCATGACTTTGCCCAAATAGGGGAGATTGGAAACTGGCCGATAGTTGTCTAATTGAGTGGGGTCCAGTGATGGTTTTTTCAACAGCGGTTTTATAACAGCCTGTTTTAGGCTCGCTGGAATTATGCCCTCCCGAAGGGAGGCATTAACCACCACTTTCACCCACTCTGCCAAACCCCCTCTGGCTTCCTTAATCAGCCAGGATGGACAGGGGTCTAGGATGCATGTGGTGGGTCGCACCTCCCCAAGGATCCTGTCCACATCCTCAAGCTGAACCAATTGAAATGAATCCAATAAAACCGGACAAGCAGATGCTCTCGTCACATCCTCAGAGACTGCATTTAAAGTGGCGTCGAATCCCGACCGAATCAGCGCAATTTTATCGGCGAAGAATCGAGCAAATGCTTCACAGCGAGCTCCAGAGCTGTCAGGGATCTCGCTTTCCGGCGGATTTAATAGACTCCTGACAACTCGAAAAAGCTCAACTGGACGATTCTTCGCCGATGCAATACTGGCCGCATAGGATGTTTTTTGTGCTGCCACTATTGCCACACCATAGGACCTTGAGAAGGCATTCAGATGTGTTTGGGCTGATTTAGTGGGATTCTGGCGCCACACGCGCTCTAACCACCTCTTCTTTCGCTTCATTGCTGCCAGCTCCTCAGTGAACCAAGGGGCATGGTTAGCCCGGCTACTCGAGAGGGGGCGTTCCGGAGCGATTACATCGATTGCCCTGGTCATCTCAGAATTCCAGTGAGAGACCAAGGCGTCGATAGAATCACCAGTCAGGAAGGTGGGAAAATCCCCAAGAGCCGTCAGGAATCCATTTGGATCCATAAGTCTCCTATTGTGATCTGTAATTAGTTACATATCAGACATGCTAGTTACATGCACAAAGGTGGAAGAATTCAGACTATGGAGGAGTGCTTGGTGAAATTGATTGATTTAGCGCAGTGGTTCTCAACCTGTGGGTCCCCAGATGTTTTGGCCTTCAACTCCCAGAAATCCTAACAGCTGGTAAACTGGCTGGGATTTCTGGGAGTTGTAGGCCAAAACACCTGGGGACCCACAGGTTGAGAACCACTGATTTAGCAGAAGGTGAAAATAGTGGTGCTTGGAAGGTCATTAGGAACACTTATGGATGCTTTGTGTACCAAGTCTGTTAATTTTTTGGTTTTGATGATGAGAATGGCTTGATTATGGAAAGAGAAAATCTGGTGTTAATATTAGAGAGAGAGAGATGAATAGTGTGTGCATATACAACTGCTGAGAAAAAAAATCAGAAGTTATTTTTTTTCCCCTTGTCTAATTGGATTTTGAAAATGGCTTATTGCGGAAACAAGGATTAGTGATAAAGCTTCAGTGGAGACACCTTTTCCCCCGTGATAATAACTCTTCAAAGAATGATTTTCCCTTCTTAAGGATATGTTTATCTCACTTCCTGTTGTCTCACCCCTATTCTTAACTATGAGTTGTTTGTTAGTAACTTGGTGACTACCTGCATATCCCATATTTACTCAAGTCACACCATTTTTTAGCAAAATTACATTGCTAAAATTGAGTTGCACATTAGATTCAATGGCACTTTAGAATCACACACCTACATATCTTACGCTACTGGGCAATAGATCCCAGCTGGAAACAAAGGAGGGAGAGACAGCAGTGGCCATGAAAAGGCTAGTGGGAAGCTGATGGTGGCTGCAAAAGGCTTCCTATCAGGAAGGCCAGACAGAGACTTGTGCCTCCCCATCAGCTTTTCCACAACCACCACAACCTTGCATTACATTCAATAGCAAATCTTCAAAACTGAGATGTGCATTACACTCAGTGGCTCATTGTACTTGAGTAAATGTGGGTCTTCCTATAAAATATATTCCGCTTTATTCCATGTACCATTTATACTTATAATTCCACTGCCATGGCAATATCCTATGAAATCATCTAGAGCTCTCTGGCCATGAATTTTAGAGGGTTTTCTTTTAACTGCCAATCCCAGTACACCATATGATGTTGCCATGACAGTGAAAGTGGAATTTTGAAATGCAAATAGACCTCTGTTATGAATAGACTATGTAGAAAGACTTTTAGTGGGTTGTTGTAGGTTTTTTTGGGCTATATGGCCATGCTATATGGCAAGCATCCTCAGGTACCTCTGAGGATGCTTGCCATAGATGCAGGCGAAACGTCAGGAGAGAATGCCTCTAGAACATGGCCATATAGCCCAAAAAATCTACAACAACCCAATGATTCCGGCCATGAAATCCTTCAACAATACAAGACTTTTAGTGTTTGACAGGCATTAACAGTTTTTGATTATTTTATTATTAAATCATATGCCGAGTAACAGGGTTTTCTGCCATTTATAATTCATTAAGGACATCCTTTTTGTCTGTTTTTTCCCCCTGAAGTCTGAATGATTCAACAGACCCACCTTCACCATCAGACCTTCTCCCCATGTCTCCCAGTGTCTACGCTGTTTTGAGAGAACACCTGAGTCCTACTGTAATGGAAACTGCTGTACGTGAACAGGTTATTTTTTAACTTACAGACTAATCTTAAACAAACAAGTGTCCAATATGTACTAAGTAATCATATCTTTGCTAGATGCTGGCTGGATCATGAAACACAAAGACTGAGTTTCCATCACCATGCAAAGTGGAATTATAGTGTTATTATTGTGCAGTGCACTTCCACTTTCACTGTCATGACAACATCATATGGTGTACTGGAATAGTTAAATCACATCTGCAATACTTTTAAAGGAAAACACTGATAGGGTTGGGAAAAGGTGCCGTAGTGTCACCTTCAAAGGAGTTTGACCACGTTTGGTCAAACTTCTGATGCCACACTACACAGATCTCTCCCCTTCTGTGGCCCCTCACCAATAGTCCCTTGGAAAAACCTCTCCCTCCATCTAGTCCTAAAACTGAGGGAAAGGGGAGCCTGGGAAGCCCTCCCATTGCTTCCAATGGGATGAAAATGTTCATTCTTTTGGATGCCGGACAAAAATGCCAATTCAGAAAGGAGCCCGTTTTGGGAAGCGGCGCTCAAAAATGAAAACAGGGCCATACGAATGAAACAAACAGAAATGGGTAGTAATTCTATACAAATGCCCAAGACTATTAGGCAGTGTCTGTAGGGACTGAATAATCTACAAATGTAACCAAACGTTTTGTGTCCATCCAAAGTGTGATAAGCAGTTCTTTAAAACTCACAAGCTTGCATATTGCCTATTTCTTTGTCAAACACATATGACACTCGCTGCCAAAACATAATATTTTGAATAATGGATAACAAGATGGTGCCTCAAATGTTAGCCCTCTTTCTGGATATTTTTGAGCTGCTGATTCCAAAAATGACACTGTTTTTCCCCTACCAGCTCTGTTGTGTATCTTTTTGAGGTAGATAGCATATTACATTTGGCCCAGCCATAGGTTTTTAAATGCGTTATGTTATTGTTATTGTTTTGTCTATTTTGCTTATGAGTTTATGTATTGCTTTTGTATTATTGTTGTTACTGTTTATTGTTGTATTGTGGGCTCGGCCTCATGTAAGCCGCACCGAGTCCCTTGGGAGATGGTAGCGGGGTAAAAATAAAGCGTTATTATTATTATTTCACCATATAGCAAGTCATTTGCTCATCCACAGAATATCAGGATAACCATATCTAAGAAACTAGAGCTGATATGATCTATCCAATGCAATTTTCTGAATCATCACCCCAAATAACCCCAGGAACAGGCCTAAAAGGTTGGCATGTGTATCTGGCCTGTTTAATTGAATAATTGTACTTTTGTAAGTTAAATTCACAAGGGCACTCTATAAAATTGCTTTATTTTGTTTCAACTGCGTTTTTGACTGAGTGGAAAAATACCAACTGCCTGCTCCAGCTTTCACTTTTCAGTGTTTGCATATTTTGTATTTTGATTTGTTTTTGCGAGCTCTGGCTTATATTTCAGAAAAACAAACAGTGGTGAATGAACGGATGTCTTCTTTTCTCCTAGATGAGTTCTCCATATTCAACTGACTAACATTTCTCTACTGAAGAATCTAAAGGACCGATGTAGATACATTTCAAAAGAGGAATACCTAAATCACTTTCTTTCTTGTTTCCCTTGTAAATATCAATATGTACTTGTATACACTCTTATCTTCTTGGATCTAAATCTCCTTTCACGCATAGCTTCTTTACTTATCCTTCAGACATTGTTTGACTATATCTCCCAGCATTCCCAACCACTAGCTATGCTGTCTAGGGCTGGTGCAACTGGAAGTCCAGCAACATCCAAAAAAAGCCTGTCTTCATAATTTAGCCTTCCAAGAACTAGCTTGGGCTAGCTCACTTAATACCCAACTCCTCTTTGCATTGTCTGTTTGAAATAACCATGTACAATATATTTCACAGTTACCTGACTTTGGAGGTCACAGGAAACAGTTGTTTATTCAAATCTGAAAGTGGAAGCATTCGGTACCTTGCCTCACACATAAAGTGGTGAGGGAGGAAGCATACACTCGAGACTTGTGTTTGCAACAGTGCTTAGTTGCACCAAGCTGAACTTTGCCTAGAAAAAGATTGTTTACAAAAAAAAAGTCATTAGAGAACAAATCAAAGAAATCAATCAACTGTTGACAATCTGGGCACTGATATGCTACAAAAGGTGTGATAATGTGATGTTGACTCTGTGCAAATAGGATTAAACAGAGACTGTTGTCTGGTAGAATTGTGCCAGGACATTTCAGTTTCTGTTTCCCTGCAGACTTCAAGTAATGTGATTTTAAGGCTGGGCTCATATGGCGGGAACTGGGCTAAACAAAACAGAGGACTTAAATAAGCTAGATTGAGATGGAAGATGGAAGTATAGTGGTTAGCTAGGATCATGGATAAGAGGATCCATGCCTGGTGAGCGTATACTAAACCAGATAGGTCAGGACGGAGAAACCAACTCTCTAGGTTGAAGGCAAGCCACAGAGGTTTGTTTGATTTGGACAAAAAGGATGCAAGTACAGCAATTTACTTCAAAATGTGCAAGCATAAACATACAGAGAAATACAAGAAATACAAGACATCTTATATAGTTCCTGCTCCTTCCCTTGATTGGCTGGAAAAAAGGTTTAGCAAATGCACAAATACTTGAGCCTCTGTTTTGGCAGGCAGCAATCTCTCAGCTTTAAGTGACCCATATAACTCAGGGGTCCTCAAACTTTTTAAACAGAGGGCCAGGTCAAAGTCTTTCAATCTGTTATAGGGCCGGATTGTAATTTGAAAAAAACATGAATGAATTCCTATGCACACTGCACGTATCTTATTTGTAGTGCAAAAACACACACACTTTAAACAATACAATAATTAAAATGAAGAACAATTTTAACAAATATAAAGTTATTAGTAATTCAATGAGAAGTGTGGACCTGCTCTTGGCTGATGAGATAGGGTTGTTGTTGTGTGCTTTCAAGTCATTTCAGACTTAGGATGACCCTGTGTAAGGGCTGGGTAAATGACCCTGGAGGGCCGCATCTGGCCTCCGGACCTTAGTTTGAGGACCCCTGATATAATTAGACAAACAGGTTTGAGTTTATATGGGCTGACATGGGAAGTCCCCTATATCAGCAGACACATTAATTTTGATAATTATCTGGTGTGGGAAATGGCCAGAGGGATTTGCCCAACCTTCCTGTTCTCAAAGGATTATTTCAACAGGGTTATAGGGACTGTCTCTGGGCTACATCTTGTTACATTTTATAAAGAAGTTTTATACATTTTATATACAAGAAATAGATACAGTACACAGAAAGATACAAATTATGCAAAAATTTATAGATACAATTTATTAAAGGATTAGATATGATAGTGTTTAGGGGCTTACAGCTGCTGCTGGTTTGATCTCGTTCTTCTGTTGCTTTGAACTTGCACCGGTCCAAAAAGGACTTTTTTAAAAGGAAAAATCATATACAGTATTTATTTCTGAGCCCTTGGTGAACTAGAAATCTTTCAGGGGGCAGGGGTGTTGTGGCTCGACAACAGAAGAACCTCCAATGGTTTTCCTGTCTTTAAAAAAGGACCCTTAGGATTATTCCAGCTACCTGCTACAAATGATTTGGCACTTTTCTTTAAAAGGGAGGCAGTCCTAATTCCAGAGGGTGGAAACAACACCTTGAACCTCAAAAGAGTTTTGGTGCTGACCCACTGAAAGTGTCACCTATGCTTCCTGGCCAGGAATGGATGAAAGTCTGTATGTGTGTAGATGGAAACTTAAACTGGGAGCTCTGGGAGGTCCCAGTTTCATGTCACCCAATTTCAATCACCCTGATTGAATTTTTACAGCACTTTACAAACTTTGCTTCACTCTGTCGGTTCTGTCTTGGTCTACAATTTTTGGTAGACATTCTTCACCATATTTTCAGCTGTAATAATAAAATGATATAAAACGGAGAAGTAACTGACTGTAATGTTTAAAAGTGGCCTGCCTCAACTTTGATTTCCCAGACCTACACTTCCAGTTATACCCAGCAAGTAAAGACGTTGGTCAGGAGAGATGGGGATTGTAGTCCAACAACTTCTGGGAACCTCTGATTGAAGAAGCCTGTTTTAAATCATCCCAAAATACATGTCTCTCTCTGTGTCTTCCTCAAATATCCATAAGCAGTGCTTCTCAACCTGTGGATCCAAGGCGTTTTGCTTACAATTCCCAGAAATCCCAGCCAGTTTACCAGCTGTTAGGTTTTCTAGGAGTTGAAGGCCAAAACATCTGGGGACCAGCAGGTTGAGAACCAGTGCATAAGAGTCTAAGGCGCCTTCCACACAGCTGAATATAATCCCACATTTTTTTAGTTTGATCTGGAATATATGGCAGTGTGGACTCAGATAACCCAGTTCAAAGCAGATATTTTGGGATTTTCTGCCTAGATATTCTGGGTTATATGGCTGTGTAGAAGATGTTTCAGCATAAAAGACAAAATCTTGTACAATCCTCACATGATGTAACTATGTACCAGTGTGGTCTTAGATTAGAATTATGATGCATGTGGTGCTCTGTGATTGTTTTGCAATCCACAGTTCCTATCCACCCATATGTGTGCTTACAGAAACATCAGCTGCACTAAAAATCACACTTATGCAAACACTGAGAAAGCACAACTACATTCACAACCATCAGTAACAGTGTACCAAATTTTCTAATTGTTTAATCAAGTTTCAACTCTTGTATCTTATAGTGAGATACAAACAAATAGAATAACAGCAACAATAACAATAGCTTCTGTTTGTAGCAGGGAGCTTCAAATTCATGCTACGAGCCATGTGCGATTATATCACTTTCCAGTGTTCAAGTCACAAGAGCAATGAAACCTCACTGACAGGGCTTGAATACATGTCATTGTATTCTATAAGCCAGTTGGTGATGCTTGCTTGTTTGTGAAAGAACATCCCAAGTTCAATGACTGGCAGCTCCACATGACAACATCAGAGAACACACCTCTGCTCAAGACCTTCAACCAGAAAAAGTAGTGATAGGTTGAGTATTCCTTATCCAAAATGTTTGGGAGCAGAAGCGTTTGGGAATTTGGATGTTTGTAAAAAAATTTAATATCTGTACTTGCATACACACACATCTATCTACTTCTGTGTTTCTCAACCTGGGGGTTGAGACCCCTAAGGGGTCATGAGGGGGGTTTCAAAGGGGTCACCAAAGACCATCAGAAGACACATATTTCTGATGGTCTTAGGAAGCCCTTTAGCAGAGAAGGCTGAAGATCTCTCTGCCTGTCCTTCTCTTCCTTTTTGGAAATAGCAAATCCTCCCACCAAAAGCTCTCATCCTGTTGTGATTGTAGGTGAAGTACAGCAACTACTACTCCCAAATGTCAAGGTCTATTTTCCCCAAACTCCACCAGTGTTCACATTTGGGCATATTGAGTATTCGTGCCAATTTTGGCCCAGATCCATCACTGTTTGAGTCCACAGTGCTCTCTGGATGGAGGTGAACTACAACTCCAAAACTCAATGTCACCTCAACCCTTCCAGTATTTTCTGTCGGTCATGGGAGTTCTGTGTGCCAAGTTTCGCCCAATTCCATTGTTGGTGGGGTTCAGAGTGCTCTTTGATTGTAGGTGAACTATAAATCCCAGCAACTCCCAAATGACAAAATCATATATATATATATATATATATATATATACACACACATACATACATTCATACATACATACATACACACACACACCTTTTGCATGAAACAGTTTGTGTCCACTGGGCCATGAGAACGCAAGTGTACTGCTATCTTAGCCAATCATGTGGACAACTTTGAAAATAAGGGATGCCCAAGTTCTACCAAAAGAAACCAAAAGGGAGTTTTCTGCATCTCCTAAATTTTCAGATGGGATCAATCAGAACTAAGAGAGACCCACTCTCAGCCATCCACACAAGAAAAAATGTCTTGATGCCAACAAAAACTGCTTCTGGGACTTATGCAATCTGTTTCTCCGCATGGATTTGCACTGTCTGGCTAAAGAACTGGTCTAGCATGGCCTGTAAGAACAAAAGTTTTGAGCTGGAAAGCCCCAACCTCAGATTTCCTGTGCCGAGCTCTGAAGGGCCATGAACTTACAATCTTTGTTTGCCAAATTATTTGCTGCTCTCTGGCCCCTTCTACAGTGCCATATAAAATCTAGGTTATCTTTGTTAGCTTTGAACAGGATCATATGGCAGTGTAGACTCATATAATCCTGTTCAAAGCAGATAATCTGGATTACCTGGAAGGCAAAGGGGCAACAGATCAGTAAATGAAACCAGTTGATATCTGAAACATAGTGGGTATTCATGTTTCTGCTGAACATTTTTGTGTGAATACGAGGATGTTTCGGGTGTTTCATCAAGTGTCTTGGCATATGAAGATAAATAAAAACGGACATATCACAAAGACTTTGTGAGAGTATTTTGAGCACTCCCTAGCCTTTAAATGTTCAATGATAGCTTTGAACATGTGATAAATCTCCATACTGTCACCAGACATCCTTTTAGGATGCAACTTTGAATCCTTACCATAGGACCAGGAAGGGACAGACTGTTTACATCAGATGGTGAATCTGCACTGTAGAATTAATGTAGTTTGGCACTACTTGAACAGCTTTGGTTCAATGCCTTGGAATCTGGAAGTTTTAGTTTGGTGAGGCTCAAGGACTTCTTAGCAGCTCTTTGTCAAAACCACAATTCTCATGATTCCATAGCAATGAACCATGGCTGTAAAAGTGGTATCAAACTGCACTAATTCTACAGTCTAGATCAGGGGTCCTCAAACTATGGCCCGGGGGCCGAATACGGCCCTCCAGGGTCATTTACCCGGCCCTTGCTCAGGGTCAACCTAAGTCTGAAATGAAAGCACACAACAACAACAATCCTATCTCATCAGCCAAAAGCAGGCCCATACTTTCCATTGAAATACTAATAAGTTTATATTTGTTAAAATTGTTTTTCATTTTAATAATTGTATTGTTTTTAGGTGCTTTTTGCACTACAAAAAAGATATGTGCAGTGTGCATTGGAATTCATTTATGTTTTTTTTTTCAAATTATAATCTGGCCCTCCAACAGTTTGAGAGACTGTGACCTGGCCCTCTGTTTAAAAACTTTGAGGACCCCTGATCTAGATGCACCTCCAAATGTTTTGGATGGTGATTCACATCACCCAGACCATTGGCACTACTCATTGGTGTTGAAATGCAGCTCACATAATTTGTCAAATTGTTTAATGCGCTTTTAGTCTCTTCACACTGTTTCCTTTGGTTCTACGTTTTTAAAGATCTGTTTATATTGATTTTGCTTTTATTACTACCCTGACATCTAGTGATACAAGATGCAATGTATATTAGTTCAACCAATGCAAATTATTAAAGTTTACCTTGCATGGCACTGTTTGTGTGCATGCCAGCAAGCGAAGGCATTCTACACATGCTCAGAGGATTACATTTTGTCTGCACGATCCCATGTTCTCCAGCGGCAGCTCCATCCTTGCAAAATGACACATAATGTAACAATGTTTTCCCTGGGTTATAAATGTTATTTCCTAATTGGAATTATGATAAAAAAAACATGGAAAAGGTTTGTTATTTGTTTTTGCAGGACATCCCGCAGCACATTTTGCTATCGTTTTCCAATGAATATCTCATACAGTCTCAGCCAATTCAACATACTCTGTGGCAGCCACAAAAATGAAATTTCTTGGGTATAACAACTACTTTCAAAGCCCCCTTCCACACTGCTGAATAAAACTCCCCATTATCTGCTTTGAGCTGGAATATATGGAAGTGTGGATTCTGATAACCCAGTTCAAAGCAGATATTGTGGGATTTTCTGCCTTGATATTCTGGGTTATATGGAGGTGTGGAAGGGCCCAAATCAGGTTCTGCACAAGTAAACAGGAAATAATGCTTTCAAACGAAGAACAGAACATTTTTCATTTTTTCCCCAAACAGTGTAATCATTGAACTGTTTGCCTCTCCTGTGTGCAAATCCTATCCCATGGACACAATAGATTTATGCTAGAAAGACTTAAGTCACGGATGCATTGGCTATGATGATGATGATGATGATGATGATGATGATGATGATGATAACAATAACAATAATAATACAACAGCCAGCATAGCGATCTTGTTTGCTGTGTACAAATCTTGTTGTATTTATAATAATAATAATAATAATAATTATAATAATACAGCCAGCATTGTGATCTTGTTTGCTGTGTGCTAATCTTGTTGTATTTTTAATGATGATGATGATGATGTTGATACAAATCCCAAATGTAGACTCTGCAAGGAAGCAGATGAAACAATAGATCACATCCTCAGCTGCTGCAAGAAGATCGCGCAGACAGACTACAAGCAGAGGCATAACACCGTTGCGCAGATGATTCATTGGAACTTGTGCCACAAATACCATCTGCCTGCAACAAAGAACTGGTGGGATCACAGCAGGAAAAAAGTTATAGAAAATGAACACGCCAAACGTTTCTGGGACTTCCGAATTCAGACAGACAGAGTTTTGGAGCACAATACTCCTGACCTCACGATCGTGTTAAAAAACAGAGTGTGGATGTTGCAATCCCAGACGACAGCCGGATTGAAGAGAAACAACTGGAAAAGCTGACACGATATGAGGATTTAAAGATCAAACTGCAAAGACTCTGGCACAAGCCAGTCAAGGTGTTCCCAGTGGTGATCGGCACACTGGGTGCAGTGCCTAAAGACCTTGGCCTGCACTTAAACACAATTGGCGCTGACAAAATTACCATCTGTCAGCTGCAAAAGGACACCTTACTAGGATCTGCACGCATTATTTGCCGATACATCACTCAGTCCTAGACACTTGTGATCCAATACAACAGCCAGCAGTGTCTGCTGTGGACTCATCTTGTTGTGTTTCTAATAATAATAATAATAATAATAATAATAATAATAATAATAAATCACACAGTCCTAGACACTTGGGAAGTGTTCGACTTGTGATTTTTGTGATACGAAATCCAGCATATAGATCTTGTTTGCTGTGTCATACTGTGTTTTTGTGTCAGTAAAATAATAATAATTTTATTTATAAAGGTATTATTATTGTCCCTCTACCCAAAGATTTTGATTTTTTTTTTAAAAAAAAGGAAACTCAGGGGTACTCTGTAACATAAGTTTACAACATCTTATGGTCCTCCTCTATCCCAGGATCTGATCCCTGGTTTTCTGTTTATCCCAGATTATCTGGCAGTGTGGACTCATATAATCCAGTTTAAAGCAGAAAACCTGGGATCACATTCTGGGATATAGGCCTGTCTGGTGCTTCCACACAGCTGAATAAAATCCCACATTATCTGCTTTGAACTGGAATATACTGCAGTGTGGGATCAGATAACCCAATCCAAAGTAGACATTGTGGGATTTTCTGCCTTGATATTCTGGGTTATAGGGCTGTGTGGAAGGGCCCTGAGCCTAGAAGCCTGAGCCTAGAACCCTTCCGCTTCCTCCGAGCCAGATCTGCAGCTGGATCCTCCCTCCGTCCTCCTCCCCTCCCGGGGATCCTTTTTAAGTTTCGCTTTCTCTGCCTGAAGCCTTTCCTCTACAAGCCTCTGTTTCCCAGAAACCACGTGGCGGCGGCTGTTCCCTGGAACGCGCCACCCTCCCTCCCCTGTAGAGAAGACACTGCTCCCCCCCCCCCCCCCCCGCGCTCTTAGCTTTTTTTTTCTTTCCGGGAAAATCAGGAGATTTATTTTTGTTGTCAGGCCAGGAAGACTTGTTGCGGTTTGCAAATGTTTACCTTGACAGCTCCTTAATGCGAGTTCGAGCCTTAAGAAGAGGCAGATAAATAATCACAATAATAATAATAATAATAATAATAATAATAATAATAATAATAAGTCCGCGCCAATTGTGTTTAAGGACAGGCCAAGGTCTTTAGGCACTGCACCCAGTGTGCCAATTCTGATTGTGTTGGTCAGTGACTGGATTTCAGTTTCTGATTTTCCGTAAAGCTGTAGATCATCCATGTACAACAAATGGGAAATTTTTGGTGAATTTCTTGCTGTTTAGTAGGCCAGATTTGTTGTTGTTATTGTTGTTGTTGCTATTTTATTTGAAACACAACAAGATGAGTGCACAGCAGACACTCTGCTGGCTGTTGTATTGGATCACACGTTGGACGCTTCCCAAGTGTCTAGGACTGTGTGATGTATCGGCACAGATTGCATTTAAGTGCAGGCCAAGGTCTTTAGGCACTGCACCCAGTGTGCCGATCACCACTGGGACCACCTTGACTGGCTTGTGCCAGAGTCTTTATACTGTGTGATGTATCGGCGTCAATTGTTTTTAAGTGCAGGCCAAGGTCTTTAGGCACTGCACCCAGTGTGCCGATCACCACTGGGACCACCTTGACTGGCTTGTGCCACAGTCTTTGCACTTTGAGCTTTAAATCCTATTATTATTGGACACTTCCCAAGTGTCTAATACTGTGTGATGTATCGGCGCCAATTGTGTTTAAGCACAGGCCAAGGTTAGGCACTGCACCCAGTGTGCCAATCACCACTGGGACCACCTTGACTGGCTTGTGCCACAGTCTTTGCACTTTGATCTTTAAATCCTATTATTATCGGACACTTCCCAAGTGTCTAGGACTGTGTGATGTATCAGCACAGATTGCATTTAAGTGCAGGCCAAGGTCTTTAGGCACTGCACCCAATGTGCCGATCACCACTGGGACCACCTTGACTGGCTTGTGCCACAGTCTTTGCACTTTGATCTTTAAATCCTATTATTATCGGACACTTCCCAAGTGTCTAATACTGTGTGATGTATCGGCGCCAATTGTTTTTAAGTGCAGGCCAAGGTCTTTAGGCACTGCACCCAGTGTGCCAATCACCACTGAAACCACCTTGACTGGCTTGTGCCAGAGTCTTTGCACTTTGATCTTTTAATCCTATTATTATTGGACACTTCCCAAGTGTCTAATACTGTGTGATGTATCGGCGCCAATTGTTTTTAAGTGCAGGCCAAGGTCTTTAGGCACTGCACCCAGTGTGCCAATCACCACTGGGACCACCTTGACTGGCTTGTGCCACAGTCTTTGCACTTTGATCTTTAAATCCTATTATTACTATTATTATTATTATTGGGTGTATACTACTCTGACATCACTTTAACTGCCATGATGGAGCAATACTATGGATTCACGAGAGTTGTAATTTTACAAGATCTACAGATCCCAGGACTCCATAGCATTGAATCATGGAAGTCATGGGAGTTGCATTCCAACAGAAAGTTGCTGTTTTGTATCTGTTCCCATGCATGAGACATTGAAGGTCCCATGTTACCAACCAGGTAACATTTGTTATTATTATTATTACTAGCAAACCAGATGTTAAAGCAACCCCTTATAAGATATATATATATATACACATACATATACACACACACTAGCTGTCCCCTGCCAAGCGTTGCTGTGGCCCAGTCTGGTGATGTGGAAAATAAAGTAATGAGAAAGTGTTGGTTTCTAATATAAGTAATTCCTTTATGCTTGTGAGTAAACAGTATTTCTTGTTGTGTCTTTGCCAGTGTTGATGTGGAGAGTGCCTGGTTTGCCTACTCTGAAATATGCAACATATCATTGTCCTTCTTTAAGGGTCTCTTTCAAATCTATGATACTATATCTGTGTGTGTATGTGAAAATCATATCTATCTATCTATATTTATGACTAGATGGCTCTTTGTCAGGAGGGCTCTGATTACATTTTCTTGCCCTGGTGAAGAGAGTTGGACTGGACTTGTGTATTTTCTGTTGGTCATGGGGGTTCTGTGTGGGAAGTTTGCCCCATTTCTGTCGTTTGTGGGTTCAGAATGCTCTTTAATTGTAGTGAACTATAAATCCCAGTAACTACAAATCCCAAATGTCAAGGTCTATTTCCTCCAAACTCCATCTGTGTTCATATTTAGGGATATGGAATATTTGTGTCAAGTTTGGTCCAGATCCATCATTGTTTGAGTCCACAGTGCTCTCTGGATGTAGGTGAACTACAACTCCCAAACTCAAGGTCAATGCCCACCAAACCCTTCCAGTGTGTTCTGTTGGTCATGGAAGTCCTGTATGCCATGTTTGGTTCAATTCCATCATTGGTGGAGTTCAGAATGCTCTTTGATTGTAGGTGAACTATAAATCCCAGCAACTACAACTCCCAAATGTCAAGGTCTATTTCCCTTAAACTCCATCTGTGTTCATATTTGGGCATATGGAATATTTGTGCCAAGTTTGGTCCAGATCTATCATTGTTTGAGTCCACAGTGCTCTCTGGATGTGGGTGAACTATAATTCCCAAACTCAAGGTCAATGTCCACCAAACCTTTCCAGTTTTTTCTGTTGGTCATGGGAGCCCTGTGTGCTAAGTTTGGCCCAATTCCATCATTGGTGGAGTTCAGAATGCTCTTTGATTGTAGGTAAACTATAAATCCCAGCAACAACAATTCCCAAATGACAAAATCAATTTTTTTGAGTGGAGGACATAAACTGGACTGTTAGGTGTCTTGTGTCCAAATTTGGTGTCAGTTCTCCCAGTGGTTTTTGAGTTCTGATGGTAGCACGAACTAACATTACATTTTTATTTATATAAGATTAATGTTTATATTTTAATAATATAGTATTAACATAATATTAAAATATAAGAAATCCTCATCATGGTGATTTTTGACTAAACGTAAGGGAAATCCACCCTGGAAATAAAAATAAATGTATTCATTCTCAAAGGCTTTCATGGCCAGAATCAGTGGATTGCTGAGTGTTCCAGGGTGTAAGGCTATGTTCCAGAAGCATTCTCTCCTGACGTTTCGCCTGCATCCTCAAAGGCTGTTGGAAACTAGAAAAATGGGGTTTATATATCTGTGGAATGTCCTGCACACCCTGGACATTATCCCACAGATATATATACTCCACTTGTCCTAGTTTCCAACAGACCTCACAACCTCTGAGGATGCAGGCGAAACGTCAGGAGAGAATGCTTCTGGAACATGGCTTTACAGCCTGGAAAACTCACAGCAACCCATAAATGGCGTTTTCAGGCGCAGGTGGAAGAATTTTGGCCAAAAAGAAAGGTAATAAAACTAAATTAAACTGACAACTCTGCTGTTTGCATCAATGACAAGGCAGAAGAGGGAGGAGGAGAAGTTGCAGGAACAGCGGTATTCCATCAAGAGGCGGCGGTCTTTCCGGATTGGTTGAGCCTAGCTGCCAGCCTCTTTCTGATTGGTCGCCTGCCTCCCGCAGTTTGCTATTTCCTGGTCAGAGGCAGTTTCGTTTTCTACAGAAGCAGAGAAGGCAGGGAAGGAGAGGCAGTGCTGCTGTTGTGGTTGTGTGTCCGATTGTGGAGTGGGAAAACTGTGAGGTGAGTGCTGCACCTACCTTCTTGAATTAATGCAATTGGATCCCCTCTCCTTTAATTGCCATGGGGTGCATCTCCACTGGAGAAAAAAAATATGCAGTTTGGCACTTCTCTAACTGACAAGGCACAGAATCAGGGGAGTTGTAGTTTTGCAAGGTCTAAAGCAGGGGTAGGGAACCTTTGGCCCTCCAGCTGTGGTGGACTTCAACTCCCACAATTCCTTGAGGCTCGGCATTGGGCCAAGGTAAGCCTTTGGGGCGAATGCCGAGCCTCAAGGAATTGTGGGAGTTGAAGTCCACCACAGCTGGAGGACCAAAGGTTCCCTACCCCTGTTCTAAAGCCTTCTCTGCCAGAGAGTGCTGGTGTCTCACCAAACTACAAATCCAGGCATTCCTTGAGCCATGGAAAGTGATGTCAAACTGCATCCATCCTGCAGTATAGATGCACTCCCAGTTCAAAGCAGATAATGTGGCTGTGTGGAAAGGGCATTAGACTTCCCTCAGGGCCCTTTCAGACAGCCACATAACCCAGAATATCAAGGCAGAAAAATCCCACAATATATTCTTTGAACTGGGTTATCTGAGTCCACACTGCCACATATTCCAGTTCAAAGCAGATAATATGGGATTTTATTCAGCTGTGTGGAAGGGGCTTCTGGTCCCATCTACAATGATATATAAAATCCAGGTTATCAATGCAGATCATCCACATTGTCTGCTTTGAACTGGATTATCTGAGTCCACACTGCCACATATTCCAGTTCAAAGCAGATAATATGGGATTTTATTCAGCTATGTAGAAAGGGCCTCTGGTCCCATCTACACTGATATATAAAATCCAGGTTATCAATGCAGATCATCCACATTGTCCGCTTTGAACTGGATTATCTGAGTCTACACTGCCATATATTCCAGTTCAAAGCAGATAATATGGGATTGTATTCAGCTGCATAGAAGGGGCCTCTGTTCCCGTCAACACTGATATATAAACTCCAGGTTATCAATGCAGATCATCCACATTGTCTGCTTTGGACTGGATTATCTGAGTCTACACGGCCATATAATCCAGTTCAAATCAGATAATCTGCATGCTGTATGGAGTGTTGCAGGGGCATCAGAGATCTGTTAGTTCTTAATGAATGTAGAGGTGTCTGGGTAGTTGTTGGTTTTTTGGGGCTTTATGGCCATGTTCTAGAGGCATTCTCTCCTGACGTTTCGCCTACATCTATGGCAAGCATCTTCAGAGGTAGTGAGACCTCTGAGGATGCTTGCCATAGATGCAGGTGAAATATCAGGAGAGAATGCCTCTAGAACATGGCCATATAGCCCCAAAAAACCTACAACAATCCAGTGATTCCGGCCATGAAAGCCTTTGACAATACATTGTAGAGCTGTCTTTTCATGACACCTGGTTGCCCATTTAAGATTACCTGCTCATCCCAGCCTTTCATATGTTCTACTTTCTTGTGTTCCAGGGGCATGTAATTGCCAAATCCAACTTTTTGGAGTACATTTATTTTTAATGTTCATATTTCATGCAGCTGGCAGATGTGGCATTCTGGGGTTGAGCAGCCTTGTCAAAGCATCAGTTATTGTTTTCAGAGAAGTAGCATAACAGGAGAAAGGGAGGAGTGCAACAACTGGTACACGGCAGAATCTTTAAGACTGATTTTATGGATATTCATGCAAGACATGTGTCAGATAAGAATCATTTGATCTTAAAGGTGCCACCTATATGTCTTTCCCCTTCTTCCCTTTTCCTTTTCTTGTTATTTGCCTTCAAGTGCAGTCAGACCTTTGGCTAATCTCAAAACAGTTTACTCTTGGCAAGAACTGTTCCATGTGTTGTCAAAGGCTTTCATGGCCAGAATCACTGGGTTGCTGTCATTTTTCCAGGCTGTTTGGCCATGTTCCCGAAGCATTCCTTACTGACATTTTGCCCACATCTATGGTCAGCATCCTCGGAGGTTGTGAAGTTTGTTGGAAACTAGGCAAGTGGGGTTTATATATCTGTGGGATATCCAGGGTGGGAGAAAGGACTCTTGTCTGTTGGAGGCAAGTGTGAATCTTGCAATTGGCTACCTTAGTTAGCATTTAATGGCCTTGCAGTTTCAAAGCCTGGCTGCTTCCTGCCTAGGGGAATCCAGAAAACACCCAGAAAATGGGAATTCCAGACATGAAACAATCAGGGCCAGCTAACACCTCCCAATAAAGGATACCCCAGTCAGGAAGCAGCCAGACTTTGAAGCTGCAGGGCCATTCAGTGTGAATCAAGGTGGCCAGTTGTAACATTCACACTTACTCAAGCAGACAAGAATTCTTTTTCCCACCCTGGACATTATTCCACAGATACATAAACCTCACTTGCCTAGTTTCCAACAGATCCCTCAACCTCTGAGGATGCCTACCATAGATGTGGGTGAAACTTCAGGAGGAAATGCTTCTGGAACATGGCCAGACATCCCCGAAAACTCACAGCAATCCAAGATCTATTCCGATATCCACCTCTGAATATATAGTCTTGACCACTTTCTGTTCCCTGCCATTTAAATAAATTTTTTTTGTCGTGTCAGAAGCAACTTGAGAAACTGCAAGTTGCTTCTGGTGTGAGAAAATTGACCGTCTGCAAGGACGTTGACCAGGGGACGCCTGGATGTTTTGATGATTTTAGCATCCTTGTAGGAAGCTTCTCTCATGTCCCCGCATGAGGAGCTGGAGCTTAGTCCCCTTCTACACAGAAGAATAAAATCCCACATTGAACTGGAATATATGGCAGTATGGACTCTGATATCCCATTTAAAGCAGATATCGTAAAATTTTCTGCCTTGATATTCTGTGTTATATGGTTGTATGGAAAGGCTCTTAGATACTACTACTGATGCATGTTTCTGAGTCAATTATTCTTTTCATGGGTGATTGTAATCCTGGATCAATTTTGTAATCTAGACAAACAACAAAACAGTCCTGTGGCATTATTATTATTATTATTATTATTATTATTATTATTATTATTATTATTTTAATACTATAATTTTAATAGAATATAAAAATATAAGAACTCCTCATCATGGTGATTTTTGACTAAACATAGGGGAAATCCACCCTGGAAATAAAAATAAATGTATTCATTCTCAAAGGTTTTCATGGCTGGAATCACTGGGTTGCTGTGAGTTTTCCGGGCTGTATGGCCATGTTCCAGAAGCATTCTCTTCTGACTTTTCGCCTGCATCCTCAAAGGTTGTTGAAAACTAGGAAAATGGGGTTTATATATCTGTGGAATGTCCTGCACACCCTGGACATTATTCCACAATTATATAAATCTCACTTGTCCTGGTTTCCAACAGACCTCACACTCTCTGAGGGAGCCTGCTGTAGATGCAGGTGAAATATCAGGAGAGAATGCTTCTGGAGCATGGCCATACAGCCCGGAAAACTCACAACAACCCAAAAATGTATATGTTTTCAGGCGCGGGTGGAAGAATTTTGGCCAAAAAATAGTAATTATTACTTTTTGATTTAACATTATATAATTTAGCATGATTTAACATTAAATAATAAGAAGGTTGTGTTACTTTTGCCTGTTTAGTACCCCTCACAAAGTTTGGAAATTTCTGTTTTTCATTAATGTGATGTCTGAACCTTGAAGCTATTGTGTCAATAGTAATAATAATAATAATAATAATAATAATAATAATAATAATAATAATAATATTCTTTATTTATAACCCGCTCTCTCTCCATGAAGGGAATCAGGACAGTTTAAAACAAGCTAGCTTCATCATATTTGATTTGAAGTTGATTAATTTTTAAAACAAACCTAGTTTAAGGTGAATCTCAGTTTGACTGCTTTTTTCCCCCCCCAGAACATCAGAAGGGAAGAGGGGAGTTCAATAAATCTAAAGCTAGCACAATATTTTGATGTCAAAATCAGGTAGATTTGGTTCTCCATATCAATGGATTCCACATCCACAGATTCAACCATCTACAGTTTGATAATATTCCAAAATAAAATAAAGAACAAACATTGATTTTGCTATTTTATATAAGATACATTTTTAAGCTGCAGAACTTGCTGAACAGAAGGTTGACAGTTTGAATCCACAGGACGGGGTCAGCTCCCACTGTTAGCCCCAGCTTCTGCCAACCTAGCAGTTCAAAAACATGCACATGTGAGTAGATCAATAGGTTTAGCTCCAGCAGGAAGGTAACGACAATCCATGCAGTCGTGCTGGCCACATGACCTTGGAGGTGGCTACGGACAATGCTGGCTCTTCAGCTTAGAAATGGAGATGAGCAACACCCTTCAGAATTGGACATGACTGAACTTAACGTCAAGGGGAAACCTTTACTTTTACATTTTTTAAAAAACCACACCAATGTGTGCAATAGGATTTGAGCATCCACAAGAGGTCCTGGAACCCCAGCAGATACCATTGTCCCGTGGTAATTTTTGAAAACATTCTGGCTTGTAGGAGTGCATTTTTATGTGTTAGTAGTAAACTGTAGGTATATTTAAAAGGAAAGGTCAATTTTATGTGTATTTTGGGGTGTCATGTTCCCCAGAGCACGACATTTCAACGGATCCGAATTCTTGACGTTTGGAGGTATGGCAGAGAATGTGAGGCAAGCGATCTCCCTACAGACACATCTGTTTTGCTTCCACAGGATGAGTCAGTGGTATAAACTACAGCAGCTGGATTCCAAATTCTTGGAACAAGTGCACCAGCTCTATGATGATAGCTTTCCAATGGAAATCAGACAATACCTGGCACAGTGGCTGGAAGGCCAAGACTGGTAAGAGTCTAACTTGAGTAAGATGTGAAAGGCTGCGTTCTAATTAAGGCCCAGTTGTCCACGCAGTTACATTACTCCTTCCTTGGAGAAATAGGCTTCTAAAGGTATAGATCTTTCCCTACTTTGTAGAATCATAGAGTTGGGATCTTACGGGCCATCGTTAGCTTCCCAGCCCCTTTTTGAAGACCTCTGAAGAAGGTGCCTGCACAGCTTGCAAGGAAGTAAATTGCACTGAAGTGCTGGTTGTGACCTATAGTTCTATAAGGCTGAGGTCCAAGCTATTTGGGTGATGGTGCCTTCCTGCATGAGCTGGTTGAGCCCTTGATATCGTCAGAAGCAAGTGCTGCTTCTGTCCTGGAAAGTAGCAGAAATAATTATAATTAAACAAATCCGCAGGTATTAAAACAGAAAATATGGAGGACACCTGTAGTAGTAGTAATAGTAATAATTGTACACAAATGCATATATTACATAGCAAATGCTTTAAAACCAACCTATTTAACTAAAACACTGAGATGTCAGTCCCCTTTGACACTGCCATATAAAATCCAGATTATCTGACTTGAACTGGATTATATGGCAGTGTGGACTCATATTATCCAGTTCAAAGAAGATAATATGGATTCTCTGCTTTGATAATCTGGATTATATGGCAGTGTAGCAGGGGCAGCAGTCTCATTGTGGGAGCAAAGAAAGCTGTACGATCCTGAAATTTGGAAATTAAAAACACATTGCCCTCCAAATGTTGTTTCATTGGTTAGACTTAGAATCATAGAGTTGGAAGAGACCTCATGGGCCATCCAGTCCAACCCCCTGCCAAGAAGCAGGAAAATTGCATTCAAAGCATCCCCAACAGATGGCCATCCAGCCTCTGTTTAAAAGCTTCCAAAGAAGGAGCCTCTACCACACTCCAGGGCAGAAAGTTCCACTGCTGAACAGCTCTCACAGTCAGGGAATTGCAGTGCAACAGTATCTTGGAGTTTCTCCATTGCCATCGCTCAATCCAGTTTTAAGCCTAGAGCACTATAAGGCCCCATCTGCACTGCCATATAAAATCCAGATTATCTGCTTTGGCCTGGATTTTATGGCAGTGTTGACTCCTATAATCCAGTTCAAACTAGATAATCTAGATTTTCTGCATTGATACGGCAGTGTAGATCCAGCCTAACATGTTGTCTGTATTTATTAGCTGTGCTTCTTTCTGTTAGATATGGGGCAGCAAACGTTACGTGAATAAATTGATAGGGATTGTGGGCATTGTGATGAGCGGAGGTTTCTCAGAAGTAGAAAGAAATAATGCTGATCTTTGCTTCATGGAAGGCGGTAATGAAATCAAAATGCCTTGTGTCTAGGGACCATGCCAGCAGTGATATTTCGCTGGCAACCTTGCTGTTCCAGAACCTTCTGTCACAGCTGGATGACCAGTACAGCCGGTTCACACAGGAGAACAACTTTCTGTTGCAGCACAACATCCGAAAAAGTAAAAGGAACCTACAGGTTTGTATCTATCCGTCTGTTGACAAAGGAGAGTTATTTAATTATCTGCCCCCTCCCTCCCCCAGTTTCTTTGAACTACAGTTGGCCCGCCATCTCCTCAGATTCAACCATTGAAAATATTCCTGCATATATCTTATCTATATCCATAATAAAAGTGAAAGTATTATGTGCCCACTTTCACAGACAGGTTCCCACTTCCACAAACGGCTATGATCCCTACCTATGAGGACCCACCAAAGGCCTTCCCTCCAATGACATTGCAGGTTATAGCAAGCACAATGAATATGTACAACACCTGCCAGTGTCCTCCACAAACACAATACTGCCCACCACCCAAGTGAATGCTTTCATACGGGGATAATTTCATCCTGGATTTTATGTGTTTTGTCCACCACAAACACCTTAGTCCTGACTCTCTCCATTGGTGTGGAATTTGCATGACCCCACCCACTGCCTCTCCACAACACTTTCCTACTCTGCAAACAGCAGAATTGATCAGCAGCTTTACATACTGGAGGGGTTTGGGGGCCTGACTCAACATGATGGAAGTTGTAGTTCACCCTGCATCAAGGTAGAGCACTGTGACCCCCGTACAGAACCCCCATGACCAACTGAACCTACTGGAGGGGTTTGAGGGGACTGACCACCATAACGGGTGTTGTAGTTCATCCTGCAGCCAGAGATCGCACTGAACCCTACCAATGGTGCTTCTAGAGCAAGCATGCCCAACATGACAAACTTTAACTACTGATGGGGTTTCAGGGGGTTAACCTAGTATGTGAGTTGTAGTTCACCCACAATCTTATGCATTTTGTAAAATAAAAAAAATTACTTTTTCAAATAACCAGGTTAATGCCGGGTACCTAAGCTCATGTGTGTGTGTGCGCACACACGCACGTGCATATATGCATATATATCTATATAAATAAAAATGTAATGTTCATTTGTGGGATTAACATAACTCAAAAACCACTGGACTAACCGACACCAAATTTGGACACAATACACCTATCAGGCCAACGAGTCACCACCTCTCATAAAAACCCTGAAAAACGCAGTAAAAGAGACTAAAAAAACAAAAAAATAAAAAATAACATTACAGCTCATATGCAGAACCACATATGTACACATATATGTAAATATATATGTACACAAAACATATACATAGACTGGGCCACTGCAATGCATGGCAGGGGACGGCTAGTATATTAAAAAAAAAAAGCAAACTTTGATTTCTCTGTATATAACGGGCCACTAAGGGCCCCACTGTATTTTTACCAAGTCTTGGTAATATTCTATAAAGTTGCTTTCTGCTGTTGTTTCAGCAAGCTTAGTTTTTGGTTGACACCGTTCATATTTCTGATGCTCCTTTCATGTGAGCATCACTCTCAGCCCTGAAAGTTCTTGGATATAAAGGTGTCCAAATCGGAGCAGAAAGCGACACCTTTATATCCAAGAACTTTTTATGGGCCCTAGGTATACAGGTATATAAAATAGGCATACAAATCAAACATTTACTAATAAAAAAGCAAGAGATGGTTTGAGAAACCTGAAGTCTGCCTAATTTTACAATATGCGGTTCTGCCCTCTGCTGTTTGATCTTAGACTACTTTTGAGGAAGACCCCATGTACATGGCCATGATGATCTCCAAGTGTTTGAACGAAGAAAGGAAAATCCTCCAAGCTGCTCAGTCAGCAGAACAGGTAACATTTTCTTCGGAGTATTAAATTTATGGAGTATGGGTGGGGTGAGTGGGGGACAGCATCATGTGTTGAGAGTGGTCCCATTCAGCTTTGGATTCAACTTGACATGCAAGGCTTTACCCTCCATGTAAGCAGCTGGGATTGTGTTGGGTTCTTTATTCGTTAGCTGGTGAATTCATACTAGATTTTAAATGAGCTTTAAGAAGTCTGTCCTAGGTGCTGGACCTTATTGCCAAAATATGTCCAGCAACTCAGGTAACTACTTCAATATCTGAAATAAATTCCAGACCATATTAACTCAAACTGTTGTGTTCATTGGCTTTCACATACAGATCTTGAAAATGTCCAGTTTTGGACTATCAGAATTCTGGGTTTGGTAGTCCCCAAAGTGACTTTTCCAATCTTCAGTTTGTCCCAGGGTGTGATGCTCTTGACATACATGTGTTTTTTCCTTCCTTCCAAACTTCAGATGCAGGTGGGGAATGTTCAGAATGCAGGAACGCTGTGTCGGGTGAGGGAGCGGGACAGCAAAGTGAAAGGTGTAAAGGACAGCGTCACAGTAAGTAGAAAGTCCTTCCAGGTGCTGAAATCTATATATATAAATTTGTTAGGGGCATCCAACGAGGAAACAAAACTCAAAACCCCCCAACGAAACTTAACCAAAATTCCCATGCCCATAACACAACCCACAAGGTACAAACATATCTACTCAAAATGAAAAACAACACAACAACACACTCACAAAACGGCAAAACAACACAACTCAAAAATCCCCCAACGAAACTTAACCAAAATTCCCATGCCCATAACACAACCCACAAGGTACAAACATATCTACTCAAAATGAAAAACAACACAACAACACACTCACAAAACGGCAAAACAACAAAACTCAAAAATCCCCCAACGAAACTTAACCAAAATTCCCATGCCCATAACACAACCCACAAGGTACAAACATATCTACTCAAAATGAAAAACAACACAACAACACACTCACAAAACGGCAAAAGGATAAAACTCTAAAAAAACCAACGAAATTTAACCAAAATTCCCATGCTCATAACACAACCCACAAGGTACAAACGTATCTACTCAAAATGAAAAACAACACAACAACACACCCACAAAACGGCAAAACAACTGAGCATGCGCATTGGCGCCCAGTCGCAAGTTCCCTGGCGCGCGCACATGCCCTTCCGGCCAACGTTCCCTCTGCGGAAACCATGCCCACTCCAAGCCCCGCCGCGCCGCTTCCCGCACACACACACACCCCTGCCGCACATACACACACAACCCCACACTCCATCACTCCCCCCGCCGCCGCACACACACACGCAACCCCACTCCCCCCGCCGCCGCACACACACACGCAACCCCACTCCCCCCGCCGCCGCACACACACACGCAACCCCACGCTCCATCACTCCCCCACCCCAATCTTACCTCCTTTTACTTCACGCCACCTCCAAACCCCACCCCGCCCCTTCCCGCCCTGTCAAAATCTAGGAAAGACAGGAAGGAAGGAAAGAAGGAAGAAAGAGAAAGGGAGGTAAAGAAAAAGGGGGAAGGAAGGAAAGTTAGAGAAGAAGAAGAAGAAAAGGAAAGAAAAGGAAAGATGGAAGGAAAGAAAAGAGAGACAGCAGAAAAGAAAGAAAAAGGGGGAAGGAAGGAAAGAGATAGAGAAGAAGAGGAGAAGGAAAGATGGGAGGGAAGGAAGGAAGGAAGGAGGGAAAGAAGGAGAGAAAGAGGGAAGATTGGCCACAGCAACACGTGGCGGGTAAAGGTTGTTATTTCTATTATTATTATTATTATTATTATTATTATTATTATTATTATTATTATGCTATTGTTCCTATGAGACCCTGGGAATGGGAGAGGTGTCAGGTCCCAGAGGCAATGCATTGCATTATTGTTATTGTTATGATGGTGGAAATAAAAGGAAATAAAAAGTGAAAGAAGGAAGCAAACAGGGAGGGAAGAAAGGCAAAGGAAGAAAGGGGGAGGGAATGAAGGAAAGAGAGAAGATGAAACCAAGTAGTGAAAGAAAGAAAGAGGTAGAGAAGGAAGAAAGGAGAGAAATGGGGAGGAAAAGGGGAAAGGAATAGGTAGGTACCTCTCTTTCATAATAGTCCAGATATCTACCTCAACTTTGATAAGTTTTACTATAGGCCACAGCAACGCGTGGCAGGGCACAGCTAGTATAAATATAAATAAATTGGTATGTCATGGAAGAGGTAGCTGATGTTGATGTAGAAGGCATGTCAGAAAGTATACTGAAATGACACTAGAATCAAAGACCGCCTTCCCCTTCTTGGATGTGTTTAATCAGGAATTGTTTATCTCAGGACTTCTTAAACTTTTCCAATGCACAACCGCTTTCACCCGAGAAACTTATACACAGACTCAGCTGTCTGTCTATGAAATGGGTATAAAATTAAGCATTTACACACAACAAATCAGCACGTGCAGGGCTTGCTAAACAGGCTGATTTTTCATTGTTATGAGGTTCAGCTGAAGCATCTTCTGCAGAGTCTACTGTATACACTACACAACAGGTGGGTTGAGCTTTTGCACAGCAGGTTAACCACCAGCTGCAATAAATCTTGCCAATCGAAAGGTTGGCAACTCAAAGCCCAGGTCGGGGGTGAGTGCTCAACCTTCAGCCCAGCTCACTGTCCACCTAGCAGATTCAAAACAGTTGTGAGTAGATCAATAGCTACTGCTTAAGAGGGGAGGTATTTTAATGGCACCATAAGGAAATACCAGAAAAAATGCTGGCGATTCGATCAAAAGGGAGAAGTCTGTGAACAGGGCTCTTCGGCATGGGGGATGGAGCAACAGTACCCCACATGGCCAAAATTGAGCACAACCTCCAAAACACCAAAGATGGGGAAAGCCTATATACCTCTATCTTTGTACTCTTTTCTGTTCTGTTAATATATAACGGAATTGAATGTTTGCCATGTATATGTTTTGTGATCCGCTCTGAGCCCTTCAGGTCAAGAAGGGTGGAATATAACTACTGTAAATAAATAAATAAATTCATGTACATCCCTAAAACAGCCACTAAGTGTCATTCAGAGATCTCTCACTTTTGCTAGTTTTTTGTGACCCCAGCATTAAACCAAATGGATCCCATTTGGGGTCTCGGACCATAGTTTACGAAGCAGTGGTTTATCCGAGCACCCAGATTTGAAGCATCAGTGTGGTTGTCATCAGAATGTGCTGCATTTCCACATGTTTCATTGCTGGTTTTGCCAGAGACCTGGACATATAAAGGGAGAAATTGCCACCAAGGCAGGAGAAAGAATTATACATTTTAATACAGGTTGAGTATCCCTTATCTAAATTGCTTGGAACGAGAACTGTTTTGGATTTTGCTCCCCACCCCCCACCCCCAATTTTTTTTTTGGAATGTCTGCTTTTATGTCAACCTGTATTTAAAACAAAACAAATGTGCGGTTGTTGCTTTTTCATAGGAAATAGAGCAGATCATCAAAACTCTGGAGGATGCCCAAGATGAATATGACTTCAAATTTAAGACCTTGCAGGTTAGAGGTGAGGAATTTCCATTCACAGATATTTCAGTGTACGAATCTCCTGCATATTAGAAATTGTGATTTGCGGGTCAACCTGTTTGGAATCCAGATGGACATGCCTGATGTGAACAGATGGTTGAGAAAGTTTGGAACTTGATGTGAATTTCTAAGCACTTCCTTTCTATTCTCTCCTCTTGTTAATATTTCCCTGAAGGGTTTTCTGAAGAGTGTTACTTTTTAGGTTGCAAACTGTCTAGACTTGTCCAAGCTCAGGAAGCCGGCCAAAGAATTGTGTAGGAAAACCTAGGGATTTCTAGAGAGGTGTTTCCTCCAGATGCATGACTCTGAAGGAACTTGACTAGAGATTCTTACAGAGAACATTTTAATCTAATCCGCAAATGTTATAACTGCAAATGTGGAGGAATTGACTGCCTATATTTTATGTTCTAAACACAAGTAATATACAACTACTGCATAATGAGCACAAATACTGTACAGTACTGTATCAGAGATGCCCAGCCTATATTTTATAAGGCACATCTCAAAAACTGAATACAGACTGAGAGTGGAGAAAAAAATCCATGGTGCTGAGTTGATAAAAAGCCGTGTGCATTTGCAAAATGGTTGAAAGAGCAACCACGCATTGGAAATACTGTTCAAGGTATAAATGTAGAAGGATCAAAAGAGCAAGTTGTCAAAACTGAGTAGTCGAAAAGTGGGGGATGCCTGCTTTATGGACTCATTTGTATGTTATTACTAAGTAAGGACATACTACGCAAAATTTGGAACCACTTTGACAAAATTATGTAAATGGCACTTTGACAAAATTATGTGTAAATGGAGAATTCGTTTAGTATTCATCCTATTTTGTTTGTTACACTTTCATGTTGACAGCTAAAATGTGCATTCACAGAAACAAAGTATCTCATTCCAAATACTGTATGACCTTGACTTAAGAGCATCCCAACTTAAGAGCATTTTGAGTTAGGAGCCATGGCCTGGATTTTGCTTTGACATACAAGCAGCATTTCGAGTTAAGAGCTATCGCCAGAGGGAGTGCTAGCACGAGAGTTCAAGGGAGCTGCCTTCGTGCCCTTATCTGCTTTGGGAGATTGCTGTCCACTTTGCTCTTGTCCGCTTTGAGGAACTTTGGGCTAGTTGGTTTTGTGTGGTTTTTATTCCTGGTATGTTTGGCTTCATGAAGAGGGAGAGAGAGCAAGAGAGGCAGTCTGGAATGAGTATAGGATGAAGAAAATGATGCTTTTGCCTCTTCACTTTTTGCTTCCTTGCCACTACTTTGTTCTTTCTTTTTTATTGTTCTGCGTGAATGTTCATTTATACATTGTTATTTATAAAGTACATTTTCTTATTTAAAATAAGGGGTTTCGGATGACCAGAATGGATTAATAGCATTTCAATTGTAAATTTGTTTTGAGGTAAGAGCAATTTGAGCTAAGAGCTCAGTCATGAAATGAATTAAACTCTTAACTCAAGGTATCACTGTATGGAACATTTTGTTCATTATTGCTTTAGGATCATGAGCCCGCCAAGCTAAAAGCATAGGACGATCCTGGGTTTTTGCACTGAAACGTGCATTCTTTTCTCTTAGCTTTATAATATCTGTTTTTTTTGTTTTTAATTTGCTTTAGGTTTTTGTATTGTTATGTTGTGTTTTGAGGCCTTGGCCTTTGTAAGCCGCATCGAGTCCTTCGGGAGATGCTAGCGGGGTACAAATAAAGTTAATAATAATAATCATAATTTTCTGCTTCATGGAATTTCTAGCATTTTCCTGCAGAATAATCCCCTTTCTTTCTAATCCTAATGGGAAGGTTGGCTGGGGTGGGGCATTTGATTCCTGATTTTGACAGTACTTCTGCTTTAGAAGAGGACAGAAATGTCTTTGGCAAAAAGAGAAGTTTTTCCATTTCCTCTGAAGTTCAGGCCTATGAGATCAAGTTCTGCATTTCTCTTAAGCCTTGCTGTTTAAATGTTGAGGCCCTCAAGGTCCTCTTTTCACTGTGATCTATTTTGCAGAAGGAGAAGCCAATGGCATGACCCAGGATGACTGCAAAAAGGAAAGCCTGCAGCTCCACGCCATGTATTTGCAGCTTCACAACATGAGAATGGTGATTTTTTTGCTTTAATTGTGAATGAGGCATCCCACGTTTTTGTAAATCAAGGTGTCCAATGGTGGTATGGCACATCCTTAGGCATTGGGGAAATTTCAACCCAACTCCTGTATTTCTTCCATTCTAAGACCTCTCTAAACATCTCTAAACGTGGGGTGCGTCTTGGAATCCAGTGGTATCTTCCTTATTTTTGTTGTTGGTGGTGGTGGTCCTGAAGTTAGAGTGTGTCTTACAATTGAATTCAAGAAACACGGTCTAGCTTCGAGGCCCAATCTTGATTTATCGCAAAGATTTTCAGTCTGCGTTTATTTATTTATTTACTATGCTTTTATACCACCCTCTCAGCCCACAAGCGACTCAGGGCGGTTTACAGTGAGCATCAAAAACATAAGACACAATTAAAACAGGACGCGGAACAATGGCTTCAAACTACAAGAGAGGAGATTCCATCTGAACATTAGGAAGAACTTCCTGACTGTGAGAGCCGTTCAGCAGTGGAACTCTCTGCCCCGGATTGTGGTGGAGGCTCCTTCTTTGGAAGCTTTTAAGCAGAGGCTGGATGGCCATCTGTCAGGGGTGATTTGAATGCAATATTCCTGCTTCTTGGCAGGGGGTTGGACTGGATGGCCCATGAGGTCTCTTCCAACTCTTTGATTCTATGATTCTATGATTCTATGAAAACAGTTAATATAAGTATAAAAACCAATTAAAATAGTCAATATCAATAAAAAACACATATCAATTAGAGTCTCATTAAAAGTATAATCCAATAGCGTCGTCTAGTCTTTCCTATGTCTGTTATATTGCATCTGCAAACGCTTGCTCAAAAAGACAAGTCTTGGTTTTTTCGGAATGCTAAAAGGGAGGGGCCGATCTGATATCCCTAGGGAGGGGAGTCATCTTGTTGTGTTTCAAATTATTATTATTATTATTATTATTATTATTATTATTATTATTGATTAGCCCTTGGGCCATATCACAATACCAAACTGAACAACAAGGCTTGATAAGACTTGGTTGCACTCCGTGTAGTAAGTTAAAATAAGACACTTATAACAGTCTATATAAATAAAAATGTAATGTTTGTTTGTGGGATTAACAGAACTCAAAAACCACTGCACGAATTGACACCAAATTTGGACACAAGACACCTAACAACCCAATGTATGTCCTTCACTTTAAAATAATGATTTTGTCTTTTGGGAGTTGTAGTTGCTGGGATTTATAGTTCACCTACAATCAAAGAGCAATCTGAACCCCACCAGCGATGGAACTGAACCAAACTTGGCACACAGTTCTCCCATGACCAACAGAAAATACTGGGTTTGGTGGGCAGTGTCCTTTGGTTTTGGAGTTGTAGTTCACCTACATCCCGAGATCACTGTGGACTCAAACAATGATGGATCTGGACCAAACTCTACACAAATACTCAATATGCCCAAATGTGAACACTGGTGGAGTTTGGGGAAAATAGAATCTTGACATTTGGGAGTTGTAGTTGCTGGGATTTATAGTTCACCTACAATCACAGAGCATTCTGAACCCCACCAACGAAAGAATTGGGCCAAACCTCCCACACAGAACCCCCATGTGGGCCACAGCAACGCGTGGCAGGGGCGGCTAGTACAGTAAATAAATATAAGATATAATGAAACTGAGTATATATGTACATCATATTTCCTTATCACTTGTGGAAACAGTATGATTCTTTCTCTTCTCTTCTCACTCCTCAGACTTTCTCTTCTCCTCAGACTTAATTAATAGTGCCATAGTCAATCAATGAACTCATGTTTTGTGACATAATTTGTTTTTCAATTACAATTTAACTAGCTCATTAACAGTCTCAAGAAGTAGCTAAGAGCAACTAACAAGAATGGGACTAGTAGAGAGAACAATGATAAAGATGTACAAAACTTGTATATCAAACGCTCTCACTTCTTTCTATGATTCTAGGGAAGCCCTTCAATAACGGGGCAGTTCAAATGCCTCAAGTGAGAAATGATAACTATCATGCTGTCTTTTTAAAACAGTTTGGTCATTAATCTTCTCAGGATGTACTTCACAAGATCGCAACTGCGCTGACTTTAGCAGAACACACTCAGAATGCTTTGATCCAAGAAGAACTTGTGGAATGGAAGAGTCGGCAACAGATTGCTTGCATTGGAGGCCCACCAAATGCGTGTCTCGACCAGCTTCAAAACTGGTAAGTCTCTAAGCACAAAAAGAGTGAAGATTATGCTCTTTTGATGACAAGATATGTGGTATGTGTACATTAACACCTCTGTATCCACAGGGATAGGTTCTGGGCAAACTAGAGTTTTTTCAGATCACGTCAGGGGGTGTGTGGTTTAGCTTCAATTTTTTTTCTGGATTTTATCTGAATTTTAAAATACCATTGATATTTAATTCTCTTTTAATGTTTGCATATTTTAAAATTTTAAATTGTATTGAGGTGCTTTTGAACAAATTATAAGAGTAAAAGAAGAAATAATAGATGAAATATTTCAAACATGGAGAATGGATATGGAAATTGAGAAGGTAGATACCCAGAGGGAAATAAGTAATATGGTAAAGGAAAAATATAATGTACTAAGGGAAGTAAGAAGGAAAATGTTACAAAAATGGTATAGGACTCCTGCACAACTTTCACGTTTTTTTTACCAGGGGTAAAGGACAGGTGTTGGCATGGCTGTAAACACAGAGATGTGTTTAATCACATATGGGAATGTGATAAAGTCCAGGCATACTGGAGAACGATTGAAGAAGTTAATAGAATGTTAAATCTTCAAATAATAATGGACTATAGAAATGTATTACATGAAAGGATACCAGGAGTGTATAATGTGCAAAAGGAAAGAGTGGTTGACAAATTAATAGCATGTGTGCACATTGTTTTAGTTAGAGGTTGGAAAGATAAAATCACAGTGGACTCTGACAAATTGGTATAATTATATGCTCAGTATGTTAAATGTGGAAATAACCAATTCTGAATTGAACAATATAGATAAAATAGACATGTTATAATAATTAAGAGTATGTGGGATCCAGTTAGGAATAATTTAGAGAATGTATTAAGAAGTGGAGTAGAAAAATTGATATTAAGACTGATATTTCAAATGTAATTTGTGTAATTTATTGTACACACTGTGTATCCGGGGGGGGGGGGGGTACGGCCTTGAAGATCATAACCAGAATGTTGACATCATAATTTTGTAATTTGTGTAATTTTTGTACACACTGTGTATCCGGGGAGGGGGGGGGCAGAGGATGGGAGTAGGGTAAAACAATAAATAAATTTAAAAAATTAAAATGGAGTTGCATTGGAGAATCTAGACATGCATAGACACATCCTTTCTAAGATACCTCTCTAGGAATGTCTGGATCATATATGAGGGTTGAATGAAAAGTAATGCCTCCACCTTCGTAACTCCTCAACAGATGGCAGTACTGGTATGTGGCAGGTACTGGCTTGTTCAGTAGACTCTCCTCTTCAGTTCCATTTTGGCAGGAAGCCTTGGCATTGAACAGTTGTGTTAAAGTGCAAAATATGGAACCCTGTGCAGATGGTTGGTCAATGCCACTTAAGCAACATACAGTCAATGAATTCTTGATAGCAGAAGGTGTCACCCAAAGGAGATTCATCAGAGAATTCAAGCTGTTTATGGTGATTGTGTTGATATGAGTACTGTGCGTTGTTGGGCGAGTAAGTTTAAAGATGTTGAGGTGGGCACATCTGACTTGTGTGACAAAAAGTTGGACATCCTGTGACAGCAGCCACTAAGTTTCACAAGCAAAAGGTTGACAGATTGATTCAGGACAATCGTCGTATCACTCTGAGAGAAATTTCAAGCATAATTGCCATTTCACAAGAATGTGTGGGTCACATTATTGCTTTGCTTGACTATCATAAGATCTGTGCACGATTGGTACCCAGGATGAGAGAACTATGAGACGCTGATTGGAGAAACAGAGTGTTGACTTCTTCTGTGACGGCTTCAGAAAACTCATTCATTGTTGGAAGAAATGTATCAATTGTCTAGTGATTATGTGGAATAATGAATAGTGGTTGTTAAAGAGCACATTCTAAGGATTATTTCTGTGTTGATTTATTAAAATATCCCCATCCAAACCCAAGTAACGAAGGTGGGGGCATTACTTTTCATTCAACCCCTGTATAATCCTGAGTTTGTTGACTTCCAGATTTGCAGCCAAAGTGGGTTTAGTACTAAGATGTAACTTGTAATGGCAGGTTTACCACGGTAGCTGAGAGTCTTCAGCAGATTCGCCAGCAGCTGAAAAAACTGGAGGAGCTGGAGCAAAAATATTCATATGAAACAGATCCTATCCCACAGCAGAAGCAAGGACTGCATGACCGGACGCTGAATCTTTTCAATCAGCTCATTCAGAGGTGAGCGATCTTCTTCTTGCTCAGAGGTTGTGGATTATGTCAGTTGCAGTCTGACTTATTGGAGGGGGGCATCAGCTTGAGGAAAACTGAAATTTGGATATCACATAGCAAGCGTCAATTCACACAAACACACGTCTTGATCTAAATAATTTGCTCAGTAAGGAAGAGTATGGATGTGTAGCCCCAGTTTGCAGGAATACTATAAGGCAGTGTTTCTCAAACTGTTCCTCCAGGTGTTTTGGGCTTCAGCTCTCAGAAAACCCAGCCAGCTTACCAGCTGTTAGGAATTGTTGAAACTGAAGTCCAAAAAATCTGGAGGAGCAGAGTTTGAGAAACACTGATATAAGGAAAGCTAAAGCTCAGAATTGGCCAAGGGTAGGCTTGCAAAGAGCAACAAAGGGGGATTTTCTAGATACATTGAGCTCAGATCTGAAGGGGCGGTATATAAATATGGTAAATAAATAAATAAATAAATATTCTGTATACTTAAATATTCTGTATTTAAGTACCTACTTTGTATTCCTTATCCAGTTCCTTTGTGGTAGAAAGGCAGCCTTGCATGCCTACACATCCCCAGAGGCCGCTGGTTTTGAAGACTGGAGTCCAGTTTACGGTTAAGCTGAGGTAAGGCAAGAAAAATGTAAATCATTCCTTTGTCTTTTTTTCTGTAGTCTTGACTTTGGAATAGATCTCACCACGTTAAAACAGTGGATGTGGCTCTTAATGAGACATGCCGCATTATTACAGGATGTCTGCGCCCTACACCACTGAAGAAATTATACTGTTTAGCTGGTATCATACCACTTGACATCCATCGGGAAGTAACAGCCTGAAATGAAAGAACCAAGGCATTGATATGAGGCAGTGTGGAAGGGGCTACAGCTTCTTACATTTTCGGGATATGGGTTTGGGGTCTCCCATGTTAAGTGCTTGTCAGAATGAACTCTTATTGCAATTAATAGGACTGTTTAAATTTTAGCTATTAATTATATCTCCTATTCCACCTTGTCTCCTGTACTATGCTAATAATATAATATAATATAATATAATATAATATATTGTATATACATATAATATTTATAATATTATAATATAATATAATACCAATAATAATATTTTATTATAATTATATATTTTATATTACATGTAATATTACTAATAATATTATAATATAATGGTATAGTACAATATAGTAATATATAATACTGATATTGTACTATGCTAATAATATAATATACTAGCTGTCCCCTGCCATGCGTTGCTGTGGCCCAGTCTTTTAATCTGGAAAATAATGAGAAAGTGTTGATTTCTAATATATGTAATTTCTTTATGCTTGTGGGTAAACAGTATTTCTTGTTGTTTCTTTGTCAGTGTTGATATGGAGATTGTCTGGTTTGCCCACCCTGGAACATGCAACATATCATTGTCCTTCTTTAGGGGTCCCTTTCAAATCTATGATATTATATCTCTGTGTGTGAATCATATCTATCCATCTATATCTATGGCTGGATGGCTCTTTGTCAGGAGGGCTTTGATTACGTTTCCTTGCCCCGGTGAATGGAGTTGGACTGGATGGCCTTAAGTATTTTCTGTTGGTCATGGGGGTTCTGTGTGGGAAGTTTGCCCAATTCTGTCATTCGTGGGGTTCAGAATGCTCTTTGATTGTAGGTGAACTATAAATCCCAGTAACTACAAATTTGTAAGCCGCCTTTGTAAGCCGCCCTGAGTCCCCCCCGGGGTGAGAAGGGCGGGGTATAAGTAAATGAAATAAATAAATAAATATGGAATATTTGTGTCAAGTTTGGTCCAGATCCATCATTGTTTGAGTCCACAGTGCTCTCTGGATGTGGGTGAACTACAATTCCCAAACTCAAGGTCAATGCCCACCAAGCCCTTCCAGTATTTTCTGTTGGTCATGGGAGTTCTGTGTGCCAAGTTTGGTTCAATTCCATCGTTGATGGAGTTCAGAATGCTCTTTGATTGTAGGTGAACTATAAATCCCAGCAACTACAACTCCCAAATGACAAAATCATAATTTTTGAGAGATGGTCACTCCTCGTGTTGTGAGACGTTTTGTTGCCAAATTTGGTGTGATTTCGTTCATTGGTTCTTTTGTTTTTAAGGTACTCATTATGCACAGAGCATTTATATATATATATAGATTGTATGTATATATATCTTGTAAGCCGCTCTGAGCCCCCTTCAGGGTGAGAAGGGCAGCATATAAATGCCATCAATAAATAAATAAATATTAATGCTTAAGTAAAGACAATTTTGGGACTGATGCTTTGTTCAGGAGCCTGAGACATTTAAGAATATTCAAGTATCATGAAGATCATAATGGAATTATTTCTTCTTATATGTATTAATATGTCTGCTGCTTGTCTTTCCAGATTGCTGGTGAAATTACAAGAGCTGAACTACAAATTGAAGGTCCAGGTTGTGTTTGATAAGTGAGTAACATCTTACATTGGGCCACCTTTCTCCCTGCAGAAAACTTCTTTCCGTTTTTGTTGTGCTCCCAGAGAGAAATAGAGTGGTAGTGGCATCCTTTGCTTTTTCTGATACGATTTTGCAGATTTTATGTAAAAAAGACAGTTACATTCCACAAACAATTTAGTGCTTAAGTTTTATTGATTCCTTGCCAAGAGTAAATTAAGTTGATAATTCCTATAGATACTTCCAGTTCTTTAGAAACACTGTAATTCAGCATGTATATTAAGAAATGAGCTCCGTTGCATTAAATTCCTACGTCTTCCAGCACAACTCTTTAGTCAACTTCCACTAGAAGCTGAACATATCATTGGAGGATATAAAGATTTTGCATATTTAATTAAATCTGCAAAAGTCAAAAATGCATATGTAGAGAGATGCCTGTAAACCAGGCATGGGCAAACCTTTTTGCCTTGGTGCCATATTATGGGCCCGACCAAGAGGGCTGGGCTGGGAGAGAGGGCATCTGGGCACGTGTTGGGTAGGACGGGCCTGGAAGAGAGAGGGCCTGTGAGAGTGTGCGGCTGGGAGGGACCAAGGTAGGGCCCTAGTCATTCTCAGGTTGTCCTCCTGGCATAAAGATGGGACTACTTGCTTCATTCTTATTCAGGGAGGAAAACGAGACATGCGGCAATTGCCCCCATCCTCCTCCCCCAATCTTCGGGCTGTCCTCTTGGCATTATTCCGGAAGGAGAGTGAGACAGGCAATGACCGAGAGTGCTCCGGAGGACTCTCAGCTGCTGCGTGCCTTCCTCAGGGCATGCTCTTGGCATAAGTGTGGGGCTGCTCACACCGTCCTTATGCCAGGAGGAGGGCAAGACATGCGGTGGCTGAGGACACTCCAGAGGGATCTCAACTGCTGCGTGCCTTCCTCCCCCATCCTTTCTGCATAAGAATGTGGCAGGCCACCATGGCCTTATGCTGAGCGGACAGGGAAAATGAGGAGGGCCTGAGGTATCCTTACTTTTCCCATGCCTACTTTATACTGTCTTGTTCCACTCTGAATAGGAACAGTGTTGCTCACTTTTTGCACACTTCCACACACTGTGGAAGAACATGTGGATCAAAAATAGGGTTCTAAAGTCACCCACATATCTACCGCCAAGACCCTAAAGTTGGAAGGCCATTATACTCTGACAAAGAGATATCGTTTAAGCACACTTGTTTGGGACTCAACCTTATTTGATGTGGTGGGTTTTACCCCATTCCTCGTAATACTGGCACCTTGGCATTTACTGAGTTGTAAATATTTGGTTGTCTACACATTTGGCTGTGTATCTATGAATGAAAAAGAGATGAGGGGGGAGCATCAAGCCCTCCAAGGGAAAAATAGAGGGATTTTTGTCTGTACACAATAGCCTTCTCGTACCACATTTGTGATATGTTTACTTTAAGGAATCCTGTTAATTTTTCCATGGTTATAATTTGGAATTGCGGGGAAGGGGATCTCAGATTGCACAGTAAAATGTTCGCGAAATATTTAATTGAGTAAAAACTTCAATAAAATTGAGAAGCATCTGAAGTGCCATATAGTGTAGGTCATACACTGTGTAATATTCTTCCCTTTTCTCTCTCTCTCTTGTCCTTTACAGAGATATCGGTGAGAAAAATCCCCCAGTGAAAGGGTATGTTGTTGAGACTTCTCTTTTGCGTATTACTCCCCCCCCCCTTCTATATATGCATTTTTGCTCAAAGATTTCTTGGATTTTTAAAACATACATCTTTTTGCAGGATTAGAAAATTCAATATCTTAGGAACAAATACCAAAGTGATGAACATGGAGGAGTCAAATGGAAGCTTGTCTGCAGAATTTAGACATTTGGTGAGAAATATTTTCTTCCTTGTTTCATCTTTTTTTTCTTTAAATGTTGAGGGTTCATTCTGAGTTACAAAATTGTGGGTTTTCCTTCTGCAACATCATGAGTCATCTTGTCATTGTGTGAATGGGTCTAGTCAAAAAGGAGGGGAGAAGAAGTACGAGATCCTTACACTTCCTCTAGTCATTGATCTAGCGTGCCTATCTGAGTCTCGTTTAAAAGACGGAAGCAGATATAAATAAATAGTAATGACAGTAGCCCTTAATATATGTTGTCTAAGGTTTCTCAGTCTTGATGCCTATGATTCAACTTAAAATTGTCAGTATTTTTCATGCAAATTTTGAAGTTTGCTTCTTAAATGTTCAACAAATTTGCAAGATCCCAACCTTGGGATATGGTGCAACGGGTTAAGCAGTTGGCAGGACTGCTGACCGAAAGGTTAGCAGTTCAGATCCAGGGAGCGGGGTGAGCTCACATCTGTCAGCTCCAGCTTCTCATGTGAGGACACAAGAGAAGCCTCCCACAGGATGGTAAAACATCTGGGCATCCCCTGGGCAATGTCTTTGCAGATAGCCAATTCTCTCACACCAGAAGCAATTCTGTAGTTTCTCAAGTCGCTCCTGATACAAAAAACAGCTGTGATTTCCAGGTTTAATGCATAATACAAAAGCCATGCTGAATTATAGGGAAGACAGCAGCTCAAGAGAAATCCCTATGGGAGCCAATAAAAGCAGGCATTGTCTCTGAGAAGGCATCCACACTTCAGTTGGGATGGTGTCCATAAGCTAGAAATGGGGAGCGCCTCCAAGACAACCAACTCCAGTGACTTCTTGAATACGTCCACTGTAGGGCAGCAGATACACACAAGTAGGGGCCCTTCTACAGTGCCATATAATCCAGATTATCAAAGCAGATAATCCACTGGATTGAACTTGATCATATGAATCTGCACTGCCATATCGTCCATTTCAAAGTAGATAAACTGCCTTTTATATGGCAGTGTAGGTCTCTGTTTTTAACAGCCAATCGGGAAGTATCACTTTGATGACCCATCCTAGGTGTAATTGTTAGGAATGAAATTAAAGAAATATCCGACATAGTAGGATATTTCCTCTACTAGTTTGAAGGTTGCACAAGTCTATATCTTGTATCCCTATACTGAAATGTCCACACACATTTACCTCCACATCTATTCCTGAACATGGTGATTTACATTTTGAGAACCCATTGCTTCATAAGCTTTGGAACTGCTGTGGTTATGAAGAAATGTTTGTTAGGTGTTACCTAACTGGTATAAATGAGTGCCATGACGTGGGACAAGGCTTGCTGGTGTGTGGAATGTGTTTTTGATCAGGAACATATCGTATATTCTGGCGTATAAGACTACTCTTTAACCCAAGAAAATCTTCTCAAAAGTCAGGGATTGTCTTATACACGGGAGTAGTCTTATACACTGGAGTAGCCTTATGCATGGGAGTCATCTTATACCAGGAGTCGTCTTATAGAGCGGGTGCTGAAACTTCCAATCCGGATTGGAGAATCTGTGGTTGCTGCATATGGTGGGGGGAGCTCAAAAATGGCAGTGGCCGCATCCTTGCCGTATGCAGCGACTGTATGAAAGCATTAAGGGCGACGCTGTATAAGTACGGTAGAAGAAAATCCATTCATCAGGATTCGTGGACTTAATGCGGTCCCGATGGTGAGGTGAAGGGGCGCCTCACCGGGAAGGTGTAAGTGAAGGGCGGAGCAAGCTGCAGACTTCTGGGGCGCCCGGAGTATGGAAAAAAGAGATAGAATGGCTCTGGGCCCAGAAAAACACAACTCTTTTACCTCTCTGGCCCACCCTTGTATCCTATTACTGTACCTCCTCCTCTGCCTCTCAGATCTCGCTCCTGGAGACTGGAGTGAAGTGGTGTAGGTGCGCATGTGCGAGATCTGAGCGGCAGAGAAGGAGGGACAGTAATAGGAAAATTACCATATTGAAATCAAATCTGATGCTTTTTAAAAAATTATTTGGTGTGTGTTGGAAAAGGGGTCTTATATGGCGAGTATATTCCAAACTCTATATTTTAAATGGAAAAGTTGAGGTTGTCTTATACGACCAGTCGTCTTATATATGGTACTTGAAAAATGTGAATGTCACTTACTGTGATGTGTTCTCCTGTTTTTACAGCAATTGAAGGAACAAAAAAATGTTTCAAGGACTAATGAGGTAAGAATCAGTCCTTATACTGCTCTTACTTAAAATTTCTGTTTTATTCATCAACATGACTGATTGGAATTCTGCTAATGGATAATGATTGAAAATGTTACTCTTTGGGATGATACTACCAGCTAGCACAGTTAGCCCTTGGCTGTGTTCCTTAGATCTCTTCCGAGGATAACTAGCTTCAAGGAAGAGGGACACTGAAGCGAATGCCTCCTGTGAATAGTTGCCATTGAATACCACCATCTTACTTTAATCTTATCCTGCAAATGTTAAACAAATATATTGCTTAGCATAATTATACAATCGATTGTACAACTAGAGAAGATGCAGAGCACAACACTTGTTGAGCATTTTTGCTCTGCATGACAATTATTCTGATTGTTCTGCCTGTTTCACAGCATCTGAGCATTCTGCCCTTATATGTAGTAAAACATTGTTGTTGTTTTTTACAGGGACCTCTTATAGTAACAGAGGAACTGCATTCTCTCAGTTTTGAAACTACACTGGAACAGGGTGGGGCCATCATTAAATTAGAGGTAAGCATCCTAAAGAGGAAATGGCAAGGAATGGACTCTCAATAGCATTTTACTATTTATGGTGATTCTGAAAAGTTATGTTCCCCAACTTGTGAAATGTGGGTTTCCTGTCGTAGTCACTGTGAATCCGCACCAATGGTATTTCCTGCGCCTGCGCAGTAGAGCTTCGGAACCTTCCAGAATAAAATAGATATTTCAAAATTAAGCCTGGCCCCGCCTCTCCTCCCCCCTCCCCTCTCGAGTATATATAGCCCAACGCGGGGCCAAGCCACTCAGTTCTTTTGATCCGCCTTGCGATTTGGCTAGAGAACCTTCCTCGTGCTCTGACTCGTTGGCTTTACTGCTCGCTTGACTTCGGATTCTTGACTCGGACTGGCTCACTATTCTCCTCTCTGGACTCCTGACACTGGACTGCCTCCTGATTACTCTTTTGCTCAACCCCTGGACTTGGCGACCTTGATTACCGCACACTAACTGTCATCCAGCATCGACCTTATGGCGACCACATCCTTTAAAAGCTCTCAATGCCCAAATACCCTTCCGGACACGGATGGGCACTCTCTATGCCTCACTTGCCTGGGGGAGGCCCACCTTTCTCAGCCTTGCAAGGTCTGCCAGGCCTTCACCCCCCAGACCCGCAAGAATAGAGTATCCAGGCTGAAGGCCGCCCTTTATGAGAAGGCCCTTCTCCCGCCTGTCGGGGCGAGCAAGGCCGCGAAATCAGTCGACTTACCTGGACCTAAATCGACTCAACATGGCGCGCCCGCCAAGAAGGCAAAAAAGCCCAAGGAGGGTGTGCTCCAAGATGGCCGCCGGGTCCCTGCACGACCAGTTAGCCCTGCTAAAAGGGCGGGAAACTCGTCGGCACTCCTTTCCCCTCCTACGCGCCTCCCAGCGGCGCAACAGCTCGGAGAGCGCGCGGCCCCGCTGGTGTCCCCGGAGCTCCAGCTTCTGACTGCGGGCCCTGTGCTGACTCCGCCTCCGACGCTTGCGTCCCTGCCGGCTACGGCACAGAGTGGAGAGGCGCCTCCCCCGATCTCGGCGCAGGCACTCCCGTCATTGGGAGCGCAGATCTCGGCGCCCACGCCTTCAGTGCAAGCTGTGGGCGCGCAGGGCGATTCGCCGCTGCCGCCGATGCCGTCCCTCACTCCTCCTATGCCGGGGGAACTTGCAGAGCAGGCGACGGAAGTGCCCCTTCGGGACTTCGATGCTGCCGAACAGCTGTCCTTGCCGGCATCGGGCTCACTCCCCGCCGGGGGCGGAGTCTCGGCCCCTCAACAAATGGCAGGCCCTGCCTCCTCGGTCTTTGGAGAGGTTTCCCTCCAGCCTATAGCCTCCTCATCGACATCGGGACCGGGATATGCCTCCACTCGAAGGGAGGCATCTCAGCTCTCGGTACCGAGGCAGCGCGATTCAGCGAGAGCCAGGCGCGCACGGTCCCCATCTCGATCTTCCAGGAGCTCCAGGCGTCGCCGCCGACAGTCATCTTCGTCGTCATCTTCCTCCTCCTCATCGGGTTCATCCAGGAGGCGGCACAGATCGAGATGGTCCCGATCCTCCTCCCGTCGGGGACCCCGCAGGCCTGCTCCACCCCCTGCAGCCATGCCATATCAAGGTTTTTGGCAGATTTCTCCAGCGGGACAGTATGTGTTTGTGCCCACTCCTGGGCCCCTTCAATCCTCCTTCCCGCTATCTTCTACTCCAGCCGGGCTTCCTCCGATGCAGGGGAGCAGTCTACCGGTGGCCCCTCACCCTTCCCAGGGGCATCTGTCAACTCATCCGGTGGACCTTCCTCTGCCTCAGCCAGTGGCAGGGCCTGCTACATTGCAAGGTATGGGAGGTGTGACTTTACCTCTACCTTCTGCCCAAACCTCCTCATTGATCCCTGCAAGGCCCAATGGAGAGTTACAACACCTCACCGGCCCCGACCCTGTTGACATTGATGAACCTGACGAGACTGATCACAGGGTGGTGGAGGCCGAGGCCTCTGATTCTGCCTCTGACTTACCTGACTCTGCCCAGGCGACGGGGGCAGCAGATGACCCTGTAGAAAGGTCCCCTGACTTTAATAAGTTTGCCTCGCTTGTAAGCAGGATGATTAAAGCGTTAGAGTTGCCTGACCCTAAACCATCTGAACATGTGGAGGACCCCATGTTTCCTTCAGACGAGCAAAATGTCGTGTCCTCCACATCTCTACGTCCTCTACCTTACCTGTTTAAGTTGGCCAGAATTTCGGATGCCCCCCCCTATGGTAGCGGCAGTGCCTAGAAGAGTGGATATGATGTATAAGATTGATCTGTCCACTGCAAAATGGGTGACCAACCCCCCCAGGCCAAACACGGTGGTAGCCGAAGTGGCTAAAACCAGGCGTCAAAAAGGATCCCTGACCACACCCCCAGATAGGGAGGGGAGGAAAATAGATTCACTAGGTAGGAAAACTCATCTCTCTGCAGGATTGATCACAAGAATGGCCCACTTCGCAACTTACATGAGCGGGTATCAAAATTTCTTGTGGTCAAAGATTCGCCCCTACCTTATTTATTTATTTATTATTTATTATTTGCATTTATTGACCGCCACTCTCAGCCCGAAGGCGACTCGTGGCGGTGTACAAAACATAGAACATATAGACAACAGTTACAATAATCAAGTCCATACACAACGTCTTACGAACACACAACTACTTAAACTAAAAATCCGCTTCGTCTTGTTTGGGTCATAATCGGTCTCATAGTCATAGTCCATTCCGATGGTCGTTCAAAACATAGCACTTAATTGAAGGCCTTTTCAAAGAGCCTTGATTTGTTGCCAGCTGAAGAGCAACGTTGGCCTAAGGCACTGCAGGAAGAGGCCATTATTTTGTCGAGGCTTCAGAAAGATTTTGCCAAGCATTTGGCAGAAACAGCTGGTAATCTTTTTGCCACCGCTACTTCCATAAGACGGCATGCGTGGCTCCGGGCTGCGAATCTTTCAGATGAAGGCAAAGCCTTGGCCGAAGACCTTCCACTTCACGTGGAGGGGCTTTTTAATCCGGAGACCGATGAAAAATTGAAAAGCAAACAGGAAGTCCGCCAAGCGGCGAGTAAGTTTGGCTATACCTGGCAGTCCAACTACCAGGCGAAGCCTAGGTGGCAGCAACAATCTTCCGGGTTCCGCAGGAATTATTCTAACAACTTTGCAGGGCCTTATAGAAATCGTAGTTCAAATTCTTCTAGGTTCCAGACGGGAAGAAAATCCCCCTATGCTCCAAAATCTAGATACCAACCTTTTCAGAACAAGCCGAAATCCTGGGAGATTTCGCATGGTTACTTTGTCCACCATCATGCCCCTGTTTCACGGCGCTTGGTTCGCCATGGTGGATTTGAGGGACGCCTATTTTCATATCTCTATTGTCCCCCACCACCGTAGGTTTCTGACCTTCATGGTAGGACAGCTAGCCTATTGCTACAATGTCTTGCCATTTGGTCTCTCGACGGCCCCCAGGGTCTTCACCAAGTGTATGTCAGTGGTTGCGGCACACCTCCGCACTAGGGGAATAACGGTCTAACCCTATATAGATGACTGGCTTATTGTCGCCAGTTCGCCTGATCTGCTTAAAAGACACGTTTCTGTCATTCTCTCTTTACTCCAGTCTCTAGGTCTGGTCGTCAATTTGGAGAAGTCCTCCCTCACCCCTTCTCGTCGGATCCAGTTTATCGGGGCGCTACTGGACTCCGTCTCCCAGAAGGCCTACCTACCTCCAGATCGATTCGCCAAATTGTCGGAACTGGTCAACCAGGTTATAACAGCTCCCAGGATTTCGGCGAGACAAATTCAAGTTTTGCTGGGGCATATGGCGTCAACTACGGCGGTTACCCCCTATGCCCGACTGAGAATGCGGCCCCTGCAATTTTGGTTCCTTTCAGTGTTCAACCCCCTCAGGGACAGACCCACCATCAAATTAACTGTCCCTGCAGACATCCGGCAGTCCCTTTCGGGATGGAGGGACGAGCATTGGGTTTGTGCGGGCCTTTCATTCCAATCCCCGTCCCCTGCCAGGTCTATAACCACGGATTCCTCGCTTACGGGGTGGGGGGCACACTCCCAAGGTCTGCTGATCCAAGGCGTGTGGTCAGAAGAAGAAGCCGCCATGCACATAAACATGCTCGAACTTCTGGCGGTGGACAGGGCCCTAAAGGCTTTCGAAAGAGTGGTGTCCGGAAAAGTCATCCAAGTACTCACCGACAACACCACGGTGATGTACTACTTAAACAAACAGGGAGGCACTCGGGGCCCTTGCTAGACCTGTGTTTACGGATATGGGACTGGTGCATCTCCAGGGGAATCCACCTCCTAGTCACTCACCTTCCCGGGATCGACAACGGTCTCGCGGACATGCTCAGCAGGAACCCCATGGCCCACCACGAGTGGTCGCTGAATTGGGAAATAGTCCACGAGCTGTTCAATCGTTGGGGGGTTCCAGAGGTGGACCTATTCGCAACGCACCTGAACAACAAGTGCAGGATTTATTGTGCCCGTTGCCATCCGAATCGATCGATAGGCTGCCTGGGGGACGCATTTCTGCACAACTGGGGGGGCAGGCTAGTTTATGCTTTTCCTCCGTTCCCCTTGTTAGTGAGGGTGATCGCAAAAATCAGGAGGGACAACGCCTGTTGTATACTAGTAGCCCCATGGTGGCCCCGCCAACCTTGGTTTGCCCCCCTCCTACAAATGGCGGGGGACAGGTTCCTTCATCTTCCGTGCAGGCCCGATCTGCTATTGTCCCAACAGGACCAAGTGGTGTACCCGGGGGTCAGGCTACTGAACCTCACGGCGTGGTACATTCTGCCTGCTCCGTAAATACATTCTCGGAGCTGTCGCGACCGGTTTTAGCTATCATCGAGGCCGCGCATAGACTGTCTACCAAGAGGTCTTATTTGTATAAATGGGGTAAATTTAGTAAGTTTGTGGCACCGAAAGGTGTCACCCCGGAATTAGCCCCCACTTCTCTAGTTTTAGACTTTTTAGTTTCATTATTGGATGCAGGACTCTCAAGCTCCTCACTAAAATGTTACTTGGCCGCCTATTTGTATAAATGGGGTAAATTTAGTAAGTTTGTGGCACCGAAAGGTGTCACCCCGGAATTAGCCCCCACTTCTCTAGTTTTAGACTTTTTAGTTTCATTATTGGATGCAGGACTCTCAAGCTCCTCACTAAAATGTTACTTGGCCGCCATTTCGTGGTTTAAAAGAAAAGCCGGTTTACCATCCTGTTTTTTGGATCCCTTGGTAAAGTCTTTTCTACGGGGCCTTGCAAACACTAAGCCTTGCGTGGCCCCTGTCGCCCCTTCCTGGAGTCTCGAGCTAGTGCTTGCGGCACTAATAAAACCTCCATTTGAGCCCCTGGCAACAGTGGATCTTCCCTATCTGTCATGGAAGGTGGCATTTTTGGTGGCCATAACATCCGCACGGCGGGCCAGTGAATTATGTGCACTTAGGGTAGATCCCCCTTACCTGAGGTTTCATAAAGATAAAGTGGTATTACGTACCGATGTTGCTTTCTTACCTAAAGTCTCCACCAAGTTCCATATGTCTCAGGAAATTGTTCTTCCTGCGTTTTTTCAAAACCCCACTTCCCAGTTGGAAAAGGGTTTGCACCTTCTGGACGTGAGGAGGGCTGTAGCGTTTTATGTAGATAGGACGGCCGGGATTAGGAAAACCCCCAGGTTTTTCATTAAGTATCTCAGTGACTCCAAGGGTTTGCCGCTGTCCTCGCAACGTTTTTCTTCCTGGGTAGTGTCCCTCATTCGTTTGTGTTATCAGTTGTTGGGCAAGGACAAGGACTTACCTTTACAGGTCAAGGGCCATTCGACCAGATCAGTTTCCGCGTCTGTTGCCTTCTTATGTAGTGTTCCTTTGGATGTCATTTGTAAGGCTGCAATATGGTCGACTCCACTTACCTTTGTGTCACACTATAAGATGGATGTCGTTTCCAAGAGAGCAGCTGATTTTGGAAGAGCAGTTTTGTTTTCGGCGGTGGCATGATCCCCGCCAGCCAGGGTCAGTAGCTTGTTAGTCTACCATTGGTGCAGATTCACAGTGACTACGACAGGAAATTATAAGTTGCTTACCTGTAACTGTAGTTTCCTGAGTAGTCACCTGTGAATCTGCACAGCCCCGCCCTTCCTCCCCTCGAGTATCATGCCCCGCCTTCTTGCTGCTTTGCGGCGGAAGAGAACTGAGTGGCCTGGCCCCGCGTTGGGCTATATATACTCGAGAGGGGAGGGGGGAGGGGGGGCGGGGCCAGGCTTAATTTTTGAAATATCTATTTTATTCTGGAAGGTTCCGAAGCTTTACTGCGCAGGCGCAGGAAATACCATTGGTGCAGATTCACAGGTGACTACTCAGGAAACTACAGTTACAGGTAAGCAACTTATAATTATCATGTGTTCTAGAGCAACCTGGACAAGTGGTGAACAATCTGAGGGCCTTCTAGGTAGTATTATAGGTAGTAATTTATTATTTATTTACCATGTATCATAGTACCTAGAACAGTGATTCTGAATCTGTGGGTCCTCAGTGTTTTGGCCTACAATTCCCAGAAATCCCAGCCAGTTTATCTGCTGTTAGGATTTCTGGGAGTTGAAGGCCAAAACATCTGGAGACCCACAGCTTGAGAACCACTGTGTTGGAAGATCCTTACATGCCAGAGTAAGAACAGTTCCGGCCCTGCCTATCTTTCCAAACGTATCTCTCCTTACAAACCATCTAGGAGTTTAAGATCTTCTGGGGAGGCCCTGCTCTCGGTCCTGCCATCTTCACAGGTTCGGCTGGCAGGGACGAGAAACTGGACCTTCTCAGCGGTGGCCCCTCGGCTGTGGAATGCCCTCCCCAGGGACATTAGATTGGCTCCCACCCTCTTAACATTTCATAAAAGAGTCAAAATCTGGCTATTTGAGCAGGCTTTCCCAAATGCAGTGTAGCAGATAAACTCTGGTCTCGGAATGACTGGACAACGCGACTGGATAATGATTTGGTAATGAAATGTGGAGGATTTATTGTTTTATGATGTTTTTATTGATGTTATTATGTAGTGAATTTTTATCTATGTTAAATGTTTTAGCTATTTTTATATTGTTATGGGCATCGAATTGTGCCGTTCTGTAAACCGCCATGAGTCGCCCCCGGGCTGAGAATGGCAGTATAGAAATATATTAAATAATAATAAATAATAGCCACAAACAAAAGTAACTTCACTGAGGAAGTTTACATTCGTTAATCCATACATAGAGAACTCTTGACTCTCCAGACATTTTGGTCTTCAACTAGTCCCAGAAAACATATTCAGTGATAGAAGATTGTGGTAACATCACCTATCTGAAGGGCATTTCCTATTTCTGCTCTAGTCTTTGGTAATATATTACAAAATCCTCAACCTTGTATCTTTCAAATGTGTGGGTTTCCATTCATCCTACTCAAGACGTCTTGCTTTTTTCATTTTTTGGCTTTAACTTAACTCACAATATTTAAGTATTTCCTTAAATTTCCCTTGTTACTTCTGTTTTCTAGACAACCTCCCTTCCTATTGTTGTAATTTCCAATGTCAGCCAGCTGCCAAGTGGATGGGCATCTATTTTGTGGTACAACATGCTGACCAATGAGCCAAAGGTAAATTGCAAGACCTTTCCTCATATTGTGTTTAATTCTAAAACGGGGGAAGTAAAATGGCTGTAATCGTACATTTGCTTCTTCTAAAATTAAGCCTTTTTAGCTTGATGAGACTTCCTTTTCAATGGATTTGTGTCAGAGTATATTGTAAGACAATTTTACAATATAGAGCAGGTGTTTAATCTCCTGTAAAATAGTATGTTGTCCTAATTTTGTCACAACTTTGTATTGATGTTGAGGTTATTCTGTTTTCCTTTCAAACTATACCTGATTCCATGCGGATTCAAAAACCTACTACATATTCTAAACTAGTACTAGCACAGAAGCAGAAGTTCAAGAGAAGTTGCAGTTTATGATTTGCCAGTTCCTTCCTCTAAAACAGTGGTTCTCAACCTGTGGGTCCCCAGATGTTTTGGTCTTCAACTCCCAAAAATCCTAACAGCTGGTAAATTGGCTTTCTGTGAGTTGTAGGCCAGAACACATGGGGACTCACAGGTTGAGGGCAAGGGAGGGATAACATTTTTGCATATATTGGATGGGAATTCAAAGGTTACCTTTGATTGAGTGCCCAGTTTCATTCTGCACAGTAGACTTCCTTTATCAGTATATTTCCAGTTAGCTGCATCTGAAACTAACTCCAAAACATTTCAGATTGAAGAGTTGACATTTTTTTCTGGGATGTGTTAGAGATGTTCCCCTAATGGAGGAAGGGAATCTTCCCACATAAGCACTGAATCTGAACCATTGTGTTGCAGTGGTTAGATCAGATAGTCTAGATAGGTTGGATTACAGTTTTCATCATCCACAGAAACCATTGTGGGGACTTGGGATGATGAAAGTTGAAGTTCTGCATATTTGGAAGGTGCTGTGTAGATTAGAATTTAAAACTAGGACCAAGGAAATCTGTGTTCGAATTCCACCAAGACCATGAAACACCTCTGGAGATCTTCTGATATTCATTGCCTCGTCTATGCCAAGTCATAGAATCCTAGAGTTGGAAGAGACCTCCTGGGCCATCCAGTCCAACCCCCTGCCAAGAAACAGGAATATTACATTCAAAGCACCCCTGACAGGTGGCCATCCAGCCTCTGTTTAAAAACTTCCAAAGAAGGAGCCTCCACCACACTCTGGGGCAGAGAGTTCCACTGCTGAACAGCTCTCACAGTCAGGAAGTTCTTCCTCCTGTTCAGATGGTATTTCCTTTCTTGTAGTTTGAAACCAGTGTCTGCCAGGCATTTTGTGAAGATGGTGCGGGGAGGTCTCTCTTTTGGAGAAGTGAGGGAAATATATTCGATATATGCATTCTAAATCTTTCCACAGAACGTATACTTCTTCCTTAACCCTCCTTGTGCGAGGTGGTTTCAGCTTTCTGATGTCCTAAGTTGGCAGTTTTCTTCCGTCACCAAAAGAGGACTCAATGTAGACCAGCTAAACATGCTGGGGGAAAAGCTTCTTGGTAGGTTATGTTTACAAATTATCTCTTGCCTTGAGAGTCCTTCTTATTTTTGTTCTATCTTCTTTTTTCCCTCTTTTTTTTTTTTGGTTTTATCATCTAATGCACATGTGTCAAACTCAAGGCCCATGGGTGAATATGGCCCACCATGTCAGATGGTGAACTACAACTCCTGTCTTCCTCCTCGTTAGACATCATGACTAGAGATGATAGGAGTTGGCAATACAGTAACATCTGGAAGGCTGCCATTTGTTCTGTTCAGTCAGGAGAGTGGGTTTCCATTTAGATCCAAGGCTTGTGGATATGATGCCTGATGTTATAATGTCCTCTAACCTTTCCCAACCTCAGGGCCACAACTGCTGTTGGGTTGCAACTCCAGTTATCTGCAGTCAGATTATCAAAGGGATGGGAATTGTCATTCAGTACATCTGGGGACCCACACTGGGTAAAAACTAAAGAGCATTGACCACTATATATAAGAATTATAGTTGGCCCTCAGTATCCACGAATTCTCCATCCATGGATTCACCAGCCCTTTGAAATCAACCATGAAGCTGCTGTAGCCTTCCATGAAAATGAGTTTAATATCCCTGATCTAATGTATAATAATAATAACAACAACAACAACAACACTTTATTTGTATTCTGCCCTTCTCACCCCGAAAGGGACTCAGGGTGGATCACAGTACACATACACGGGGGTTAACCCTTCCCTATGCTATCCAAATCATACGTGTGTGTGTGGCTGGAGTTACACTTTAAAATGTACCTGTTCTGACTTATATACAAACTCAACATAAGAACAAGAACCTACAGAACCTATCTTGTGTCAGAACTTAGGGTCTGCCTGTACTCTCTTCTTTCCCACAAAGGCTCTTTTCAGAGTTTAAGAAATTTATTTTTGAACTACCTTCTGTGACCATGCTAGCCAGGGGATTCTGAGAGCTGTAGTGCCAAAAATGAACATTTCCAAGACCTATTCATTCTTCTTACTTTGTCTCTGGACAAGTGCAGTCAAAACAGATTTTAAATTTCAGCTGTAAGATTTCATACTACAGCTGAAATATTCTAAATACTAGTACTTAATAGGCATATTTAGTAAATACATACTAAAGAAAAGCCAGTTGTGAGTAAAGTACAGCATTGGACTCAAAGCAAACCAGTTCAGGCCCCATTTTTTAAAAAATCCTTATTTTTTTAGGTAAACCCTCTCCAACACCATTATTCTTCATTCACTAGAGTCTAGGTGAATTTTTTGCCCCACTCATCTGTTTTATACCTAGGGAAAGGACATTTTCCCAAGCAGAATTTACTTTTGGTCACTTCCAGCTCCTTTATTCTACAGAATTATTTTGCTGTACTTCCATTAGAACTGCCCCACAGCTGCACTTCATGGTTGGATCAGAGGCACCAGGGGAGAATATTTGACTGATAAACCACCCTGAGTCCCCTCAGGAAGATAGGAYGGATTATAAMTAAAGTTATTATTATTATTATTATTATTATTATTATTATTATTCTGGCACAAAAACACAGTATGTCACAGCAAATGAGATTTATATGCTGGATTTTGTATCACAAAATCACAAGTCGAACACTTCCCAAGCGTATAGGACTGTGTGATGTATTTTCRAATGATGCGCGCAAATCCAAGTAAGGTGGCCTTTTGCAGTTGACAGATCGCGATTTTGTCAATGTTTATTGTTTCCAAATGCTGGCTGAGATCTTTTGGCATGGCACCCAGTGTGCCGATGACCATTATTATTATTATTATTATTATTATTATTATTATTATTATTATTATTATATTCTAAAAGCCCCTCCCTCAACAKCCAATCTACGGATGTTGCTATGGCAGTTAAAGTGGAATTATAGTGCTATAACTGTAYCATGTGAAAGAGTTCATAGGGCRCATCATTTAGAAAGGCAATTTGATATAACTGTAACTGCCATGGCTCAATTCAATGAAAGCATGGGAAGTAGGGGTTTGGTGAGGCAGAAGCTCAATTGCACAAAGAAAGCTTATAAAGGTACAGCTGCCATGATTCAATCGCATTGAGCCATGGCAGATCAAAAACTGTCAGACTATATTAATTCTATAGTGTAGATCAGGCACGGGCAAACTGTGGCCCTCCAGGTGTTTTGGATTTCAACTCCCAGAAATCCTAGCCAGCTCACCAGCTGTTAAGAATTGCGGGAGTTGAAGTCCAAAACACCTGGAGGGCCAAAGTTTGCCCATGCCCAGTGTAGATGCACCCATCCTCATAGAACAAACCAGAAAGGTGAATGGATCCTTAGAAAGTTTGAGAAAGTTTTTCATCTGAAATTGTTTTCTTTTTTAAAAAAGATATGGTTTGGCTGTGGGCCTATAGGACTGCCAGACCATTGGGAGTTGCCATGCAAGTAGTCAGCTGAGTCATGATGATAACTTGTTTCCTCTAGGTGGAAGATGCAACCCAGATGACCTTATTTCTTGGGCACGGTTCTGTAAGGTGAGAGACTTCTCTTCATCCTGTTTAAATGGGGGCTGAATCCTGCCATTATGATAATCCAGTTCACTCTTGTTTGCTAACTTTCCCCACATTTAAATGGATGGGTTTGCATCCTGTTCAGTTTGGGCAATTACAGATTGGGAACTGGAATCATCTGGGATCTGGAGTCCATCTCCATCCAATCTCAGGTGCTTTATGCAGGCAGGGAGAGATGCAGATTAGGAGAGATGGTCCCACTTGTAACATCATTGGGTCCACATTTGAAGTACGAGGGTTATCTAGAAAGTAAGGTTCCAAGGCACGTAGCTCTCGCAGGGAATTTTCTCAGGGCAGTTGGTATCAGTACAGTGTAGCGGGAAGCCAGTGGAAGTGAACGAGCAGTGCCAGTCATCAGTAGTTCATTGACTGGTGTTGTGAAGGTTAGAGATGAGCATCCTCATTCCATTTCGCTGACAGCGGGAGCCTGCCTTCTTCATGACAATGTGCGTCTGCACACCGCTTATGCAACACAAGAGTTGTTGACTTCATTTGGTTGGGATGTTTTAAGCCACCCCTCTCCCAGTCCCGATCTCGCACCCAGTGACTATCATCTGTTCACTAAATTGAAGGAACACCTTGGTAGAAAATACTTTTCTGATGACAACGAGGTGAAAATATAAGTGACAAACTGGCTGAAAAAGGTGGAGGAAAACTTCTATGACAAAGGCAACAAAAACCCGTCCCATGGATGACAAAATGTATTGAATTGAATGGTGATTATGTGCAAAAAAATAATGTAATGCCTATGCTACAACCCATGTACATCTTATTAAAATATATTTATTCTTCGTATTTAAAAAAAATCTTGTAACCTTACTTTCTGGATAACCCTCGTATATTGAATGCAGCTGTACTCCTGCAGGCTGAACATTTGGGAATTTGTTGGGATTTGTTGCTCAGTAATATGTTTCAATGTAGTGATGTCCATCATCCTTTGCAGAGCCATTCAGTTGCAGTATATCTTTGGATTTCTGTGTTTGTGTTGGAAACAATAGGGCTTTTTCAAGTGACGTGATAGAGGCTTCTGTTCTTTTGGCCCTCCTCCGTCCACAGGTTTTGAGATTTTGAGCTCCTTTAAAATTTATGAACAAGAGAAAAGTGATAGCTGTGAGCATGCACATCAGCCATGGCTTTCTTGCACATCTTTAGCTTCCTGGGAAATCAACCATTTATTTGGGCAAAGAACCTGAGTTCTCAATTTTCTTTTGCCATTTTGTATTCTTACTGACGGCCAGAAGAGGGCTCTAGACAATATGGAGAAGACTAGAGTTGCCTCCTTTTGAGAGAAGTATGAAATGTGGGGCAGGTGGCAGGCAGCATTATTGGTGCTTGGAGTTCAAGCAGAGCTAGGTAGACTCACAATTTCTAACACATCGTTCTTTTATCCCATTGAATCTTAGGAAAACATAAATGATAAAAATTTCCCCTTCTGGTTATGGGTTGAAGGAATACTTGAACTCATTAAGAAACACCTCCTCTCCCTCTGGAATGATGGGTAAGGATTTCAGAGGTATTTCTCCTGGGACCTTAATGTCAAACTAAAATAGTGGTGTCTGTTATAATTCTTGTTAGATTTGGGCACCTTAATTCTCTTGGGAAATATTATCAATTTCATATGTCTCGTAACCTGGGAATTTAATGAAGGACAAACTTGGATGAGAAATCAGGTTTTTACGATTATGTAGACCAGTGGTTCTCCACCTATGAGTCCCCAGATGTTTTGGCCTTCAACTGCAAGAAATCCTAATAGCTGGTAAACTGGCTGGGATTTCTGAGAGTTGTAGGCCAAAATACCTGGGGACCCCACAGGTGGAGAACCACTGATGTAGACAAAGGATGGCCCTTTTGTCAGTGTTGGGTTCCAGGTTCCAGCGTCCTTCACTATTGGCTCTATTTGCTGATATAAATGGGAGCTGTAGTCCATCAGGATATGGAGCATTACATATTTCCAGGCCCTTCTTTTGTAGCTGCTGTTTCCATAAAAAGTGATAAAATCAGTTACTCTCAAACCAGTTTCTAAAAGTTGTAGTGGAAGATCTGGAAATTTTGCAGACCTAATACAATATTAGCACTCTTTACAGATTGAAAGTTACTTTGTTGTTTTAAGAGCATAAAATGCATTATGTGTAAGTTGGTTTGGCATGAAATTATCATGTTTGCTATACTGAAAGTATCATTTATTCAGAACACTACTGCCAATTGAATTGTGTTTTTCAATTCTGTTTGTTGTTACAAATGGAGCTACAAGGTCGTGAATTGTCAGGACATCTGAATTCTAAAAGTGGAATTAATGCAGTTTGACACCACTTTAAATACCGTGACTCAATGGTATGGAATCCTGGGATTTGGAGTTTGATGTGGCACCAGTGCTCTTTGGCAGAGAAGGCTAAAGACATTGTTAAATTTCAACTTCCATGAACCAAGGTAGTCAGAAGGGTGTCAAACTGCATTAGTTATACAGTGTCAAGATCAGACTTGAGTTCCATCTCCAAGATATCTCATTATATTTGTACATGCAAATGCAGGTATTCGAAAATAAAAAAGAGAAATCCCAAATTTTCTAGTTCCAAGAATTTCAGATAAGGCATACTCAGCCTATAATGTATAAGAAGCATTAAAGGAAAGCCTCCCTCAGGTAGTTTCGGGCATTGAAAGCAGGTTTGAAAATGTTGTTGTGAACGTGGATAAAGTGAACAGGTATGGCTTCTTCTTTTCCCCTGTTACAGAAGTATCGTGGGTTTTATTAGCAAAGAGCGGGAGCGAGCCCTGCTAAATGGTAAAGCAAGTGGTACTTTTCTCCTGCGATTCAGCGAAAGTAGCCGAGAGGGTGCAATCACCTTTACCTGGGTAGAAGGACCAGCAAACGGTAAGCAGAATTGGAAAAAAAAAACCTCTCTTTGGAGATTTGGGATGTTACACATTTAGACAACAGTTTTCAAGATCCTGATCCTCTTCCCACAGTTGGCATATCCATTGACTGTGGCAGCCTTACTATCCAACTCACTTCTCCTCGAAATCTTGGTTAGGCATCCTTATACATGAAATCACCATATACAATGTAGACATAGTTATAATACACACTGCCTTTGGAGAGTGACCATCCATCCCTTTTCTGTCTGTTCCATCTACAGTGTTGTCCTTATGAGGCACTTTCCCCCGTCCTAAATTGAAGGCCTATCCCCACTGCTCGTCCTTTTTTGGTCTCCTCTCAAATACACTTTTTCTATTCCTACCTCATCCAGGGTTTTATCATTTTATCTTGTGCATTTGGCCTGCCCATTGTGTTTGATTTTCCATTATGTTATTTTGCTTTATTTTGCTACTGTATGTATTTTATTCTGATGTAATTTCTGTTTTGTATTTTGTATTTTATTTTGCTGTCTTGTATCTTTGGGCTTGGCCTCATGTTAGCTGCCCCAAGTCCCTTCCGGGGAGATGGTGGCAGGGTAAAAATAAAGATTATTATTATTATTATTATTATTATTATTATTATTATTATTATTATTATTATGTTGGTAGCCATTACATGCCCCCCCCCCCCCCCGGCTCTGGAACTCACTCCCCAGAGATATCACCCTCATCAATTGTTATATGACCTATGGATAACTTTGCCTTTCTTGGAGAGGGGAAAGTACCTTGGCCACCTCTGTCGCTTTCCCACCCAGGCGTTCAAAGGGCCTTTTGCCACTCTACTCAGAGAAGGAGATGGTTCCTTTTTCGATACAGGTTATGGGGCAGTCTCACAATGAACCATAGATAGATCTATCCAGATTTTGGGGGTCTGTTTTTTTTTTGTCTAAAATTTCTACTTACAAACAAGTATATATAGTAGATTGGGGTATGTAATGTCCTTTTGGCTTCAGACTAGACAGATTGCATAGAAAGCCGATCTAATCATCGTGCATTAACCTTTCTCTCCTTCTGCTTCTTTTCTCGTTTCCCCCCAGATCCTTACTTCCACTCGGTGGAGCCCTACACACGGAAGGAACTCACTGCCGTTAGTCTCCCTGATATCATTCGCAACTACAAAGTGATGGCAGCAGAGAATATTCCTGAAAATCCACTGAAGTTCCTTTATCCAGAGATCCCCAAGGACAATGCATTTGGCAAATACTACAGCAGGCCCAAAGACTGTGAGCAGTTTATATTTTTTATGTTTTATTTGAAAGCTACCTTGGGTAAGGGTCCTCTGCCACCTCAGATACTATTGGACTCAAGAACTTCCATCAGCTCTTGCTAGTATTGCTATCGGGAGTGATGGAAATTATTGGTCAAGATCCTTCAGCATAGTGTAAATATCTATCATTGGAATTACACTGCAATCCCAACACTGAATAACAAAATATTTCAACATAGGTAGATCACTGATCAATATGCATGGCTAGCAATCCATTGTGTTATTGAAGTTAACAGTGCACAGTCAAAGGCTACTATAAGTGTGTCCTGTTTCTTTTTCCTGCCTCCAAAATGGGTCCAGAGGAGGAGACAGCATTGTGTCTGAAGATTGAAGCATGTTTTATCATGTTTACTAGGTTTTAGTTAAGCATTCCACCTCCCATTTTATTTTGCAGAAAAAGAGTTGATTGCAAAGCATATAGTTCAGACTTATTGTTGCAAGGCGTAGCTATTTCTATTGCACCTAATATAAGCTCAGACATGGATTTTTAAGGGAAAATTAATCATTTTTTTTGCATTTCACCTCTATTCTTCTATCTAGTGGTTCTCAACCTGTGGGTCCCCAGATGTTTTGGCCTTCAACTCCCAGAAATCCTAACAGCTGGTAAACTGGCTGGGATTTCTTGGAGTTGTAGGCCAAAACACCTGGGGACCCAGAAGTTGAGAAACACTAGTCTATGCTGTCATGGCTGATTTGGGCTGCAGTCGTAGGGTGAATTTACACTCCATGTTTTCATCGCTATGTCATTCTTACTGTTTTATGTGCTGTACTTTGGAGTTCTTTGTTAGCTGCCCCGAGTCCCTTCAGGGAAATGGTGACAGGGTACTACTACTAATAATAATTATTATAATTATAATTATAATTATTATTTTACTGACACAAAAGCACAGTATGTCACAGCAAACGAGACCTATATGCTGGATTTTGGATCACAAAATCACAAGTCGAACACTTCCCAAGCGTCTAGGACTGTGTGATCTATTTTCGAATGATGCACACAGATCCAAGTAAGGTGGCCTTTTGCAATTGACAGATCTTGATTTTGTCGATGTATTATTATTATTATTATTATTATTATTATTATTATTATTATTATTATTGTGTAGTTTTCTGGCATTGTATATTTCTGCCACTTCTGTGATTGCTCATTTGTATTTTGACAAAATCACAATCTGCCAACTGCAAAAGGCTACCTTACTTGGATCTATGCGCATCATTTGAAAATACATCACAGTCCTAGATGCTTGGGAAGTGTTCGACTTGTGATTTTGTGATATGAAATCCAGCATCGAGATCTCGTTTGCTGTGACATACTGTGCTTTTGTGTCAGTAAAATATTACTACTACTACTACTACTACTACTACTACTAATAATAATAATAATACACTGTGAAATTAATGTGGTTGATACCACTTTAATGACCATGGCTCAATGCTGTGGAATCATGAAACTGGTCATTTTTAGAAGGTTATCTCTGGCAAAAAGTGTATTAATTCTACAGTGTAGATGCAGCCTTATACCCAATGAACTGGAAATAAACACACATCTTAGTTGCTTCGCTTAGAATTGTGCTAAATTAACGTAGTTTTGGAGTATGTGGATAACATGTTTAGTTCTCTAGATGCTTACATGAGAATTTTCTGTTTACTTTTAAAGCTGCAGAACCCATGGATGTTGATGGCGGAAGGAAAGGATACATCAAAACTGAACTAATCTCTGTGTCTGAAGTGTGAGTTTGCCAAGAAGAAACCTGAGTACATTTTCCAAACACTTGGGCTTTCCCTCTAGAATTGTTACAATGTTTCTGACAGGTTGGGAGGGCCCTTTCTTTGGAGGTCACGCCGCATCAGCACATGTGTCAGGGCGGCACGTTTTGATGAGCACATGCATGGGCTCATACTTGTGCTGGTTCTGGATGCTGCATTGTGAACCCGCCTACTCTTAACATCAGGCCACCCTCACTCACTTGACACCAGCTATCCTTACTTTACACCATCTGCCTTACTTTTTCACTCATGCACTTGAAAAAAAAATGGTACATAGCTGTAAAAATAAAATGTGATTTTGTATATCTTGGTATAATGTGCTTCTTTTAATTTGAATGTAGTACTTCTTGGAAATGAGAAGCTTGGTTTTCTCAAATTAGGGGGAGTGGGGTATGTGTATATCAAGCATTAGCCACTTGCTGCATGGCTGTTGGGTGTGTCTGAGTGTGTGGATGCAGAAAAAGGGTAAAAGAAGGGAAATTGAGAAAGGGAAGAGTGTATTATTCCTAAATGGAAAATGAAGAGTGCTGCAGATAACAAGGAGAGGTGGGACTAAGAGTGAACCTGGATAAGGTGGAATTGGTTGCATTACTGCATTAGTGGCTTAGGACGAAAAGACGCAAGATTCAAACTCTGGTCTCTAGAATCCTAGTCCGACACGCAATCCCCTACTACACCATAGCTGTCATAGTATACGATAAGGAAGCATTATAAGTAATTCTTATAATTCTTGGGAACTTCCTTCAAGTGCATGAAAGAAGTGTATTAAGTGTGGTTGTGTCCATTCCAGGGTGTCATACATGTGCAGGAGAGTTTTATCTGCCAGTTCATGAAAATAAGTTCATAATAAGTTGGATTTGCATGTAACTCTGACAATGGTTTTGGAAGGCAGGGAGAGACATGTTAATGTTTTTTTCCCAAAAGGATTGTGCATGCATACTTGAAAATAGTCCCCATCTTAAGAGAGTCCCCTGTATGAGGATGAAGAAAGAATCACTGTCCTATGAAGGCATGTTAACGTTGAAATATTGTTTCAAATGTGTTGACAGATTAAAGGTGCCTTTGGTTGGTATTACAAGTTTGAGTTTGCCATTCATTTTTAAAAGTCGCAATTATAGTTTTAGTGCTGTTAGGCATGGAAATGTGTCTGGTATAGTAATTCTTTGTAGGATATGAAATACAGCGAAATTTAGAATCCTGTAACTTGCTTTGGAGTTTGTGTATCACACCTGCAGGTTGTGGCACACCTTTCTTCTTTTACACAAGCCTGGTTCCTGGACTTCTATGTGTTGTTGAGGCACGAAGGGATAAAACCATCCTTGGCTCTTGCTCACCCATGATGCAGTGTTGTTTGTACTATATTGATGGAAAGTATAGTAAACCTATTGTATTTGCAATTTGAGCCCTGCCACTTGTTTCAACAGTACAGGGAGGGTCTGTATTGTCCAAGTTTTTCTCACCTCTGGGCAATATCTCTTGGGCACTAAAACATTTCTGTAGATGGAGGCAATCTGTGTTAGGATTGATGACCCACTGTTCCTACCAGCTCATTTGAAACAGTTAATTTTTTCTTCTTCCTTTTGTCCCTTCTTTGTCTGGCAGCCATCCTTCCAAACTGCTCTCCACCGAGAACCTCTTGCCTCTGTCTCCTGAAGATTTTAGTGCAGTCACACAAGAGATAAGCCCTACAGAACTTATGGTGAGTAAACAGCAAACACCCCAATCAGCTTTTTTTTGTGGCAAAATACTAAGATGATCGCAAAGTGCAAATATCTCTGCAAATAGTTACTGGGCTTCCCAAACCTTGCTTATGTTAGAACCTTTGGCTGTAAGTAGAAACCTGTTTTTATTTATTTTTTTATTTATTTATGACATTTATATGCCACCCTTCTCACCCTGAGGGGGACTCAGAGTGGCTTACAAGATATATATACATTCAATATATTATTAGCATAATATAATATCAGTATTAGATATTACTATATTGTACTATACCATTATATTGTAATATTATAAGTAATATTACATGTAATATAAAATATATAATTATAATATCATATTATTATTATATTGTATTACATTAAATATTATAAATATCATATGTATATACAATATATTATATTATATTATATTATATTATATTATATTTATTATTAGCATAGCACAGGAGACAATGTGAAACTGTCTTCTGGCCCCCTCTCTCTTCGCATGCATCTTGTTTCCATTTGTAATTCACCTTGGGTGGGCATTTTCCAACCTTTTGGAAATGTCTTAGGTGTGGATTTCCTGCACCTCTCCTTTAGTTTTGCTTCTTTGATGGGAAGCCTTGCTAGAGATAAGATCTTGGTCTCACAGGGCTGTATAGTATCCTAACATGAGAGACTGTGGCCAAGATCCTATTTAAGCCAGTATTGATCTTATTTGAAATTCCAAGGTGTTGGATCCACCTTAGACAACATTGCACAGTACTCACATTGCTTGAAGAGAGGAAGCAAATGGGTGGTGCTTCAGAGCAGGGTTTGTACGTGAATAAAAGTTTTATAAATTCAAATGCTCTATTGAAAAATTCTGGACCTCAATCAGTTTTTTTGGATTACTCTCATCAACTTTTGGTCTCATAGCCACTGTCAATGGATTGTGCAAGTTGTCATCTTAACACATTTGGAGGGCCACAGCTGCCTGTCTGTAGCATATAAGTACTGTTCCTCTCTCTAATCATGTGTTTTGTTCTTTTCCAGATATGTTCAGAATATGCATCATAAGGGTGTGCTGAACTGACCCGTGGCAAAGCTTGTTATTTTGTTATATACCTACCTGTTAGTTTGCAGCTGCTTGAGCACTTTCTTAAGGCTTTAGAGGTTGTAGTGTGTGCTTGCCCTCTCTTAGTATACTCTACAGCCCTGGCCCTTTGTGTAGTCAAGAGTCACTTGAAAACATAGGAAGGCATCCTTGTCTCCAAGGAGAAATGTTAGCTAGCCATCTTGCGTGTAACATTTTCCTGCTGCCCTATTTAGTGACAGTCAAAACCAATGGTTATGAACCTATGGCAGAAGGGGCACACAGCGCTCTGTCTCCTGGCACACGTGCCATCACCCACTCCCTTCCCCCACTGCTAGCTCTTGCTTGCTCACCCCCACTTCCTTGCTCACTTCCTACTCCCACTTGCCCACTTGCTTTCCCACCCCCAGCCCACTCTCTTCAAGTGCCCCCACTTCCCACTGGTTTGGGCTCTCCATCTCTAAAATGTTTGTCATCACTGATATAAATGTAGGTGGATGAAACACATTTTAGTAAGTGTTTCAAAAACAGTGTTAGTTGCATCCTTGTGTAGTCAAAACTTTGTAATGGTTGAGAGGTATTATGACTTAGAAGAAACGTCTGATTTTCTAGGAACTGGGAGCAAGCTACATAACAACAATGCCATACATCTTTTGGGTGGTAGACATGCCCATTAATTGCCTTAAAATTGGCAAAAAATGGTGCCCTTGGAACCATTGAAGCTATCTTATATATTATATGGATGGACAGCTGGTTCTGCACATTTTTTCAGCTTCAATTTCCAGAATCCGTTAGTAGCGATTAAATTCTAGTTATGACTTGTGACTTAGAAATACGCAGAGAGGCACAATTGTCCATCCCCTGGTATTATAAGATGGGGGAAGGGTGGAGTTAGGTTTGTAGTAGCAGAACGATAATCCAAGAGAGAAACAGCACATTTTTCCAAAACGGCAAAGTTCTGGGAGGGATTGAATCAGAGGAGTAGTGTTCAACCACAAGAGAGTAGGCCAAACTTTGGGGGTATACTTCAAAGACTGGCGAAAAATACATTTCCTTACTCTCAGCTTTTCTTGGATATCCCTTGACCTAGGAATTTTTGCTCTTGTTCTCAACCTGTGGGTCCTCAGTTGTTTTGGCCTTCAACTCCAAGAAATCCCAGCCAGTTTACCCACTTTTAGGATTTCTGGGGGTTGAAGGCCAAAACATCTGGGGACCCACAGGTTGAGAACCACTGTTTCAAAGGGATAAGCTGCTTCACTCCTTTTGGGAGCCTTAAGACAACATTGCCTTGGTTGTTGAGGTAGTAACCAATGCTGTTCTGACAATAAAACAAGTGATAGTGCTGCTACAGAGTTCAAGCAGGGGCGCTAAAAGCAAGCCAAGCCAGCAGCCAGTCGAGGTGTGGTCAAGCAGATTTGTTTGTCGAATTGTGTGCTAACAAACCACTGCGTTCCTCTGTGATTGTGTGCATCAGACTATGGGGGTTACATTTGGCATGTGGGGGGATGACTCAGTCTTGCATGCTTCAGTGCAAGTCCAAAGAAGATTAGTGCATGAGGTGTATTTAGTGCAGCTTGCTGTGCTTCCGCTTGCAGTCCTTGGAGATAGGTAATCCAATTACCTCAGGGTACTGCGGTTCACACGAGATTCTTCCATATTTCAACCAACTGAAAATTCACAAGCTTATTAAGGGGTACTGTAGACCGGGTTTGGACTTGTGGGATTTCTAGTTGTGGGTTGCATTTCCCATTTGTCCTAGCAAACACAGTGGTATTGCATTCCAACAATATTTGGGTGCTGGCTTGGTTTTCACCCCTTCTTTGTAGTGTATGTTAATCCTGCCCCAGCACTTGGAAAAGTTATTATTTTGGACTACATCTCCCAGAATCTTCCATCTGGCATAGGCTCTTATCCATAGGGGGCAGTAGCCAGGCTACCTGGCAAATTATGGGGAGTCCAAAAAGACAACTTTTTCAACCTCTGCATTTTTCCATGGTTTTGTGAAGAGAAAAGCAACACTGAGCCAGTTTACTGTCAAATGCTTATCTTCATGATAGGTATCTCCCACATCATTCAACAAAATCAATGTTTTTGATATCTCTTTAAAGACTGAGGGCCCTTCCACACAGCCCTATATCCCAGAATGGCATGGCAGAAAATCCCACATTATCTGTGTGTGGACTCAGATAACCCAGTTCAAAGCAGATATTGTGGGGTTTTCTGCCTTGATATTCCATCTGTAAAAGGCACCATTTTCAAGATTAATATGATTGAAGACATCCACATAGTTATACAAAGCAAGCTCAAATCATAACATGGGGAAAGTACCTTTAGTTGTGTAGGGCTGTGTGGAAGGGCCCTGGGTCCACACTGCCCTATATCCCAGTTCAAAGCAGATAATGTGGGATTTCATTCAGCAGTATATCCCAGAATATCAAGGCAGAAAATCCCACAATTTCTACTTTGAGCTGGGTTATCTGAGTCCACACTCAGATAATGTGGGATTTTCTGCCTTGATATTCTGGGATATAGGGCTGTGTGGAAGGACCCTGAGGGCCCTTCCAGTCAGGCCCTATATCCCAGGATCTGATCCCAGGTTTTCTGAATATCCCAGATTATCTGGCAGCGCGGGCTCATATAATCGACTTTAAAGCAGAAAACCTGGGATCGGATCCTGGGTTATAGGGGCTGTCCGGAAGGACCCTGAATATCTTAGTACACTCCTCTTGTTGGAACAGAGATGGCAGGTTAGAAAAAGAGATGAGCAAGTGGATTGTTGTAGGTTTTTTCGGGCTATATGCCATGGTCTAGAGGCATTCTCTCCTGACGTTTCGCCTGCATCTATGGCAAGCATCCTCAGAGGTAGTGAGTCACTACCTGAGGATGCTTGCCATAGATGCAGGCGAAACGTCAGGAGAGAATGCCTCTAGACCATGGCCATATAGCCCGAAAAAACCTACAACAACCCAGTGATTCTGGCCATGAAAGCCTTCGACAATACAGAGATGAGCAAGCTAGACAAGAACACACTTTTTTTGGTATGGTTGTTTATTATCATGTTGTAAAATGCAACACCATTGGTTTTGTAATCCTTAAAATAAATCTTACTTTCAGAACTGGTACAGCTCAAATATTTAAGATTAAATTAAATCATGGGAAACTTGTCAGAAGCAAAATACATTCATTGTGGTTTATGTTCTACAACAAAGAATGTCAAATGTCAAGCCAAATGTCAGTCACAGTTTACTCAGAAGGTCACTAAAAACGGTCACGGGCCGTCCTGTTCTGACGCTAAAAGACAACACTTCTAAAAGGAGACGGGACCATTGTAATATCAGTGTACAAAGCACTGGCTGGCTTTTATCGATTTTGGAGGCTCTGAGAATTGTTGGATTGTTATACCTAATAATTCAACATTATTTATATTATGTTGCATTATTATTATACTTGGATAATGTGGTGTTGGAGCAATATAAAGCTGGCTTCTTCGTAGATAAAAACATTTCAATGGAAATAATTAAAGAACAGCACTGCGGAATTAGCAAAATAAATCCACAGAGAAATGAACTGCCTCCACTGGACACACAGACTTTACGAAATACAACCTCCTCTCAATGAGGAAAAGCTAAGAATACTTTTGCAGAAGAAGCTGATGCTAAAGTAGCTCTTACATACTGGCAGTGCGGGGGAAAGGCCAACATAATCTCTTAAGCTATTTAGGCTAAATGACTTTGACTTGTATGCTTATTTGCAGCGATAGCATTCGGTTATAAAGTAAACAATGGTTGCTAAATATATTCGACAGAAACATTTTGAGTTGTCGGGAGAAATTCAAAGAGTTTAATGGGCAGGTGTTCATGGGCGTGCGTTCGTTTTGGAGAAAAGAAAGCTAAGAGGCATCACATATTTTTAGGCCTGTCKGKTATTCAGRCAGTATTGCTGGAGACTCACAGGGCAGTCCAGAAAATGATTTCGAYTAAAATAGCAGGAGGAGGATTGTACAGAGAATTAATCTTGTGTGTACACGAATGCTGTTTATTGGGGAAACCCTTGGTGGAAATTYTTGGAACTTCACACCTCAACATAGGTTTGTTTGTTTGTTTTGGTCATGTCAGGAGCGACTTGAGAAACTGCAAGTCGCTTCTGGTGTGAGAGAATTGGCCGTCTGCAAGGACGTTGCCCAGGGGACACCYGGATGTTTTGATGTGTTRCCATCCTTGTGGGAGGTTTCTCTAATGTCCCCACATGAGGAGCTGGARCTGACAGAGGGAGCTCATCCGTGCTCTCCCCRGATTTGAACCTACGACCTGTCGGTCTTCAGTCCTGCCAGCAAAGGGRTTTAACCCACTGCGCCACCAGGGTCAGTCCTATTTATTCAACCAATAATTATCACCAGACYTATTTAGCAAATAATCAAGAGGTTATATGGTTCTAGGTTTACATTCAACTTTGATAGTACACATATCCTTAAATGTGTTCAGCTGGTAATCCAACACTAACTACTTTGTTACTCACACAGTGCAAATTTATATTCCTCGTCTGCTATATTGTAAATTACTGCCATCAAAAAGCGGCCCAAAGTAAGAGATAAAAGGCAAAACAGTCAAATGAAAACAACACAATGACTCTGGTGTATCCCTCTCTATGTTGTCCTGCTACTATCTCAATCAGTAGACTGAAGACTACCACAATGTCTTTCTTCTTAAAATGATCCTTGTCTTCTGTCAGTTTGAAGTAAAGACCTCTTTATCCAAGTGTGAGCTTAAGCGAAATGTGAAAACTTCTTCAGATCATCAGGTTCTGCCCTTGAATAGAACATCTGCCATCATTAAAGTATAGGGAAGGGAAACACACACTTTTGGTGTTATGTGATACACATACAAGACGTGACAAAAACAAGTAGGAGCAGCAGGCGCCTGCGACTGAAGAATATCAGCGGTTGATCGTCGGATGTGTGGGGAAGGGAGGAAGGGAACCGGCAAGGGATCAAGATGTGGAAGAACCACTTCCAACTCTAAATTTCCAATATTATGTGATTACATTCCTCTATGCTTTTTGGTCAAACAAACCGTCAAACAGTTTCCCTGATAAAAACTCTCCGAACAAAAGCATAAACCATGAACCACAGTCATCAGTCTATACTTCTTTTGGAGAATTGCATGATCTCAATGGGTATCATAGGAATTAAAAAGACACAAATAAAATGTTAAGTGCAGGTTGATGCTCGGTGCATTCAGACTAAATCCACATCAGCAACAACTCTTGAAATCTAGCAAGACCACATTTACACTGGCACATGATAGCAGCCCAATTCCACACATGGACAGACACACTTCCAGACAGCTTCAGTTATCTATTTTTTTGTTTTTAAAAAAACGGAGCAGAAAAAGCTCTTGACCACAGAGTAAAGCTTCATGGAGGATGGAGAAATAAATTAAGTAGTGCAGAAAGCCAATGAGAGCCACGTTTTTCCTCCTCTTATCTGTTTATATGTCGCACGAGGTAATAATTGCTCACATCATAAATGGAGACTCGCGGGGAGGTTTTTCTTTCCCTGAATTTTCTGAAAGAAACTAGATTTGTCCCGTGCAATGAAGAAAGCTCCCGTTAAAACACTGAAACAAAGCGATACTTCTGGAAAATATACATCACTATCCAATAGAAACACACACGCTCTTCGTAATCATTTTTTCCACAATTAAATAGGTAACTTTGATTCTTGGGAACAGAAGAAGGTTATAGTAAGCCATCTAGGTTTTTCTGTACAGTTTGATCTTTTCCGTTGTTGGGACCCTCTGGAGGTGTATACTGAACCTGATACTCTTGAAGAATTTTAAATACATCATGATGTCCAAAGTGCAAAGCTTCGTCCATAGGAGTGTTGTTCCACCTGTAAAAGGCACCATTTTCAAGGTTAATATGATGGAAGACGTCCACATAGTTCTACAAAGCAAGCTCAAATCAGAACATGGGGAAAGTACCTTTAGTTGTTGGGTTTGCAATGTAGTAGTAGCAGCAATACTTTATTTGTATTCCACCCTATATCTTTGAGGGGACACAGGGCGAATACCAGCATACACAACACAAGGCAAACATTCAATGCGTAGAAACACAGATACAGTAAAGGCTCTTGAGGACCTTTTAGCTCTTGAGGGGTGGTGCTCATCTCCATTTCTAAGCTGATGAGCTTGTGTTGTCCATAGACACCTCCATAGACACCTCCTAGGTCATGTCACTGCATGGAGTGCAATTTACCTTCCTACTGAGGCGGTACCTATTTGCATGTTTTTGAACTGCTAAATTGGCAGAAGATGGGGCTAATAGCGGGAGTTCACTCCATCCTGCAGATTCGAACCGCCAACTTTTCAGTCAGCAAGTTCAGCAGCTCAGCGGTTTAACCCGTTGCACTACCACAGCTCCATATAATCCTTAACTGGCGCTACTGATTCTCTGATAGGAGCTGGAATCCCAATACATTTGGATTTGTGTACTTTGAATACTCCATATCAAAATGGAGTTGGGTTGAAATGGCCCTTGTGGAATTTTCCAAATCTGTTATGATTTGGAGGATTTCAGATTTCTCAGTTGATCTAAATCAGTGGTTTATTTATTTCCTATATTTATACCCCGCCTTTCACCACCCGAAAGGAAACTCATAGTGGCATGACCTAGGAGGTGTCTATGGACAACACAAGCTCATCAGCTTAGAAATGGAGATGAGCACACACACAGCCCCCCCCCCCCAGAGTTAGAGTCTCATTTCCTCTGCTTCTCAACCTATGGGTCCCCAGATGTTTTGGGCTTCAGCTAACTGCTGGTAAACTAGGATTTCCGGGAGTTATAGGCCAAAACACCTGGGGAGCTACAGGTTGAGAAGCACTGATCTAAATAATGTGGCCATGTGTTGATTTCTTTTAAACCTAGTGACTCCATTCTCCGCCAAAGGAGGTCTAGCTTGTATTTTAGGATCGGAAGAACCCTATAAGTAGGTTAAGTTGACAGACTAACCTGTTCAAGCACAACCAGTGACCTAAGCAAGGATTTAGAATTGGGATTGTCCCATGTAAGGGGAAAGACAGCAGCATAACAAATCGGTGGGAATTCTGGAGGAACTTCCTTTTTTGGAAGGTGGGGAAGAGTGTCCTCAAAAGTTCCTGATCTCTTTTATAGGAGCTGAAGGCTGCTCAGTAGGGATGCTCCAATGCAAGACTGCACATTATCAATGAACAGAGCTCATAAGCACCTCAAACAAAGGTTGGCAACTGCATCCTGAGCAACCTGCATGAGATACACTTTAATTAAGTGTAATATATAATTAATGAATTTTTATATATGAAGCATGCTGTTGTCATGTGCCTTCCGATTTATTTCTGATTTATGGTGAACCTATCACAGGCATTTCATGGCAAGATTTGCCGAGGGAGGGTTTTCCTTTGCTTCCTTGTTAAGTTGAGAAAGTTTGATTTGCCCAAGGTCATCCAGTTGGTCTCCATGTCTGACCAGGCATTCAAATCACAGTCCAACACTCAAATCATAACACTGCATTGGCTTATGGCACATGTTGTTCATTCATTCAGTTGCTTCCGACTCTTTGTGACTTCATGAACCAGTCCACACCAGAGCTCCCTGTCAGCCGTCACCACCCCCAGCTCCTTCAAGGTCAAGCCAGTCACTTCAAGGATGCCATCCATTCATCTTGCCTTTGGTCAGCCCCTCTTCCTTTTTCCTTCCATTATGTTTATTTGCAACTCTTTACTCTCTTTTGCCCATGTTTTGCCTTTATCACTATTGCACAGGGATTATTTTTCCTTCCTTTACATTGAAGATTCTGAAAGACCACTGCCTAAAATGAACTGTGGCCATTTGATAAAATCTTCTTTTACACATCTTGAGACTAAGGAGAATTTCTCTTATGTGCGTATGTCCTTTTCTGGGTGCTGCAGAAGTTAGTATTCCCTTCCTCCCTCTACAGTACCCAAGATCTTCCCTCCTGACTGCCACAAAATTGAGGTTTGGGACCACACGTAGTCACAGGTCTCTGTATCCTCCTTTTACCTTACTCGGTTATTCCAGCCTCACCTCATCCCACCCGACTCCTGACGTTTTGTTCTGTAAA